CCGTTTGCTTGCGAACTGTCGTGGCAGTTGGAGTGGCGACATGGTATATTCCCCATTCCTTTCCTCCTTGGTGTGATGAGCTGATCTGCCCACAACAAGCACACCACACACTCACTTTCCTTGCAGGCGTGGTGGTAGGTGGTGCGCTCGTGCTCATCCCGTGCTGGTGCTGTCTTGTACCTGTGGCGCTGGCCGTTCACCAGGTGTGTGCAGCACTGGTGTCGACAGGGGAAAGTCATGTAGGTGTGTTGGGCGCTCATGGATGAAAACAAAAAGACAGCTGATAAAGCACCTCTGTACTTTGTGGGCGACTTCGGAGAAAAAGAGCGAAACGGTGGCACATTCCGATCATTCTTCCCGTCCGAGACCTTGGCTGCCCCCCTTTGTAAAACGCCTACTAAACCAGACAATAAGGGGGCAAAACCACATGAATGTGTGGCACATTCCGATGTCATGACCAATCAGGTGAAGTGTGGCGCCCGAACCCGGCAAGCTTCATCAAAATTCATGGAATGGCTCCGTCGCCAAAAAACCACTGGTCTTCCCACGTTATGGCACGAGTGCTGGCCATCCCTGGCGTGAGGGATCTCAGGGTCACCACTTGCTGAAGTCAAACCGTCCGCTTCCCTCGGCAGACTTTCGCTTACTGCCCACTTGCGGGAGGCTCAGGCCAAGGGCAGCGGCTCCACCGGTTGAAGGCGCGCCAGAGGCCGCGCCAGGGGCCGGCAGACCGAGCCCCCGGCTGGGCTTGGCCGAATACGGCGCCAGCGTCGCGGTATGGATGTACTTGCCCACACCCTGCCTGAACACGGCCTGCTTCGATTCGCCCGTGGGGTTGCTGTACCAGTGCCCAAACTCCTCCTGAGAATCGGGCGCGAATGTTAGGCCTGGGCGGATCTCGCACACCATTGGGAGGTGGAGGGATGTACACACCATATCGGCCTTCTCCTTGGCGTCCTTGGCTTCCTTTTCGGCCTCCTGCTTGACTTCTTCCTCGAGGAGTTCGGCGTCGAACGGGTTCACGAAGATGCTCACCTTCTTGATCACGATGTCACTCTAACAAGCATCCGTCAGAATCAATTCGCACGCACCCGCCATTGAAAAATTGTGGGAGAGGGGGGTGGGTACCCTAGGCTTGTCCTTGGGGTCGGTCTGCACTGTCTCCATGAGGTCGAGGACCTCCATGCCGCCCACGACCCGTCCGAACACGCTGTGCTTGTTGTCCAGATGATGGGCCGGCTTGAACAAGATGAAGCTGCACATACACGACAAAGCGTTTGCACACTGGTTGGTGAGCAACGGGCGGCAGTCGAGGAGGCTGGCGTCTGGGCGCCGTACAATTGCGAGGTGTTGGTTCCGGGTCCGGCGTTGGCCATACTGAGAATGCCGCGCCCGCTGTGCCGGAGCGTGTGTGCGATTTCGTCCTTGAGCGGCTTCCCCCACGCCGACTTGCCGCCAGTTCCGGAGGCCGTAGGGTCACCGCCTTGGATCTGCACACCGACAAGAGCCAAAGAAAGCAGGTGAGCCGACAGCGGATCGGCCATGAACCCACAACAAGCAGGGGAGGAAGGGGAAGCGAACCATGAAGCCGGGGATGAGCCGGTGGAAGGTGGTATTGTCGAAGAACCCCCTCTCGGCCAAGAGAAGGAAGTTTTCGCACATGAGAGGCACCTGGTCGCAGTGGAGTTCGATGTTGAGGTCGCCGAGATTCGTGTGTAACCGCACGTAGCCCTGCACGCGCACCAGCGCAACCCTGTCAGTGCCCAACGCGCGCTACGTGCGCGCTCGCGTGGGCGTGCTACCTTCTTCTTGGTCTTCTTGATGGGGATGTCGTCTTCGGTGGCCTTCTGGACAAAGCCAGCGCAGGTGAAGGAGGCCGAGGACGCGCCCGACTTCTTCGCTTCGGGCGCTGCCGTAGCGGCCGGCTTCGGGGTCGCAGTGGCCGCCGTGGTCGTGGATGTGGTCGTGGGCTCCACCTTTCGTTTCTTGGGCGCAGGTGTCTCTTGTGCCTTCTTACCGCTCTTCTGCGCACATCAACAGCGAGCCGTGAGAATGCGCGGCAGCCACAGCTAAGTGGGTGGGGGTGTTGATCGTACGCTGGCCAGCTCGGCGAGGACCTTCTGGGTGGTGCCGACGGCGTTGATGTTCTTAGAGGCGTCTTCCTCCTCTTCCTCCTTGAGGGAGAGCCCCTCCTTCACGTAGTGGAATTCGGAGATGTTACGCTTCTGCATGTCGTTCGGGTCCTGAATGCTGCACGAGACGAGTCCACGAGCACCAACCGACGACACAGTCAGACGCCGGTGAGAGGGTTTGGGTGGTGTGGACGTGTAACAAACCTGATGATGTCTTTGCGGGTGAACGGGTCGCCCGTGATAAGATCCTGCGGAGGGAGCAGAGACGACAAGACAGTGAGATGAAACAAGCGCAAGCCAGGCCGAGGTGCCGCGTACGTTCCAGGACTTGATCTTGATGTTCATCTGCTCCACGGCTTCCATCGAGTAGACCTGGCCCGACGTGCGGATGAACACGATGTGCGAGTGATCTGTACACACCCACAAGCACTCCATTCAGCCTCCATTCGCCATGGCGATCTCAACCAAAAGGTGCTTAGTGACCGGTGCCGTACCGGTGAAGGCCTTGTAGGTGATGGGGCACATGTATTCGCCCTGGGGATTCTTGTGGAAGGTGAGCCGGATGAGGTCCTTGGCCGTGATCGGGCGGCCTGTGATGGGGTGCTTCCCGAACTTCTTGATGTAGGGCATGATGTTGCTGTAGCAACCCACCGTCGTTAGCACAGCAAAGCGCCAACAAAACCAAAAGGGGAGTGGGCGAAGGCGTACAGGATGTCGAAGACGGTGCCCTCGGGCGCGGTGGTCACGGGGGTTTCGAAGGGCTGGAGGGAGATACCACAACAGTAATAGGGCAGCGGCTTGAACAGACCCTTTCTCTGTGGCGTATTCGCGGCCCTGCCGCCACCCTCTGTCGCCCACTCCTTCGCCGTCACGTAACTGTGCCGCCGTGGATATTAGGAATCGAAAATGAAGAGCGATTGATGCAACAAATCAGATGTAATTTTCCACGATGACGGACGGTCAAAATAAGGCAGATCGAGTGCAAAGAGAAAAGTAGAAGCACATACATTTTCTCTCCTTGTCTGCGCCCCATCTTGCGTTGATTCTGGGTTGCTCTGTTTTTTTTTTTTTTGTTGCGCTTTTTCGCTTGCCTCCAAATTCCTGATCTTTCCGGTTGGAAAGAAATGCTAATGGAAAATAACAATTATGGATTATTTTGTGTTTATTGTGCCGGCCGGCAGCGGTGGTGATGTTTGTTTTTTACATGTTGTTGTAATCAGAATATACCTGCGTGAGAGAGAAGGCATAGCCGTATCTCCTTCGTGGTGTTGCGAGCTTGAAGAGAATAAATAAATAAGGAAGCGTGTCGGGGTAGAGTCTCACCGTTGGCTGGAGAAGTGCGGATTGCGGTTGCCGTCGATGAACTTGTAGTTGGGGTTGCGCGCGGCGGCTCTCTTGGGCGGAAGCACCTTCCTCGGCGGACCCGCCTTGACAGGACCGCTGGTGTCCGTCTTCGTCATCGGCTTCTTCACGGTCGAGGTGACGGTCGCGGCGGCGGTGGTGGTGCTCGTGGTGGTCTTCTTTGCCCGCTGGAGCTCCGCCGGTGCCCTCATCTTGGGGACGGGAGGCTTCTCGAGGAGCCACACGCCGTCATCGAACTTGCCGAACTTCTTGCGCATCTCGGTGTGGTACACCATCAGCTCGTCCGCGATCTCGCCCTCACGGCCGCGGCCGGGCTTGCCGCGATGCTCGTCGAAACGGAAATTGATCATCAGGTTGCTCAGGCTCGAATCGTCCACTCGCCAGTACTGCATTGCACAAGAAGAACGTTAGCCCGCGGCAGGGGGAGAGCCTGTATTCGCGGCAGGAGAATGGGAGATCGAGGGGGGGGGAAGGGTACGGTACCCCGAAAACCTTGAAGCGCTTGAGCTTGTTGGCCTTGCCGACGATCCAGTTGTTGTGCACGACGTAGGGCAACTCCTTCCCGGCCCACTTGTCGCCAAAGAAGTAACCGCCGCTGCAAAGGAAGGACGCCGGAGAGAATAAGAACGTGCATTGACATTGGTACACGCACGATGGGGGAAAACGAAGATACCTGGGGAAGTCATCGATGCTCATGATCTTGTAGTTGGGCGTTTCGGGAACGGGGACGTTGGCGTTGTTCTGTTGTGACCAAAGAGAGAGTGAGCGCACACTCGAATGCTGAGCCCATCATTGGCACGAGAGGCTCACCTTGCCGGACACTGCGCCGAGCCACTTGTTCATGCAGTACTGCTCCTTCTTCTCTTGAGTGACTTCGCACTCGATCACGTGGTTGATGAACGCCAAGCTGCAGGACCAAGCGACACGTGAGACATTGGCACACAACTGAGATTGGAGTGGTGGTGATGAAGGTGCGTACCTCTTCTCGCGATTCTTTCCGTAGAACAGGCCGCCACAGATGCTGGAATCCCGGCCGTGTGCGCCTCCGTCGTTGGTGAAGAAGATGTCGACACTGCAATAGTGGGAAGACAGAACAGAGAGTGAGACCAAACAATCAGAGATCGATCTACAAGATTGCCTGCAGCAGCCGACGCAAGAAGTGTGTGCGGTGTGCGTACTCAGAGTCGTTCATGCGAGAGAAGGGGTTCTTGAGCCACACCATGTCAATGTCGCTCACCATGACCGAGTAGCCCATCTCCACGATCTTCTTGAAGTAGTGCGACTTCTTGTGGACGACCTTGTTCCAGTTGGCCCAGGCGCGGGTTCCCTTGTTCATGGTGTAGGAGACAGACTGGGAGAGAGCGTCCATTCCTATCTCGGGGTCGTACGCCCAGTCCACGCCTTGACGACATAAAGAAGAAGTAGTAGAAGAGAGACCAGTCAGCAATGGGAGGTTACTCTCCGGGGAAGAATCTGGTGCGCGAACGAACCAAGATAGGAGAGCTGTTGCGCCATCTGGACGTCGCTGGGAATGATGACGTAGTTGGTAATACCCTGCTTGTCCACGTACGACTGCAGAAGCGAGGGCGAAGACACGGTAAGGTAGGTGACGCAGGTAAAGAGGGTGGGCGAGTCGTGTACCTTCCAGTTGAGCAGGAACTCGAGGTAGCCCGAGTTGGCGATGACCATGATCACAGTCCCGTTCTGGGCCACGCGCGGGAGCGCGTTGTGGAGCAAGAATGGATAGTCGCGGTATTTGTAGCCTGCAAGTAAAACCAAGTTGGTCAGTGCGCAAGACACGAAGAAGGATGGAGAGGGAGGAGGTGGAAGAGGGGGTCGGTGCGCATACTCTCGTCGACGGGCACGTCGGGGTAGTCTTCGTCGTCGGTGGCGTGAAGAAGCGTTCGATGTTCCGTGAGAGGATCGACTTCGAAGTTGTCCTTTATGCGGCCCCGCAGTCGATCGCGTTCGAGGAACCAGGTGTCATCGATCTCGTCAGGTCGCGGTATGCGGCGCGAGGATGATGATCGAAATGAGAGATTGAAAGAGGGCGAGTAGCTGGCCGTCAGCAGTATGATGCTGCTCGTGATGCACACGATGAACACCAGGAACAAGATGTTCTGGCGCTGTCGCAGCAGCCCGAAGAGGGACGAAGATGTGGCCGATGTCGACACAGGCGGCGAAGATCGAATTGGCTGGCGCGACTGCGATTTCGAAAATGAAGGCGATGCTACCCCGCTGCTCCCTTCAATGAGGTTTCTGCTGTTGCTGATGTGGTTGTGGTAGCGTTGTTGCTGGTTTTTGAGACCCATCAGGCCACTGCCGGTGGAGAGGGAGAGGAAGCGAGGCGACGTCGGTGGCGAGATCTCCTCCATCGTGTCGAACGAGTCGCCCTTCATCACCTGCGCCATGGCCATGAACTGCTGGTACTGCTTCTGCTTGAGGTCGGTCGGGCCGTCCGTCGTCGTCATGATGCTGTTGCTGCTGAGGATGTTGATGTGGGTGCTGCTGTATTTTCCCAGGCTCGAGGGAGGCGAAGAAGATGCTGCAGATGACGATGATGGAGCCGCCTTCTTGCGTCGCGTGGGTATGGGGGTGCCGCGCGACGTGTGGAGAAGCTCGAGGTCCGACTCGGCCTTGAGCTTGTTCTCGCGGAGACAAACCACCACTTCTTGCGCTCCTACGTCTCGCCTTCCGCGGTCCTCCTCGTCGTCCTTCTCCCTCTGCGGCAGGCTCTTCCCTCCCCCTCCTCCGCCCTGGTGGATTTCCTCCGCCTCCACCAGGTCCTCGTTCTTCTTGTGGCTGTAGTCGTCGTCGTTGTTGTAGCCGTTCTGGGGTGCGGCGCGGTGGTGAACGTCGTCTCCTCGAGGAGGCGGCTCGATATCCGAATTTCGGCTCTGTAGTTCGCCACTGCCGCGCTTGCAAGTGAGTGAGGCCGAGGGCGAGTAGAGCGGCCACGCCGCGGCAACGTCGTGGTGCTGAAGAAGATGCTGTTGTGCTGGTGGAGGCGCTGATGGCTCTGTGGTGGCTGTGGAGGATGCCATTTCCTTCTTGCCTCTCTCTATATACCGCTCTCTCGTGGTGTGAGCAAGGCAGGGAAAGAAAGGTCGTTTGGGGTGCAGGTTGTTCGTCGTCGCCTGCCTGTACTCTCACTCGCACACGGCACGGTGTATGAACGAGTGAGGACCAGCAATGCAGAGGAGTTTCCCCTTGGGTGTGCGGGCACTGAACGCTCAAGCGTGCCGCTCTGTGTGGCGAATTACGTGAAGTTTCGGTCCAATCATTTATTGCCGACATACTGCCTCCGTCACACTTGATGGTGGGGACCCATGGGCCTCGTGTCGGTGGTACTGGGTGGTTGTGTGGGAGATACCTGGCTGGCACTAGTGATCAGGTGTGTCACTCGTGTCGGTCACATCCCTTTTGGTCCTTGCCTTGTGGGCACGTGATTGATGGTAGCGCCAGCAAGGCGGGAGTTTAGATGGATTTATTCACAAGCGATGGCCATAGGCCAAGGCTCCAACGGAAGTGTGGAGAGCAGACGGAACTGCCAGAGGCAGAGAGTATCAGCGAGCGGAGAGAGGGTGATCATCGTCACTCCTCAAGGAGAATGGGGAGAAAGAGAAAGAAAGAGAAAGAGAAAGATAGAGGAGAGCATGCACAATATGTGATGTGGTGGTGCTGGCAGGTGAGTCTCGCTTACTGGCAACCGAGGGAACCGATGGTGACGGTGGGCTTGGCGGCAGGCGACGAGCCAGCCAGACGCACGACGACGCCAGCACCCTGAGTGGCACCAGCCTGGAGGGCGCCGTAGTTGAAGGCGATGTTGAACGCGTTGGTGGAGCCCTGCCTGCTCAGCTCCCAGAACTGGGTGATGGTCGCGCCGGCCTCGGCCAGGGTGAAGGTCACCACGCCGCCGTTGAGCGGGCGCTGGCCGTTGTTGGCGATGCTGACGTCGAAGATCTGGAAGGTGTTGCCACCATCCACCCACACGCCACCGGCAGCGGCCGAACGGGCGACGACGGTCACGCTGGCGCTGCAGCCGTTGGCGGGGCTAGGCTGGGGAGTGGCGACGATGGTGGGCGCGGCCGAGGGCGAAGCGCTGGGGCTGGCGGGAGCGGCCGAGGGCGAAGGAGCAGCCGGCGAAGGGCTGGCGGTGGGGGCACCGGCGCAGGTCACGGAGTCGATAGCGACGGCGGGCGCGGCGGGCGCGGCGGGCTGGCCAGCGGAGGCGGCAGAACGGAGGACGTAGCCGGCACCGAGCGTAGCGCCGACCTGGAGAGGGCCGTAGGTGGTGGAGGTGGTGAAGGTGGAGCCGCTCTTGCGCTCGATGTTCCACGACTGGGTGATCTCCTGACCGGCAGCGAGGGTGATGGTGACCTGGGCGTTGTTGACGGCCTGGTTGCCGTTGTTGAGGAAGGTCAAGTCGAAGATCTGGAAGTGGAAGGCACCGTCGATCCAGCTACCGCCGGCGCTAGCCGAGCGAGTGGTCTGGGCGACGCTCACGCTGCAGCCGGTGGGCTGGGGCGTGGCCACGATCGAGGGCGCAGCGGAGGGGGAGGCCGAGGGAGCCGCAGGGGAGGCGCTGGGGCTGGCGGGAGCGGTGGAGGGCGACGGAGCAGCCGGCGAGGCCGACGGCGTGGCGCTACCGCAGTTGATGGAGGAGACGGCGATGGTGGCCTGCGAGGAGGACTCCCAGATGTAGCCGAACTGGTGGGTCTGGCCGGCGACGATGCCGCCGTTCTGGATGCGGTACTCGGGCAGGGCGAAGAGGCCGGTGGACTGGTTAGTGAGCTCCCACAACTGGATGATCTTGGCGCCGGTGATGGAGAGCTCGAGCGACTTGACCGCCTCAGAGCCGGCGGTGAGCTGCACGTTCCACTGGGAGAGGTTCTTGCCCTCCTGCTGCCAGGCGCTGCCAAGCGTCTGCTTGACGCTCACATTACAGTCTGTAGCAAAGGATAGAAAAAGCATGAGCAAAGGCGCTCACACGGAAGAGGCGGAGGAGGCATACCAGCAAGGGCGTGGCCGCAGAGGGCCGCGAGGAGCGCGAGGAGGAGGAATTGCTTCATGTTGAGCTGGGTGGTTGTAGTGGTCGGAGGAGCTGGTTTAGTGAGTTATTGTTGATGGTAAGCGATTTGATCCGTTCCATTTTATAACCGGACGAGCACCGAGGTGGATCATTCAGGGCCAGTGGTGCGCCGGGAAAACTGAGGGAGGCGCCACGGCAGGTGCGCGGCGAGGGGACTCGGACCTGAAAGTTGATGTGGTGCCCACGCACGAAGCTCTCCCAGGCCCACTATGTCCCAACCCTGTGCGCACGTTAGGCCATGTTCGCCCGGTGCAGCTGGCAGCGCAGGGATTTTTGCCGAGCGATGATCGCGAAATTTCTCTTAAAATGGTGGCCTTGTTTGTACGCTGGTGGAAAGCTGTAACTCTCGGTACATACCCAGCGAGGAAAGACAACGACGAAGGCCGGTCGCTCACTCTAAGAGGCGTGGTGTTGGTACTGTCGATTGCTCGGGGCTGTAGTGGCGGCTGCTTGGTGTCAGGCGGCCTCTTCTTCGGGAGCGAGGGTCATCTTGGCCTCGTCGGCGTTGAGGGCGGCGAGAAGCGCGGCCACGCGATCACGCGCAAGGTAAAGCACCAGCGGGGTCGCGCCGAAGGTGTACACGGCTTCCTTGTGGTAGAACAGAAGACCCTCCTTATCGAACGGCACCTGAAGCAAAAGGACAGAGCGAGGTGAGCACACGCCAGTTGGAAAGGGGGTGGAGAGCGAGGAGGTAGTACGTCGTTGCCCATCGCGGCCTGCACTCCGCTCACCGAAGGGTCGAACTGCGAGAGGGGTGCGAAACGGAACTCGTTGTGTCGGGAGATGGTGCCCAGGCCGTCCTGCTCGCCCAGCTTCGTATGCACCCAGTAGTTCCTGCAGTGGCGAACGAGTACAAGAGCATGAGAGGTCAGTGTAGCTGCCAGTAATGATCCAAAGACACGTGTCAGCTCGTGAGAGCCGACCTGAAAGAGGTGTCGCAGTCGTAGTAGAGGTTGCCGCGCCAGCATTGGATGTCGAGCACGTAGTAGGTGAGCGAGGATTCGTGAAAGACGCAGTCGAGAATGCAGTAGTGGTTGGGGTTGTTGATCGAGAACTTGGCCGTGTTGCCCGATGGCAACCCGCTCGAGAAGCGATGCAGCACCGCGCCGTTCCGCATCCGCGACGTTGTCTGGCCTTTGGCAGAGATGACGAGGCATCGCTTGCCGCCCAACGGCACCGGTACGCACACCCAGCTCTCCGCGAGGTCGAGAGGTAACTCGTCGCGGGCCATCTCCTCCGGCAGCATGAAGGTGTCTCGATATCGAGCCCTTATCTTCTCCTCTGTCCGCTCCTTCTTGAAGGCCTTCTTCTCGGCCTTGAGCTCCTGCACGAACTCTTCATCCACACGGTGCGCCTTTCGAATAGATTGGCCGTCTTGCGCGTAGGACCGGTCCTTCGGTTCGACATCTTCTCGCTTCCTCTTCTCCTTGCCGCTGCTCGCTTCAGCCTCCTCGGCAGCTTCTTCTCCTCCTCTTTCCTCTTCGATGGCAGTCTCTAGAGCAAGGCTGCGAGCGAGGGAAGTAAGGTCCCTTCGCGATTCGCGCTGCCTTGAAAGTAATCTCTCCCTGCGCTTGGTCTGATCTCCATCTCCTGCCGTGCGCTTGAATTGGTCCTGCCGCTTTTCGGACGCTGTCAAGCGCGATTGCGAAGGGTCGGCGCTGAAGCTAAGGGATGCAAGCAGGGCAGAGGGGTCTATGTCGGCCGTTGGCTCCATCTGCATCCACGCGCAGTCGCAAAATTATTTATCTCTTTTCTTCCTTTTCTTTTTCATTTCTTCTTGAAGAAAACGCCGAGGGGAGGTTTCTCCCAGGTGGTTCGTTTATTTCTGGACACAGCACTGGCGATGTCATGGTTGGATCTTGCCCAGTTCTTCCAGCAATGCCTTGAAACTGATTCGCTCTCGTGTGTCATGAGCCCAGCAGCGCTCGATCAGCGAGGCCCACTGCGTTGGACACTCCTGCACGTGAGGCGCCACCACCCATCAATGACGACCTGCCGTCAGCCAAGCCAAACCCAGCGCTCGTGGTCACAGTGATGTAGCCCTACCTTGGGGATGGGCGGCCGTTCCGCTCCCGAGAGAGGCAAAACGCGACGAAGCTGCTCCACGGACACCGCTTTGCTCCTGAGCACAGGCAGAAGGGACGTGTGAACCAACAGCCCGGCGATTAGGCACTGCACCGCGACCAGGTGGGCTTACCAGAAGGACCAGAGGATGAGCCCAAACGGAAGTACGTCGGTCCCCAGCGCGTAGTAAGCGGCGGCGTGGGAGCTTCTCTGCTCTGGTGGCTGCCACAACCTGCTTTAGTATGCGGTAGAGGCGATGGGAAAAGGTGAGGCGATGTGACCACGTCGTCCAGTTAACTGAGGTTAGCTCAGGCGTACGTGCGCGCTGTTTCATTTTCGGTCGTGCCTCGCCCTCGCACTGCCGAATCGTTGGCCAAGTCGTGACTTATTCCCACGTCCGTGATCTTTGCTCTGTTCCAAAGGCTTGCCATCAGAACTACGATCCTGTCACCCTATGTGCAGTGCGCGTCGATCGCGTACCGAAGGCCGAGGTAGTGAGGTGTGCCGTGAAGATCAAACTTGTGTCCGAATAGAAGAATATTACTCGGCTTCAACTCGCCGTGAATCAGCGCAGGCGACGAGGAGTGGATGTAGTGCATTCCAGCGGCCACACCTACCCCCAAGGCCCACATATTGCGAGGGAGATTAGATCCCATATACCCGCACGCACAAGGTCGAGGTCGGGGTCGGGGTCGCGTACCCTTGACGATATCGAGGAAGTGGGAGATGAACTGTGTGTCGTGCAGGTACCTGCGGTTGTCGATCATCCACGAGTGCAGATCGCCCAGGTTTGCTTTCTCTAGTACGACGCACCCCTGTAGAGAATACGTGCTTGTTAAGTTAGCGGGTGGTGGTGACACCGTGATGGCTCGCTTACGCGAGAACGGTGACCGCCAAGGTACCTGAATGTCGCGGCCCGGGATGGCGTAGAGCCGCCCGTATGCGCGGAGCACGTTGGGGTGGTTGAACTTCCTGTTGGGATCAACATCGGCGCATCAGCTCACCAACTCCCGCGCAGCACAGTCCCGTGTGAGCAGTACCATAGGTTGTGGCACTCGGTCTGGTAGGCTCGCTCCTCGTGGTAGATCTTGACCGCCACGTCGTTGAGTCCCTGCCACACGCCTTCATAGACGGACCACGCCCGATTGTCCGTTGAATCTTCTGTGAAAGAAGATGACCAGCGGGTTAGCCTTCAACACATGAAACAATCGGCACGCAAGGAGTGGGAGCGGTGCAATGTAGCAGAAGAAGGAAGAACGCACTACCGGAGCGTCCCGTTAGCCGCTTGCGAAAGTCAACGTTGATCGAGTCAAGATCCAGCTCTTGGAGGAGAAACGTGTGCATAAGTTCACTGGGGTTGCCGAAGCTCGGACTTGAGAGCGTGCCGCTCGCGCCCACCCCATCGGGGCCAAAGAGGGCAGGATGCTCGAGCACCTCGTCCTGCGAGAGTAGTACCACGCGAGGTCAGCCCCACAGTGCCCACTCCCGGTCCTTCGCCCCGACGGGGGGCTGCGTACGAGAGACAGGTGCTCGGCGGCGGCCAGGTCGGAGTAGAGGTGGGCCAGGTGGTCGTCGTGAATGGCGGGCAGCTGCTGCGGCTGCTGCTCGTGGTACGCACGGCCGTTCTGCTGCGCTTCGCTCACCAGGAGGATCGGCGGTGTCATGGTGTTGCCGGTTGTGCCACCTTTGGCTCGCGTCGAATCCCCTGGGCGCTGCGCCGGCCTCGCTCGGTCCGCCACGGTCTGGCCCACGCGGTGGTACCCGTACGCTGCTTCGTCGTATTCCATCTCCAGTTCAATCTCCGAGGTGTCGTCCGTCGACGTCGTGTCGCCCTGTCGCCTCCGCTGGCCTTCTTCGTCCCCGACCTTCGCTTCCTTCTTCGCTTTGCCGCTCAGTCCCTGCTGTGCACACAAACACAGCAACACAACCGTGTCAAAAAATCAATATAAATATAAATATAACCAAAAAAAAAGAAAAGGCAACGAGGCCACCCCGAACTCCGCGACGGGCAAGCCACCGACGCGAACGGCAAAAGAAAAGAAGGGTGACGCGAGCTACTGGGCATGGGGAGGGAAGAGGGAACGAATGGTACCTGTTCGCCGTTGTTCTCTTTGCTTCGCTTCCGGCCGCGCTTTGGTTTTTCCTGCGCGAGGGGAAGAGGGAACAGTGAGGCGGCGGACAACATCTCCGGAAGAGTTGGTTTTGGAGAGAAGCGCGCAACGCAGTGACAACGGCCAGAGGCGACGCTCGTCTCCTCGCTTTTGCTAGGGCTGCGGTGCACGGAAATGGGTAAAAGCAAATTAAAGAATAAAATAATAGTAATAATAAATAAATCCGGCGAGTAAACGAGAAGCGGTGATAATAAATAATTAAATTAACGAATAGTTATCTCCGGAGCGCAACAGAACAGAAGCGCGACAGAAAGGTAAGGCGGCTGGTCAACAAACAAGTGTGAAAGTTGCAAAAATAAAAATAAAAATAAAAATTACATCAGGGAAGCACAAAACAAGTACCTTGGCGATGGTCCCGGCGCCGCTGTTGGCGTCTTCTTCGTCGCTTGTGGCGCCGCCCAGTTCGACGCCCTCGAGCTCGGTAGCGCCCACGTAGGTGGCCATGAACCGGCTGGCGGCCGAGTTGATCGGTGGGAACGCCCACACGTGGTAGTGCGAGTCGTTGTCCGGGTCGGACACCATGCCGAGCTCCTCGAAGAAGCACGAGTACTTGGGCGGGTTGCGCTTGGCTGGCACGATCCTGAGGTTCTTGTTCATCCCGCCGCCGGCGATGCGACGGAACAAGTAGAAAATCGCAGATGTTCGATCGGGCGCGAATTGGCGCACGATTTCGGCTGCCCGCGATTCGTTGGTCCACGAGTGACACGCTGATCGTCTCTTCCTCTTCTTGATGGGGAATGCTGCTGGCACCACCTTGTGCTTGAGAGAGGGGGAGTTGGATGCAGAGGAGGAAGATGCAGCGAGCGAAATTTCGTGATGAGGTTGGTGATTTGTTCCGTTGGCAGAGGGGGCGGGGAAGTCCACTGTGCGTCCTCCAAAATAGGCTCGTCTCACACTCTCCACGGCATAGTCATCTTCATCATCTTCTTCGTCCTCGTCCGTATCATCGAACTCGTCCTCGTCTGTGACGGCCTCATCTTGGCCCAAGGGAAAGTACTCGTCCATCTCCATCTCCTTCTCTCTTCTTCTTTTTTCAAATTGAATCGATTGACTTTCTCGCAGCAGTTCGAGGTTCTAGGGCGCCAAAAACAACTTACAATAAATATAACTAGTAATAAGTGCAGGTAACACACCACTAAACCGTTGGTGTGCGTTCGTATCTTTTGTCCGTTGGTCGTGCTGTGCAACGACCAGTACTGGTCTCGTGAGTGTCGCCATGTCCGCAGTCGACGCTCAAATAAATGACTGATATATTTATTTCGACTACAATTGTAAAAATAAAAAAGAGCCAACAAAGATCCCGATCTGAGGATGATCAATTTCTTCTTGGTGCAAAACAGACAGGGGAAAGTGCGGGCGGCTAAATGGTGGGTGCCCTACGATGACGCCGAGCGGGCCAAGCTTGCCCTGGAAGCCCACCGCGTCGTCAACGCGCGCCACTCCAAGTTCACCAACTTTGTCGAGTTCCGCGACCACAAGGTGCCCCCCCCCCACATCCACCCCAGCAACACACTCGAGCCATCGCTTTCGTTCTTTTTCTATTTCTATTTATTTGCCAACCCAAACGTGTAGCTCGTGTACAGGCGATACGCCGGTCTGTATTTCTACCTGTGCGTGGATGTGAGCGACAATGAGCTGGCGGCGCTGGAGCTGATTCACCTGTTCGTGGAGGCGCTGGACGCCTACTTTGGCAACGTGTGCGAGTTGGACCTGGTGTTCAATTTTGCCAAGGTCTATCAGATGCTCGACGAGATCGTGGTGGGTGGTGAGCTCATCGAGACCAGCAAGGCTCGCATCCTGCAGAGAGTCGACGAGCTCGATCAACTCCCCTGATGCCACCACACTCCTCACTCTTCTTCTGTGTACACACGCAAGCCACCACCGCGTTCGGCCAACTTCAAAGAAAATGGAGGGAAGAAAGGGAAAAGCTCTCTTCATTACTGCCAAGGTACTCACTGGACGACACATGCACGCTCGCGGCTCCTCGTTGGGGAGGCTGCACCCTCACCCGCCTCCTTCGCTCTCGGCATTGCGGCGTTTGCCGTCTTGCCGTCTGCCGCGCGCCTCGTCTGCCACGCTTGTCGCTCGCCCCGGTGCGCTTCTGGCCTCGACGTCTCGCCACCACCAGAGCAGCGGCGCCTTGTCGCTGGCTCTCCGCGGTGTTCGTTGTGGCGGTTGTGCCGGCGCGAGGCGGCGTTGGTACTCGTCGTCGAGTAGTGCTGGGGGCGAGGACGAAGCCAAAGCTGGCGCCAGCAACGAAGAGGAGGAAGAGCGGCCCTACTTCGAGGAGATTGCGAACAAGGCCACCATACTCAGCGAGATCGACCACGCTCTTGGTGCTTAATCTTCACTTTTTTGACATTTATTATTTATTTCAAAGCTTAAGGTATTTATTCATTTATTTTGCTATTTGGTGCGCCGCAGGAGTGTCCAAGCCGCCAGCGCTGGAATACATCTACGTCCAGCCCGCCGTCGCGTTCCGCTTCTCGCGCAACTCTGCCTCCTCTCAGGTAGGGAGTGCTGCCTACGAAAGACGTGCTTGAGCTGCTGACTGTCTCTCGCCATGTTGCTCGCGGGGTGGCACAGAACCCGTACGGGCACGCGGCCATCAGGTACTCCTTCCGGTCGGAGGACGGCAAAGGCTACGAGCAGTACGTGATGAACGTGGTCGGCCTGGCCACGCACCCGCTCATCAACTTCCTGTCGCCGGAGGACTATCTCTACGGTAGCGTCACTCCAGCTCCTTCCAAGCGATGTGGCCGTCAAGCTGATCGATCCACTACCATGGCTGTGTGAATGTAGGCGACCCCGCGACGCCCGGTTCTGAGCAGGCAGGTCTCCCACTTGTGCCCCGCTTCTTCTTTAAATAATCGGCTCACACCACCACTCCCAGGGCGGGGCGTACAATAGAGCCATCATGGGAATCAGGATCGAGGAGTGGCCGGACGACAAGATCAAGGCCATGCACAAGCTCTTCCTTGAGGTAGCCGTCACCACCAACCTCTCTGTTGGGTGCCTTGCTGCATAGCTGATGTTACATGCACGCGACAACGTACGTTGTTGCTGCACGTCACCGCCAGATCAAAAGGCGTAACGAGCACGAGAAAACTGTACGCCCGGCTCTTTCCTGCGAGAATGGGCGACGCGCCAGGCTAACGTTTGCTTGTCCAGGCGGCATTTTCATTGCTTCGCTTCCCGTTCCTCAACTTCTTGCGGCTGTTCGGGGAGAAGGGCAACTGCGCCTACTGGACGAGGTACGCCCCTCAATCACCACCCTAGAACTGGCCTTCCCGCCTCATTGCCAACCTTTGGCGCTAGTAAGGGGATCGTGGAATCGGGCCTGCTCGCGGTACGGTTGCTGTCTTAGCTTCGTCCATAGCTCTGAAAGGGGGAGCACCTCACTCTGTAACATCACCTCAACAGAGACCTACCATTTGGCCCAAGTACATCTTCATCAAGCTGTTCCTCCAAGTTGGACGCGTGCTGCCGCCACGCGAGGTCAACATCGTCCAGTACAAGAGCCTGAAGAGAAAGCAGCCCAAAGGGTGGCTCACCCCGATCTACTATCTCCTGGGCCAGGTGCTCCTCGACCACGACCAGTACGCCAAGTGCGTCGCGCGAGCTAACAACAACATTCCACGCATGCAGGGCGAGTTCTTCGATCTGGGCACATTGGCCAACGCAGTCGTAAAGATAAGCCCCGTCAACAACAAGGCCGTGGTGCAAACCAAGGCCCCGGACCACCCCTTCTGGGCCAAGATGCGAGACGCCACCGTGACTGGCTCTGCTCCCTCCACGCCCAAGCCGTTGAACTAGCCGACGTGGCGTTTGTTGTCAACTTTTTTTTCGGGGAGCGACTTTCGCCGGACTTGTGCTCTCCATTCGCGGATCGGCGGAGAATTGGGGGAAGGGGCTTTTTGTTTCTTTCAAAGATCTGGCTTTCTCTGTTCTCTCATCCTCAACCTAAACACCACATCACACAGGATGCTGCGCAAGCTTTTTGTTGCCTTCTTGGCGGCGATCTTGTGCTTCGCCCTGGTCGCGCAGGCGTCGTCTGTCGTGGACCAGATCTACGATGAGGCGGGAATCATGGCCAACGAAACTTCGCCATCGCCGTCGCCTTCGAGCGCGCCCGCCGCCAACATCACGGCCTCGCCCTCTTCCGCCCCAGTCGCGCCGTCGGTGTCGCCATCTTCCGCCCCGGTGGCCAATGTCACCGCCTCGCCGTCGCCATCTTCCGCCCCGGTGGCCAACGCCACCGCTTCGCCTTCGCCTAAGCCTAAGCTTGCGTGCGGCAACTACACCGGATGCGGCAACTGCACGGAGCAGTGGAACTGCGTGTGGTGCGACAGCGACAGCAAGTGCGAGGACGGAGGCGTGTGGGGTCCCAACCAGAACCCATTCAACAGCTGTCCCGACTGGCGGTGGCGTCAGTGCAAGGGTACGTCACCTTTCAATCGTTTTAATTTCAATTTCAACGTAAAGATGATGCTAGCGATTTCGACTACACAGGGTCGAAGGGGAGCAATCCCCTTACGGCCACTGCCGACAACCTCATGACTTTAACCTGATTTGCTTTACCAAATTTTTTGCTTTCCATTCAAGGGAAGATGTCGGGTGACTGACATCCTTCTCTCCACCCACGCAGCCAACGGCAAGGCCATCTTTTGGTCGGCCGTGTGTATCGCCGCGGTCTTGGTCGTCCTGTTCCTCTTCTGCTGCTTCTGCTGCTGCTGCTACTGCCGCAGGAAGCGAAGGTTGAGGCACATCATCTCCAACCAGAAGTCTTGGTCGCAGATCAAGGCCGAAGAGGCCGAGATGGATCGACTCCTCGGCACTCGTACCCCCAAGACCGACACCAGGCGCGAGCAGGTCTACGCCAAGTACGGCCGTCCCGGTGAGCGCAGCGTCAACAACAACCGCAGCAGCCTCTTCGCCCAGTAAGCGGCGAACTTCAACCCACCCGGCGATCTCGAAACATCAGAGACATCATCAGCATCACAGCATCGTCACCAATTTTGAATTCACTCTCTCAGCAACAACAGCACATGTACGCACATTTAATGTAACTGACGCGCATCTCTTTGCGCGCGTGTATAAAAACAAATCTCCACCCCCATCAGCCAAATCCAATCGACCGAGAGGGAAAAAGGGTGAGAAAAGAAAACAGTAAAAGTAGAATCACTTTGTAAACATCATTTTTCAAGACATCATGCTGGCCTCGGGTCTATCGTCGTTGAAAAACATGTACTTGCCATTGAGCCCATTCAGCATGGTGGTATTTACTCAAACGCTCACTCGCCCCCTTGTGCAGCACGACCGGGTTGCGTATGCCTGACGCCACAACGGTCAAGGCAACTACCGAATCGCTCGCCCATTCGATTCAACTTTTGCCCACACTAGGCGGCACCGATTCATACCACGAGAATGGAATCAATTTAGGCGCTGGCTCTGATCTGCTGCAGCGGTACCTTCTTGCCACGACACCCGCGGGTGTTGTTCTCACGACTGACCTTTCTTTCCACAAAGCTACGAAGGGCTCTTGGCGCAGATGCACGAGAACCAGGTCACTCTTGCCGCGCAGGCTGAGGTACCTGGTTCCACTCTTACCGTCTGCACCGTGTCGTGAGCCAGCTCATTGTTTGCGTGGTGAAGACGACGGACCAGAGGGTTCGGCCAGTACTGGAGCGATGCAACGCACAGTACCGAGCCATCAACGCCCTGTACAAGGAGCTGTGGACCCTGCCCAAGGTGCTGGAGGGCCTGGCCAGCTTCCAGCAGTCCCTACGCGCAATCTGCGACGACATCGACAATCTCGAGGTGCTGCTCGCCGAACGCAACGTCGAAGTGGAGGCCCTGGAGCTCGAACGGTGGAAGATCACCCAACAGCACAAGCTCGAGGAGTACCGCCAGATCAAACGGTTCGTAGTGGTCGTGCCTCCGTCGTGACTTGTCTGGGTTGCGTTCATGTTTGCTCACTTTACAATAACGTCATCACCATCGACAACAGTGGCGAACTCCAGAGGTTGGAAAAGGAGATGCAGGCGAAGAAGAAGCAGTTGGAGAAGGAACTGCTAAAGGGCGAGGAACGAGAGAAGAAGAAGCTCGAAGAGGAGGAGAGGAAGTACCGGGAAGCCTGCGAGGCCGCCTTCAGACACTCCATGGAGGAGTTCAAGAAATACGGACCACAAGCTATACCACGTAAGCCCCCTGCCCTCTCGCCATGGTGCCATTGCGCAGCAGTGCGAGTGCTGACAGCTTCCATGACTTCCTTCGTCAGGCGCGCAAGTGAAGGAGTCGCTGGAGCAGATCTCGCTGGGCGCTGTCAGCGACAGCGACCTGGAGCAGTTCCTGGGATCGGACGACGAAGACGACGCGGAGGACCTCATCGGTGAGGACGAGCGCTGGGGACACAAGTGGGAAGCGGACAACGAACCTGAAGACGCGGGAACGAACAGCGAAAGCGAGAAGGAGAAGGGGAGCAACGACTCTGAAGACACGGAAGAGGAAGAGGACAAGCACCAAGCGCCAAGCGAACGGCCTGCGGCGGGGGAGGATGATGAGCAATCGACCCGACAGTGAGGGACGCAGATGGGGCTCTATTTATTTGTAAAGGTCTACCTACCTAGCTTCGTTCTCTCGAGACGTCTAAAGGAGAAGCTGCGGGCTCGTCTTGAACGTGAGGCGTGCGGGTTCGCCGCCATCTTCACCTCGCTCAAGTCTCGAGGGACCACCGAAAGACCCAAGCAGGGGTCGAGCCGAGCTTGATGGAGACATGAACCGGTGGCTCGGCGTCGGCGGGACCACGGGACTTCGGGCACCAGCAGACTCGGTCCATAGCAGAGAGTCCTGCAGGGTAGACCGAGGGCTACGCCTGGGGAGCGAGAACCATGCGTGGGTGCTCTGCCAGCCGTAAGGCATCTGCTCTTGCGATCGGCGCAGGTTCGTCTGTGCGACCTGCGACACAGATGTTTAGCCAGATGGTTCGACTGCCCAGCGAGAAGAGAACAGGTTACCCAGCCGATGGAGGATTCTAACTCTCGCTCAATGGCTGCGCTGATCTCGGCGGAGGAAGGCAGGAGTGCTGATTCGTTTTCGAAAGCGTGCACGAGCTTGTCTTGCTCAACCATCAGCCGTCGGCAGCTCTCGAGCAGATCTGCGACGCCGATGGTCTCTGAGTCGTTCGGGGAGCGCGTTAGGTTGGCTCTTTGGCACGATCACGGACAGGCCGCAAAGGAGGAGCACCTGACGTCAAGGATTTGCTGGCCTTCTTTGGGGGTGTGGCTGCTTGACACGCGACTGTTGACTTGGCCTTCTTCTTCGGTGGGGCCGAGACGCCCAAAGTGGTATCTGTTGCGGTGAAGAGGGATGAGGGCATGGCAGGAGGAGTTTGAGAGGTCCGTACCGCAGACAATCGTCTTGCTCTTGTCGAAGAAGTCGTCTTCGTCAAATGCGAGGCTGATCCGAGGTCTCTCTTTGAACACACCCATCGGTAAGAGTGTAGGCCCGCAGCAAGCAGGGTGAACGTACTCGCAGCCTCAACTGTCTTAGATCGCTTGCCGTTGTTAAACATCCCGAACGTGTTGGGCAGGGAGGGTGGCTGGGGATGGATATAGGATCAGCCTCAGGTAAGAGTTGCTCAGCGTTGGAGGGTTGGGCAACGTACGCGAACTGGCTCAGGATGCCCAGCGCTGGCGTCCATTGTTCCTTCATCTCCGCTGCTCGCTGGCCGTTTCGTTATCTCCTTTGCGAACCCCTTGTCTTTGAGCTGCTTGTTCATCACCTTCTGTACCACCGAATCGATCATCTTCCTCCGCTCCTCGGCGAGCTTGTCCTTCTCTTCAAGGAACACCTCGGTTCCAGCGACAGTTTGAACTGGGGGCTTACCTGCCCAAGTACGCGTGCGCGTCAACCCGGGTGGGAAGTGGAGGGGATGGGGGGGAAGTACTGCTGCTTCGCTGCTCGGCAGTCTTTGGTTGGTATTCGAATCGCTTCAGTGCGGAGGTGCGCGCCAGCTCTTCATCCTTATCGTTCCTCCTCCTCGTCCTGCCCCCTCGCCTTGCTGGAGTTTTCTTCTTGGATTGTTGTGACGCGCTACTACTTTCTGCTGAGAAGGGTGGTTTCACTTGCTCCTCCTGCGTCTTCGCCTCCTCCACGGGTACCTTCTTGCCCAATGCCGCTTTGAACTGCGCTATGCGGCTCTCCGACGACATCAGAGCCTCTCTCTCCTTGAGTCCGTGTACGTGAAGGTCTTGCTTGGGCAGTTCGTGCGACTTGTTCCTCCTCTACTCGCATAGCAAATGTTCGGCCAGGCTCTGGTTTAGGAAAGTTTTGCACGACGAATTTGGTAAATGGTGGAAGACGCGAAAGAAAGAGGGACGAGAAGGGGTGGAGCGAGAGATGCGTTTATTTCTTCCGCTCGATGGTCGTGACTGATGTTACAACAAGTGGCCGGGAGGGCGAAGGGTGACACTTCGCGACCCGACAATAAATAAATAACTTATGTGGGGTGGGGTTGGTTGGGCGTCCCATTTGGGACACCCCGGGGTGTGGAGAGCCGCGTCGCGAGGAACGGAGGTATGTACACCCCGGCACGCCTTGGCGTAGGCGAGGGCCGGGGTTCCTGGGGTAGGCAGCAGCAGCCGCGCGAGACGAAGGAGAGCCGAGAGGCAGACAGGCGAGTCGAGAGCCGGAACGAGAAGTCGCGATCGCGTGAGAGGGATCGGGCGATGTCGTTGGGCGTCGTCGAGTGCGAGTGTGTCGTCGGAGGTCTCCGTCGGTAGGCGCGAGAAGGCTAGCCGCCCAGGGCGTGGGTTCGCTCGAGCGTCGTCGGTGGTCTCCACAATAAATAAATAACTGAGTGTAGAGGATAGAGGGGAGAGCAGAATATCGCGAATAAATAATAGCCGCCGTCGTGTGTACAGGTCGGGTCGAGATGGTCGAATGTCGGATCGATGTCGAACCATGATTCGAGATCTCGTAGTCCCGGACCGAAGAGGTGGTGACGGAGCAGATCGAGAGAAAGATTCGGAGGACGTGGGTAGATAGATGTGGCAGATGGGTTGTTCGTCGATTCGCAGAGCAGCGCAATTGCGACGATTTCGGGGGTCGGACAACGAAGGCCGAGTCTCTAGTTGTCCATGAGGAAGGCGGTCCAGTCGTCCTCGAGCGGCAAGGCTATCTCGACCGAGGGAGGCGACGAGGGGTTGGTGAGGCCGGCGGGCATCGTCACGTAGAGCGGGAGCTGCTCGAGGCCGCTCGACGGGTAGGCTGAGTAGGTGCCGCACGACGAGGCCTGGGCCATGTAGACGGACGACGACTCGGCGGACGAGGCGGGGCTGGTCATCTCCTCAGGCAGCCAGGTGAGGGGCTCCTGCTTGATGTAGGCCGCATCATCCACGGCGGGCATGTTGGTGACGTGGAGGGCCGGTTGGGCCACACCAGCCTTGCTCGCCTGCTGGCACTCGACGCAGTACAGGCAGCCCGACGAAGGCGACGAGACGGCGGCCATCGACGACGAGCTGACGGGGAGCTCCATGCCGGGCTGCTGGTCGGCGAGCATATCGGAGTGCTGAGCCGGGTTGGAGAGGAACATCCACGACGTGGGCGAGGTCGAGCGAGACGACGTGCCGCCGGGCGAGGCCGGAGCGGTGCACACCATGGCCGGCTGCTGCTGGTGCTGGTGCTGCTGCGGGTTCATCATGGTGGCCGAGCCGTTGCTGCCGGGCATGAGACACGAGAGGTAGGTCATCTCCTCGTTCTCGCCGAACGAGAGCGAGCCCGTGCTGCCGGTCGAGAGGAAGATCTTCGAGGCCGACTCGGGGCTGCAGGGCGAGTCCATGAAGCCGCCCACGTCCGAGCCGTCGCTGGGCGAGTCCGGCAGGAGACCGATCTCGTCGCCCGTCGGGAACGCGCGCTCCTCCTCCTGGTTCATCGAGATGCGCTGGAGGTGCGTGTAGTGCTGTTGTGGATCAACGCACGCGAGGCGGAGGAGAGATGTCATTGTAAGTGTCATGTCACAGTTGTAGGGTCACCGGGACATTTTGCCGCGTAATTGTCCGGACATGAAGACGAGGCAGCTGAGCTGGTGGTGGTGGCGATGAAGGGTACCTGCTTGGTGTGGCCGCGAGGTCCCTTGCGGTTGCACTTGATCGAGGGGAAGGCGCGCTTGACGAGCTTCCCGAAAAATGTGGGCGAGATGAGCGGCTTCTTGGTCACCTGCTTCGTGACGTTGAGGTAGTGGTTGTAGACGCTGCGCTTGCTCAACGACCCCGACGTGCCCACCATGTAGTTCTCTCGCAGCCTAGGATGGATGGAGAGGGTCGAAAGAGTTAGCACGTTCGTTGGTTGGTTGGCTGGGTGGTAGAGAGTGTGGGTGCGTACCAGAAGACGATGTGGTTGGCGTGAAGTCGTCGCTCGAGGTTGTCCATGAGCTGCTTGTGCTGTTCCCTCTCACCGTCGGCGACGCAAATCCTCATCGTGTGTGTAGATGGAGTGGTGGTGAAATAAATAATTATGCGAGAGAGGATAGAGTAGAAGCCCCTAGAGATAGAAAATATGAGTGGTTGAGAGCGGTTATGTGTGAAGGAAGTGCTTGCTCTACACCACACGGTGACAAACGACTCAGCTGTCTGGGTTTGGTTTGGTGACGAAAGTACCAAGCAGCGCAGACCATGTTTTATACCCCACCCGACCAAACCGTTACCTGCCGACAAAAAATGATTTATTAATTAACGCGGACATCTGGTTTCGCGTAAGTGTCGACCCTTCCCCAACTCTTTCCGTATCTCCCAAGTCCGAGGGACGAAAACTCCCGGCAAGATGATGTGGCACCAATCGCGTGCTTCCCTTTTCTGCCTCGTGTCTACGGTTGTGCTAGGGTTTAAGAAGGCTGCACTTGACTATTGGTCCACGAGATAAAAGTGCGGCCTGCCATTGGGTCCTTCCGGCCCAATAACCACGCAGCCAATAGCCTGTTTGAGCAACGCGGAATCTCGGTAATGCCGAGACCTTATTTGTCGACCTGATGACGCCAGATCCCGCACACTGCCGCGAGGGTAATAGCAGGCATATATGAGAGGTATGTGTGGTATTTGTGCTGGTGTTGGTGGGCCATGGATTGCCGCAAGGACCATGGCGCAGGGCGAAGAGCCGCGTTGAGGGCGGCCGTGGGTAAAGAGAGAGAGTTGAACACCTCGGCCAGAGGTCAAGGAGACGACGGTGGAGCGTTGCAGTGACCTACGCGCCTTGGGATTCTGTAGACCTACCAACCGGTTCAGCCAATGCCATCCGCTCCGGGCGCTTTGGCGACGGGTATCCGTGCGCCACCCAATCGCACGGCGAGAGCCCCGTTAACATGGCGCCCGTGTGCTCGGCCCCTTCGGCGACCTCTGTTCGGTGACGTTGCAGTGTGGCGCCTCTTTGTGCCGCGTCACCTCGACACCCGTTCCATCGAGCCGACACACAAGGGGACAGGAGTGCCGGGGCAAAGCGGTTTATGCGCGCGGTGCGGCGGGATTGGGCGCAAACAGAGCAACGTGTGCCTGGTTGGTCGCGAGGTAGAACGGTGTTGACGACACCGAAAAACAAAAGGGGGGCCTGAGAAGAGAGCACGTCACTACCGGTCTCCACCTGGTCTTCTTCGCTACAGAGTTGAACTCTTTCAAACCCCTCAAAACAAACAAACGCGAACCGAGCAGAACTGACTGTCTCTCGCCAGCGCACTACTCCCTTCAGCCCAGCGAGCGCCACACAAGACACAACACCACAAGATGAAGAGGAAGGCAGTCGCCGCGGCCGTGAACCCTAAGCTCGCCAAGTTCTCCAAGAAGGACACTGAAGAGAAGCAGCTCGTCGTTATTCACTGGTACGCGCTGCTCCCTCCACTCTGACCTAATCTTTCGCTCGTCTCGTCTCGTCTCATCTAATCTAAACTCACTCTTTGTTTTGTGTTCTTCTTCTTCTTGTGCGTCCAGGCTGCGTCAGAACTACTACTTGGGCAGCGGCGGTTCCACGCCCAAGGCGCTGCTGTTCCAGGAGTACCTCGACATGTGCCAGGCGGAGAACGTGGAGCCCACCTCCAACTCGGCCTTTGGCAAGCTCGTTCGCACGTACGTCCCCCCCACAGCCCTTCACCCCCTCCCCCCTTCGCCCAACGTGGCGCCTCGGACCTCGCGGTCTTGTGTCCAAGGAGCTTTTTTCCTGCTTTCTGTTTGGACACGTCCAGCCAATTACAAAGTGCCAAATCTTGTCTCGACCTAATTTTTTATTTTTAATCTTCATTTTTGCTAATTTTGCTTTCGTTTTGTTTTTTGGTTACAGGGCCTTCCCGGGCGTGCAGTCGAGCAGGAAGGGACCGCGCGGGGCGGCCAAGCACCAGTACAAGAACCTGCTGCCCATCGCCCTGGCGGCCGGCGGCGAGCGAGCACGCGTGGTGGTGAGCAGCATGGGCGAGAGCGAGCCCAGCAGCGAGGCGCACGACGACGAGGAGTACGAGGAGGAGCTCGAGGCTTCTTCGAGCTCCTTCACCATCGTCGGCTCTTCGTCATCGCCCGTCTCTTCGCCGCAGCAGGCCTCGCCCGTTCGCCACCGCCGCCAGGCCTACGAGTCAAGCCCGGTCAGCGACGAGTCAAGCTCTTCTTCTTCCTCCTCTTCGTTCTACTTCTCGTCCGCGCCCGGGCCCGTTCCCTCGTCGCCCGCCTCGTCGGCGCTGGAGGACGGCGACCAGCTGGCCTCTTCCCCGACGCTTTCGTTCTCCTACTCTTCGTCGCCGTCATCGTCACCCCTGGCGGTGATGCCGATGATGACCCACTCGGCCGAGTGGATGCCGCCCATCTTGCAAGTCGTGGACGGCGTGTCGGCCCAGCACCACCACTGCCAGCACCTCCCGTACCGTCAGCACGAGCTCGAAGAGGGAGCGCAGAGCTCGTTCGATGACATAATCGACGCCTACGGCGCCGAGGCCGCGGCGGCGGCCGAGCAGGGCGTGTGGGAGGGCGACGACGTGGAGGCCTTCTTCTCGATCACGACCAGCCCCTACGCCGCTTCGAGCTTCCTGATGCCCTCGGCTCACGGCTACGGCTCGTTTGGCACCGACTTCGGGTTCGTGGGCGCGAACGAGCGACGAGAAGAGGAAGCTCAGATGATGTGGTGCAGCAGCGGCTCGAGCGTGGAGGATATATTATCCGCCAACAAGGGGGAGGAGTGGATCGACAACATCCTCCAGGGCTGCAACTAGCATCGCCACGACATCAAGCGGATCGTGGAGTGTAAAAAAGAGCGAGGGCGGGTGGTGGCAGTGCACACGAGAATCGCTGTGCTGCGTGTATTATTCAGACATAAAATTTATGTGTACTTTACGCAAGTGTTTCCTGGGGGGGCAACAGCACGCAGGTTGCGGTACCGAGGTCCGATCACACTCGCACAGGCATCAGCCAACGGTCGTCCCTGCGACACAAGAACTTCCCATCACACCTGACCAACTTGGTGATTATTTTGTTTTTTTTAACTGGATCATTTTTCACATTCCTCACAGTGTCCAGCAGAAGCAACAACAACATGTTTTTTCAAAAGCTGTCAGGCCTATATTGGCCTGTATTCAGCCTTGGCAGAACCTCAAATGCAAGGCTTGGGGGCCACAAAAAAGGGCACTCTGACCTCCTTAATCAATCACCAACAGTGACATGAAGAGTTGTACAGAGGCCTCTGATGGCCCACCCTGACACATAATATCCCACAGGTTACAACCAGAGGTGTACAACACAGGCTTGTAGCTCATGGTGAGGCTATTAAGTTTGGCCATAACACATATATTTGGATCAGGGCAGGATACCAGTTCATCTCTGAACCAAGTTTGTGAAGTCTACTGACTCAACTTGCAATTTGCTGCAAGGACTGTAATTCACATTTCATCTGGTGGCAGGCTGGAAGTGGAATGTATGCACTTTTCTATTACTGCTTGGTGTGACTTTTCCTGAGACTGGCTTTATGCAGACAATAAAGCAACAGGCACCATGTGATGGACACCCTCAAAGGAACTTGTTGGGTAAAATTGGCCAATACGTCAAGCTTTGTGGCTCCTTTCTACAGCGCATGGGACAACTAAGTGGCCAATAGGACACGCAATCGACTTTACAGAATGAATGAGGCCCACGAATTGCTCAAAACCATTTCTTCATCCCCACCCCCCACACCACCCACATCAGCTATGCGAGTGCAGACCGCCGGCCCAGGATCTTCGGGGTATGAGCCCAACAGGCTGGACCCTGGCAAAGCGCTGCCGTCGGCTCGCGTGCAGGGTACCCGAGTGCAGGCGGCCGGTCCCGGCAGCAATAGCTACCAACCCAACAAGGTTGATGCTGGCAAGTTCGCGCCTTCGGGCCACGTCCAGCCAGGCTTCGTTCGAGCGGGTACGAAATTTGCCCCCAACAAGATTTCCATCGATCGTAACGATTTACGTTATATCTTCATTTCATGCTCAGGCTCTACGGCTTCGGGTCCAGGCACTGAAGTGCACCGTCAAGCGGCAACGCCAGGTTGGGCCACCAACGTGTCTCGTGACACGCCCGTCAACGCGGCGCCTCGCCCCAGTGGAGGCGGTGGCGCGAGCGGTGCGCGTTTCTGTTCCCAGTGCGGTAATCCAGGGAATGGAGCCCGCTTCTGTTCCGAGTGCGGCAACCAACTATAAGATGACCGTCCCAGTGGGTGTACCGTCGTGCAGTCGAAGGTAACCTATCGTTAGCATTGTGTATTCTAATCGGTGCACCGCCAAATAAATGGTGGGGTACTAATCTTAAAAAAAACAATAATGACTTTCCCTTGTTTGGATCTGGCGGCTTTGTTTGCAAGAGAAGAGACGCGAAGACGAATCAAGAGGCAAGCGGAAGATGGTGAGAATAGTGGGTGGCAGCTACGCCGCGTGGATCGCTATGCTTTTGTTGTGGGTGCCCTCGGTCATTGCCGTTTTCCTCTATTTTGGCTGGACCACCGACACCTACCCTTCGTACCGCCCCCATCCCTCTTGTTCCACTTCTACCCAAGACCTGCGGTGACGATGGTGTTCTCCCTTCCTCTAGGTATGATGCGACGCTCTACCAATCCAGGGTACCGCCCTTCCCCCGGAACACCTTGGCCTTGGATGCTTGATTGAACTGGGTGTTGATTACTCTCTGCCCAACGTTCAGCTCGACCCAATGTACCTGAAGCAGCTCTGGGACTACAGGCGCTCCACCTTCTCCTACTTGCTTGGTACGACTCGCCTTTGTGCTCTTGTGCTGTATGACGCGTTCCACTGTGGAACTAACGGAGCTGTTGGTCACGTGCCATGCAGCCATTGATTTCTTCGTGTGCGCGGTATGCGACCGGGACAACCACCTTCTGGCATGAACATGCCTCACACTTGCTGGCCTCACTTCTTTTTCTATGTTGCCCACAGGGTCTCCTCTTTGCGCTTTACAGCATCATGTGCGTGAAGAAGGTATCGCCCTGTTTCTTGTCGCTCTGTCGGCCAATCCACCACACACGCATGCCGCCAGCCACGAGTGCACTAACGGGGTCAATGCAGATCTTCAAGCACTCTCCGGGGCTGGCCAAGAACCTCATGGTCTATGCCTTTGTGGCTGCCACCATCCTCCCCATCTTCGAGTTCTTGAAGGACATGGGGTACGGCACCGCCTTTCGACAGCAGCCGTGGGCGACTATTCTAACGTGCTGATGCAGAGCTTATGAAGAAGCCTACAACCTGGCCGAAGAGGTCAAGGACTACGAGGCGGGTCATGAAGTCAACTACAGCGCCCTTGAGATCAGCTTCCGCATGACCCAGGTGCGTCAGTTCAACTGTCTCTCAATTGTCTCTCTTTCACGCTGCCCCCGACCACGTCTTTACTTCTCATCATCGGTGGTGCAGGCCCAAAGCATTTGGATCTTCTCGTCAATCTACCTGGCCGTGGGCCTCGCGCTGCTGTGTGCCTCGTACCTGTTCTGGAGGAAGCCCGACTTCCCCAGCAAGGGCCACGCGTACCTGGGCATCGTCATCGCGATCATCGGGTTCCTCTCCTTCGCCTTCGAGATCGCCTCCTTCTTCAACGAGGACCTCCTGGTCGTGTTTGGTGTCACTACGCTCTTCTGGGGCGTCGTTGCCTTCCCGGTATGCCACACTACTTACTACCCCTCCACAATCACCTTTTTCTTGCCGTTTCCGCTCGCTGACCCGCCCCGGGGCGTCAGTTGTGGCTCCTGTGGCTGGGCACTCGCCTCCACCGCGTCGCCGCCATCGAGGTCATCGCCGGTACCTCTGTTCTCCTCACCCTCTCACTCTCCACTCGCCCACCTGACCCCCTTCGACAGCCCCGCGTGCAGGACAGCGCACGGCGCCTGTGCACGACGACGATGACCTGGACCTGGATATTGACGCCAACATGAGGGCATGAACGCTGAAGAAGACGCGACTTGAGAGCGCTCTTGGCTTGAGCAAGACGAATAAATAGCGCGTGTTGGAGAAAGAAGTGGTGCGTCGATGGCTGTTGGTTTCAACCACCCCTCTTGGCTCGGCCTCGCCCCCATCCGCCTCTTCGTGCTCCACGCCAGCTCTTCTTCTTGATGGTGCTGCTTGCCGACGAGAACGACGACGTTCGACTTGCCTTGCTTCGTCCTCGTCCCGTTCCCCTTCCCCTGCCTCCGCCTCTTCCCCCTCGCTTGGGGGGCGTAGCGGCCTCTTCGATCTCCTCCACCAGGTCGACCTCCACGGGTTGCTCCTCTTCCTCTTCTTCGTACGCTGGCTTTTTGGCTCCTCTTCCTCGTTTCTTCTTCTGCTTGTTGAACTGATTCTGGTAGTCGTACGGCAACTCCTGGGTCGCCCACAACGGCCTGTCGCACACACACGCACGACGCACGACACAGGCAATAATATCAGCCTCTGCGCGCGTTCGTTATGTGCCAAGGGGCAGGCCAAGACGCACTTGAAGTTGAAGGTGACGTCGTCGTAGTTGTCCTCGTCCTCGGCGCCTTCCTCCCCGCCCTCCGTTGCCGGTCTCTTCTGCGACCTTGCGGGTTGCGAGTCGGGGACGAGCGCGACCGAGCCAGACGACGACGAAGACGAAGACGACGACGCCGATGCCGGAGCGCGCTTGGCGAAGAAGGAGTTCAGAGTGCCATCGGCCGGCGCGTCGTTGGCACCGAAGGAAGAGGGCAGCTTCCGCGAGCTCTGGCGCACCAGCGGCAGGCGCGTCCTCGTCACCGTCCTCCTTCCCTCACACTCGCCCGCGCCCCCTCGCCTCGCCTGCTCACCGCTGGCCCCTCCGCTACCGCCGTTCTCGCGCAGGGTCATCTCGTGGTGCACGTGCTCTTCGAGCTCCACGCCGCGCCGGAAGTGTCGCTGGCAGAACGGGCACTCGGCCTTGTCTCCCTCCGGCCCGCCGCCGTCGCCGCTGCACTCGATCTCCTCCTCCTCTTCATCGTCCAGCACCACCCCCTCGACGCCCGGACCCGCACCGCTTCGACTTGGTGGCTGCGGCCTCGGCGCCTGTTGCCCGCCAGCGGCGGAGGGATTCCGCTGCTCGAGCTCGGCTTCGACGTGGGCCTGCAGCAGGTCGGCGCTGAACCGCTGCTCACAGAGAGGGCACTCCTCCCCCTCCACGTCCTCTACGCTGTCCTCCAGCGCGTTCTCTTCTTCTTTTTCCTCCTCCTCGACGCCTCTCTCGTCGAGGGCCACGGGCGAGGGTGGCTTCGCTTTCGCGTTGCCGCCGGTAATCTTGAGCGGATTGAGCTTGGGATGGACGACGCCACGCTCACGGCTGCGCGTCTTTCGCAGCTTTCGGGCCGGCGCCTCTGCTTCGTCGGCCCTCTTCTTACGGAGTTTCTGGGAACGATTGTCATCTGCAGCACCGAAGAGGTCGGCCAGCAGCTCCTCCTCATCGAGCGCCTTGAAGTCATCTGCCTTCGGTTTGGCAGCACTTGCACTTCGCGAAGTGGTGGCAGGTGGCTTGTTTCGTTGTTTAAACGGCCAAGGCGCGAAGGCCTCATCATCCTCATCCTCATCTCGGCTGCTGTTCATCTCTACTTGCTGCGTTGCCAGTCCATCGAGATCGACCGACCCTTCCGTCGTTGCTCGTTCGCTCTCATGGACTTCGAGTTGCACCAGTTCCTCCTCCTCGGATTCGTCCAGCACAATGACCGCAACCACCTCCTGCTTCTCCATCCATTCACGTCCAAATGGCCTCTTCTGTCTTCCGTTGCTCGAAAATGTTCTCAGAATTGCATTTATTTATTATTTTCTTTGTTTCTGTTATTTTGCGTAACGATCAGAAGATCGAGGGCCATTTGATCGAGGCTCGCATTCATTTTCTGCAGCCGAGGTTTTGTACTCGCGCAGACCCGCCCATTCGCGAATTCAACAAATGCAGCAGAGAAGCGGGCACATTCCCGCATCGGTTGGCGGAATGCAGCAGCGAGCAACTGGGGGCGTTCAATACGGCTACGGTGGAGGGAGCATTCCAGGAGCCACTTCGAGCACTCCGGGTGGAATGATCTATGGCGGCCAGTCCCACCCACCGACCTCTGATGCCTCTGCCTACATGTACATTCACTCGCCCCTTCCCATTCGTGATTTCCCTTTTGCTATTTATTTATTTTCATTTTTTGGCGTTTCGATTGTCGGGATGGTGTCATCCTGTGCTGACGCATCGTCGCCGTTTGCAGGCCCTACGGTGCTGGTGCAGCAGGCTATCGCCCAGCGGCAGCGCCGGCTGCCGCTTATTCCATGCCCGCGGCTGCCGCGTCACCCTATTCTCTGGGGGCATCGGCACCGCCACCAGCGGCCTCCACGCCCGTGCCTTCTTCTCCCGCGTCACTCTATCAGCCTTCCCCCTCATCTGTCGTCTCTCCCTCCACTGCAGCCTTGTCCTCTCCTTCGCCCTACGCACGTCCCGTCACGGCACACGTGCCCTCGTCACCATCTTCCTCGGGAGGAATGCGGTCGTCCATACCGCCAGGCTCCAGCGTCTCATCTTCCTCATCGTCCTCCTCGTACACGGGAGCGCCGCTGAGCCTCTCCACGTCACACGTCAAGCGAGAGCCCTACCCCGTGCCCACCTGGGAACAGAAGGAGCGCGAGTTTCGAGAACAACAGCAGCAACAGCAGCAACAGGCACAGCAGCAACAGCAACAGCAACATCACCCGGCGTACTCGCACCAAGCCTCGCATTATCAGCAGCAGCAGCAGCACCACCACCAGCACCAGCAGCCACCGCAACAGCAACCCGCTCCAGGCAAGTGCTCTCCCTTACGTGTTGTGCGTGCGTGCGTGCTGTGAGGTTCTGACGTGGTGGTGGCTCACAACGTTTGGCGATGTGGCGTTCGGGCATGACGATGGCTTCTAACGTTGGCGATCGTACACCAGACCTGCACGGGGCGTTTGCGACGAGAGGCGACGCGTTCAAGAGGCTCGCGCTTGTCGCCAGCGCACTCGATTCGCCCACACCGGCCTTCGACGCCGAGGAGTGGGAAACGGCCAGCAAGAGCAAGTGCGCCGCGATCAATAACAAAACTGAGGCCGCCACCAAGCGCTTCGTCTCCCTACTTCAGGCCGAGATGGACTACGGTACGCCCGTCGCTGCGCTGCGTGCTGTGTGCTGTGTGCAGCGATTTGTGTTTTGTGTCGCGTTGGTGGCGTTTTGTGTTCTGATCTCTCCACTCCGTGTTGTGCGTTCTCAGGCGGGCACCCCGAAGACACAATTTTGATTCTCCAACTGCAGTGCGCCGACCTCCAGCACGAAATCTGGGCAGAGCGGCAGCGGGAGCACCGACTCGCGGCCAGTGCTGCAGCGGCCCACCACGGCGGCGGCTTCTCCGCCATGTCGCCCTACGGCTCCGCCTCGGAGAGCAGCAGCTACTCTCCCGTCGTACCCTCCTCTCCCTACGGCCACCCCACCTCCTCCTCTTCGGCCTCTCAACAACCATCATCATCGTCGCCCTACCCCAGCTTCCAACACCCCTCACACCCCGCCTACGGTCCCTCCTCGTCGTCGATGCCTGGTGGCGGCGCCTACGCCACCGTGAACGGGCCACCGGCCACCATGTCGCCAGCCCACCTGCCCCCGCACCACCCCTCGCCTTCCACCAACTACAGCTACCCGCACTCTGCCTACTACCAGTAAGAAAGGAATCCTGAACGAACATCACCACCATCACGACACCACAGTCGTCTTGTTGTACAGAGCGCCACCTTAAGAAAAGGAGTATTTATTATTTTCCCGCATTTTCCTTGTGGTGCGCGGCACGTGCCTTCGACATTGCTGCGTGTGCGTTGTGGTCTGCAGCACGCGCCTCAGGCATTCGGCACAACAAACTACGAGTATGGAAGACGCCATGTCGAGTTCAACGGTGGGCGGCCTGCTGGTGGAAGAAGATGAGGTGGAGGACGAAGTGCAGGCCAAGTCGAGCGGGGAGGTGGTGCCGCCCGTCCTCGGCGGGGGTAGCGCCCGTACCTACGTTCCCTTGAAGGCCAAGCACCTGGTCCGATTGGTGCAGAAGATGAGCCACGCGAAGCCCCTGAAGCTGAGCGGGATGGACCTGCAGGGGTTGAGCCTGTGTGGCATGGACCTCACCGGCGCCAGACTCTTTCGGTGCGACTTGCGCGGAGTCGACTTCCAGTGGGCCAACCTGACCGAGGCCACCCTCACCGACTGCAACCTCACCGGGGCCAATCTCAAAGGTGCCAAGCCCCACCACCACCCGCGGGCCGACAACCCATGGCTCATTGGGAGTGCCTTGGTAGATGCGACGCTGTGTAGGACGTACCTGGGCCTGTCCGTGATGCGTGGGGCCTGCTTGGAGGGTACCCTCGCTCCTCCTGCTTCTTCTTCTACTTCCGCAGGCCAGAGGGCGCGCCGCTCACTTCCGTGGTGCACGCGCGGGCAGGGGCGAATATGCGCGAGGTGCAGCTGGCCAGCACCAACCTCACCCGGGCGAACCTCTCCGGTAAGCACTTGGGCCAGAAAAACAAGCCAAGGAAATTGCGGAGGAGCGCTCGGTTGAACTGTCTGTGCTGTGGGTTGTTGTGTTTGCAGGCGCGAACTTGCACTTGGCCAGGCTCGGGAAGGCTCAGCTCCGAAGGGCGAACCTCAGCGGTCCGTGCCTGCTGCTCTCGAGCCCATTTATCATCGATGCACTTGGGCTCACGATGTTGTTGGTGTGGTGCACTTTCCCTACAGGGGCGAACCTGGAGGAAGCCCAGCTCGAGGATGCTGATCTGCGACAAGCCAATCTCGCCAGTACTGTGCCTAGTTGTGCTTTTGACCTGGTGGAGAGCAACCCGCACTGACATTCCTGGTCACCAGACGCCAAGATGACCAAGGCAAACCTGATGCACGCAGACCTCCGAGAGGCAAACCTGTCCGGTACCTCTCAACCCTCCATCGAAAAGCTTCGCATGAGCTCATAGCAGCGGGGACTGGCATCGCAGGAGCGGTGATGCTGCGTGCCGACTTGAGGAGCGCCATCCTCCGCAGGGCCGATCTGTCTGGTGCGCTCATGACACCAATCTCGGAGGCACTGCGCCCACTCTGTGGGCCAATTGCTCACTGCCTCTTGAACGAGCAGGTGCTGCCCTTCCAAATGTCGAGCTGCAGAGGGCGAGCCTTCGGAGAGCCAACCTCACTGGTGCGTGCTGCTCACTTGCCGAGATATAACCCTCCTTGATCCTCTGCTCATTGCATCGTACAGGTGCAAACTTGACCTGGGCCACCCTCACTGACGCTGATTGCACGCAAGCCAACTTGTCTGGTACCCGCGTCCTGCCTGTCATTCCCGGGCGGTAGAAATATGCACTCACATCTTCCTTCTCAGGAGCCAACATGGCGAATGTGTCATGTGGTGGCACAACCTTCACCAACACCAACTTTAGTGGTATGTGGCGAAACCATGTCGCACATGTTCCTCCTGTTCTACTTGTGCATGCTCATCACCCACATGCCAACCCGCGCAGGAGCCAACCTCTCTGGCGCAGACCTGAGCAACAGCACATTGACTGGGGTAAAGCTCTCAGAAGCCAAGCTCCACGGCTTTCCACCCACCAAGCTCCCACAAGGGTTCCAGCCTTGACCTCGCTACCAGCGGAAATAAAGGAAACAACTGTGTTTTATGTCTGGTCCAGAAAGCGCAGAAACAGCTTCCCTTCTGGCTTCGCAGCGGTCGTGCAAACGTCTGGTCCTCGGGTGCTTGCTCACCTACGTGTCGGGGAACTCCTTCTCGATGTCGACCTGCAGCTTCCGCATGCCGTCCACCGTGTCCGCAATCATCTTCATCGTGAAGTCGAGTTAAGGAGCAAATGCACGCGTTCCACACGACACGACACGACACGCACACGACACGCACACGACACGAGACACTGCATAAAGGATATTCTTCCTCGAGGATGGGCTGGATCTTCTTGAGGTGCCGTTCGCTGATGGCGTAGGGCGTCTCCTCCTGCTCCTTTAGCAGCTCCGTTGACTGGTTGCGCAGCTGTACAGCAAAACATGGCGCGCATCAGAAACCGGCCGCTGTGTTGCGAGAGGGGGGAGGGGATCTGGCACCTGCTCGATCTTCGCCTTGAAGGCGGGCAGCATTTGCTTCTTCTCTCTGAGCTCCTTGAGGAACTGTTTTTCGGCCGAGGACAGGCCCTGCTTCTGCGACGTAATCAAGTCCATGACCTGGTGCGTCGGGCGCATTCGTAGAGGAGAGAGAGTAAGGCATGCGCAGTTAAACATGCGAATGAGCGCAAGGTTCGTACGAGCTGCGAGCGCTGGGTGAGGATCTTCTGGAACTCGGCGGCCTTCTCAATCTTGGCCTTGAGGGAACGAACGTCAAGTTATGAGAGGCAGAACCGAGGGCACGGGATTGTAAGCACAAACAAACAAGAGAAGAGTTGTAATCACCTGCAAAACATCGCCATTCTGCTGCAGTCTCTCCACAGCCTCGGCTATTACTCTGGCCTGTTCCTCCTGCCTCTCGTGCACCGAGCTCAGCACTTTCGCTCTTTAGCGGCGAATGAATTAGTCGGCGTGGCTCAAGTTAACACCCATTTGGGGGGGAGGGGGGCTCTGATTAGAGGGCGCGTACTGGTTGTGGATCTCAGCGCTCAAACTCTTGATGTGCAGAACGTATTCCCGTCGGAGTAGCTGGCATCGCTCCACCATGAACTGAAGTGCCTCCGGAGATGAATAGGACAGCGCTCCCGCGTCCCGTGTCGAGATAGGAGGAATACTGAACCAGAGAAGAAGGTCAAGCCATCGAGTGGTGAGTCTTCCATTATCCCTGGAAATGAAAAGGGAAGAACGAAGCTGATGGTGTGCTGGATGGGCAGGGGACGCGGTACCGCGGAAGCCTTTTTTCCAGCAGGGGCAGGATGGCAGCCTCGAATGGGCTTTGCGCTGACGGACCTACGTAGGTCAATTAAGGGTCGGGGAAGGCGATGAGCAATTGGTGACAACGCGCTAGCAATCGTGAAATGGGGGCGGAGAGAACCGCTTGAGGCCGCATGGGTGATCGGGGACAGGGGGATAGTAGGTGGAGCAGGGAGAGAGGTGGCATAGATAGATTCGTCCAACTTGATGCAGAGGCACTTCCACTATTGTCAAAGCAACGCAGTGAGTGAGCCGGTCGGAGAGAGGGGAGGCTGTGGTTGAAGGCGCGTACGGTGGAGGTGATCGCTACGAAAAAGTTGAGCAGGCCCGGGTCTTTGACGACTTCGAACCCGAGCAGCGGTGAGGGCTCCGTGAAGCTTGAATCTGTTTCACAAAGGGGCCCAAGGTAAGCAACTTTGACAAAATGTGTAGTGCCAACACTGGTGAGCGCGGGTCAGTAAGCAGAAAAGCGAACCGGAGGCAGAAGCGACGGTCTGGAGGAGGACCTCCTCCTCGGTGGGCGGAAGATCGGGAAGTGACGAGCTACCAGAAAGGGCAAAAAGTTCGAGCTTGTCAAGCCACGCGAGTCGTAGCATATGTACTCCTACGAGAGGGAACGTGAACAAAAGAAGTAGGCTGTAGTGCTGAGGTGAGGACATACCCGCGGCATGTCGAATGTAGACGTGTGCTTTGTTGACGGGATCCAGAGACATGATAGGCGCGAGAGCAGAATGCAGCAATTGTTCCTCATCCTCATCCGGACTCAATTTGGTGAACACCTGTGCGTGGTGGCGTGAAGCATGCGAATTTAATGGCGAGGGACAGCAGGGACAGCGGAGAGGCACGGTACCGTTAGGCCCAAGTCGATTCTATCGAACGTGGTCAGTGAGGCGGCAGTCTCCACATCCTCCTCTGCCAAATTACAACACGCACGCACGCACGCACGACACACACCACCACCACAAAGAGAGAGAGAGAGAGAGAGAGTACAAGTCAGAACCACGCAGTGCCAATCGAGCTGATGAGCGAACGAGAACCCGCGTGAAGATGGAGCCAATCGGGCTCGAGGTCATCAAAGGAGAAGAAGATGTCGACGAAGCCGTTCAGGAAGCAGCGAATGATCACAGTGGGCGATGACGGAATGCTGAGAATGCCAACAGGCTGATAAATGCGAGCGAAAAGAAGAGCTTTAGCTTTAGTACCGCAAGATACCAGTGCACTCGGTTCTCGGAGGTAAGGAAGTTGGAGGTGTACCACTTGGCCTCTCTTTGGCGGTTCAAATCCGTCAGAGGGTTCGAGAGGTCCCTGGAGGACTGGAGACAGAAGAAGTCTGTTTGGTGGTCTCCTCGTGAGGATCCACCCCTCACTCCCTCGCGACCTGTCCTTTCGCTTGCCTTGTCTCTGTTCTCGCCCTGCAATTGGACCACGTTGGTTACGATGGCAAACGGTCAGGTTCAACCGGTCCGCCCGGTCTCTGCGCTGCCCTATCCCAAGTGGTGCGTACCGCCGTATGCTTCGTCCGCGTCCCATTCGTTGCCCTCCGACTTGAGGACCGTCTGTCCTCTCACTGTGCATGAACTTAGCAAAGAGTGCCAAGGCCGAAGTAAGCGCGGGGGGGGGAGCGCACCTTCGGTTAGCCAACTGAGCTGCGTCCGATATCGTTTTTGTGCTGTTTCCGCGAGGTCGGACTTTCCGCCCTCACTTCCCTCCATGCTGGCCACCGTCTTCTCCCTTAGCCGTGTGAGAATGCCTTCGGACAGCAGCGCGTTGTACGGCACAACAGGGCTGAGCCCAAATATCTCACCTACGGATAACGGTGAGCACGGTGATAACACAAGTGCAAGAGATATTGAATTGTACCTTCCTCCATCAGGAAGTAGATCGTGAAACAGTCCCACCCCAGCCGCGAGGAGCCAAAAGAAAAGTCGATGGCGGTGAAGTCGAACTCGTCCTGGTACGGATAGAGCTCGTACAAGCGCAGGGCTTGCTCAGGCGCGTCGAAGTCGGACGCCAAGTCGTAGATTCTACGCAAGGGTGTATCGTGTGCCACGGTCAGCGAATGCTGCATTCTCATACAGCGAGCGGGCAAAGGCTGAGAGGGAGCAAGAACAAACCTGAGCGTGTTATCCGAGGCAAGAATGGCGAGGTGATTGTCGCTCAGTGGGTGCCAGGCTGCCTTGTGCACAGCAAGACGCGGGTTGGTGGTATGGAGGAAGCTTCCGATATTGTGCGTCCTGCAGCAGAGCGGGCATGAGATGGGAGGGAGCTTGGTCATGAGGGAGGCAGAGTGGTAGGTACCGGCACTCAATCTCACCGGACCGGTTCTCCTCCCTGAAGAACTCTCGTCTGGTGTGGTCTGAGATCTCGATAACGGCACACCTGTACTGGCCCACCGCGCACAGAAAGTTGGACTTCTCATTGAAGAGCAGCTCGCGTATGGGAAACTCGATGGGTGGCTTGCAGTGGATCGTCTGCACAAAACGGGATCATAAGAATCAAGCAGATTGGAGAAGAGTGGAGGAAATCGGCACCTGATACGATTCGTCTGCACCCTCCGATCTGATTCGCTTGAGATTGATCACACTAATCGAGCTGCTGTCGTCCTCCGGGTTGTGAAAGAAGAGCTGCTGGAAGGAGTCCAGCGCGAGCACATTGCGGACGAGTTTGCTCTTCTCGCCGCTGGCAGATCGCTGCGCCTCCTTCCACACGCCATGATTCTCCAACGCTGAAAGAAAGGCCGAGCCTGCCATCATTGAAATGATTTAATTGATGTAAATGGCACAAATTACCACGATAAAACAAAATTCCTAGCTTGCATCAGCAGTGACGCCATACCAGAGAGTTGCTTCTGCATTTTGGCGTGCAGTAGGGTCGCTCCGTGGCAATCGATCACTTTGAAAGAGGGCCAAACTGATTTCTTTTGTGATTCTTCCCTGCAAAAGCGCGGGAAAAAGGGGGCAAACGCAAACACACGGCCAAATGGAAGTGAACCAAGCAAACAAGAGCCGATTAGACCGACACTTTGCCGCTGCGAGGGGAAGGCGTGGAGCGGAAGATGGCAGCAGCGAGCATGGCGGCAATGCGCAGGTAAACGAATTCTGGACTCGTTTTAATTCAATCAAGAATGAATACGATCCGAAGCCTCCAAGCGAAGACCTCTGCCTTGATCATTTGAAACGACTCGAGGGCTGTATAGAGACTGCCCAAAAGTTGCTCAACGAATCGACCTTCTTTCTCCCGCCCTACGACGTTAGATCAGCCCAGAACGTACCCGAACACCCACCCTGACCTTTGTCGAGGACTTTCTCTGATCTTCCTGTCCACCGATTGGCATAGACAATCAACGGCCTCACAGAAGAGCTAACCAAGCAGCGGGAGCTGAACCGACCAAAGAAGAAGTTTGCCTTCAAGTCGCGCCAAGCTGCTTCGAAGCAGGCAGCACCACAAGTATCGGCCGAACAAGAGGCCTCAGTACCTACCCCTTTCCTTGCCCATTGTGCAAGAGGGGCAACTAACGAAAGCGCCCCTACACGCACAAGGCCGCCGTGCATATCGTCGTCGAAGAGGAGGGATTCAAGGACCTTCAAGGCCAGGTGCTGCTAAGGGAAGCTGCATCGAGACAGGGCGACATGGCCGACTTCTCGCTGTCCAACCTCACAGACTGCACTGTGTACATTTGCGCTCCGCTGCGCGCTATTAGGTACGCGTCATCGCCATCTGCTTTTATCACAGCAGCGCCCTAACATGCGTGTGCGTAGAATGTACAACCTGAAGAGCTGCAGCGTGTTCGTCGGACCGGTAGCAGGTTCCGCCCTCCTGTACGATTGTCAAGGGTGCTCATTTTCCATCGCCTCCCAGCAGGTGCGACTTTCAATTGACGCCTTTGCGCATTCGAGCCGAGAATCTTAACGCGTTTTGTGTTCCATCCCTCGTGCATCGCAGCTGCGCGTGCACAACACCACCGACAGTGACTTCTACCTCCTGGCGAGAAGCAAGCCAATCATCGAGAATTGCGATCGGGTGCGATTCGCGCCATACAACTTCAGCTACGCACAACTCGAGGAGCAATTAGAGGTAGGCTTCTTACACCCTGCCGTTCATACCCATGCTCACATATCACTCACACTACATCAGGAGTCGCTGGATGTCCCAACCAACTTCTGGAACAGTGTCGAAGATTTCAACTGGCCTCGGATAGGTGAAGTAAGCCCCTACTGGTCCATACTACCGGAGGAAGAACGAAGGGCAACAGTTACCCCTCCTTCACGACCCTCACCCGCTGTTTGAATGTGACGCGATCAATACTCACTTCAAAGGGGCGATTCCGTTCTGGCCTTGTGTAGAGTGCATTTGTTCCCTCGCGAGCAACGTCAGCACAACCGCGGGTACCACCCACCCAAAGTCCAGGACTTGGGCCATAACGGGAGACCGCAGTTATAGAGGAAGCCGCGCACAGTCTTCCGGCTCGGCTCCGTGTCCATGTCGCCTGTTTTGACGGGAACCTGCACACCGCACTCGCCAGCGAAGGGCATGAACCACCACCATCCATCGTCGCGCATTGCGGCGAATATGTAGAAGACAGCTCCTGCACCGGTCGAGATCAGCCACACCACCTTGGTGCAGAGTCTTGAGGGGGAGGCCGCACCGATGAAGTAGACGATGTCGGCGTTGCGGTACATGTACTCGGTGGCGTAGCTTGCATTGTCGTCTTGTACCTTGGCGTTGTAGACCACGTAGACGAGCGAGGCCGTGAGGGTACAGTTCCAGGCGATGACATCAGGGTCATCAATCGTCCATCCTGGCAGGAGAATTAGTCACCAAGCCAAGCAGCGGGACCCACACTCCTTGGCTGAACGCACCTCGGCCAGGAGTCCTCAGGTAGGTGATCCACCAGGTCGCCACCCACCCGAAGGAGGCTGCGCACGAGATGACGGCAGCAGCAGTTTCAAGATCGTGAGTGAGTAGAGTGTTGTCGTCGAGATACGCGTTGTCGCTTTCGGTGTCTTGTTTGTCGTAGTAGAAGGAGGAAGTGATGTAGAGGGCAGCCTCGACGATGTTGAACAATTCGGGTATCATTATGACGTGCAGCCAAGGGATACCGCGCCACGCCCACACATAGAGGAATGCCGACACCAAGTGCACAATGTTGAAGCCTGCCGGAAAGAGGAGAACCGCACACACGGCATTGGTGTCAACACCAAAAGGACTCATGGAAGCGTACCTTGAAAGAGCCGGTTGATCTCTATTGTTTCGTAGTTCTCCGTCCCAAAATCTGGTGGAAGAAGTGAGTGAAGTGTGGAGAAGTTGCAGTTTGGGGAAGTTAGTGCCTATGAATAGAATGCCGATGGTATAGCCCAGGTAAACGATGTTGGCCAGCATATATCGGTTGGTTAACGAACTGAGGGCAGCGCTTTTGAACTTGCTGAGGGCGTACGCCACACTCAGGTCAGGCTTGCTGTCGCTATCCTCCAGCTTGCCCCCCTTTCCTCCCTTCTCCTCCATCTCGTGGTCGCTCATGCCGTGCAGCGTCGGATGTTAGCACACAGTTCGCGCCTACTCATGCCGCGGTGCCAAGAGTGTCGATTCGTGGTCAAAACCTAACCCTAATCTGTACTTGGAGTCGCCAAGGTTCTCTTTTCTTCGGCATTCCAGTCTGTGCACGTGGGCGCATTCTTTGAACACTTTTCGTTGAGTTCCCGTTGGGCGGGGCGCTGACGTGTTGGGCGCACAAAGCAACGACTTCCATCTTCGCCAATCAATCAATCATCAACGCCACATCCTCCAAACAAAACAATCACTCCATCTTCCTTCTTCGCCTTCATCTCGCCACCTCCCTCTTCTCAGCACCACATCGAACCGACATGCCGCAGCTGTTCGCCATCGCCATCCTCAAGCACAAGGGTCCCGAGACATCTCCCACCCTTCTGAGCACTGAGTACGAGCTCAGCTCGTTCAACTTCTTCAAACGCGGCACCGTCCAGGAGCTGGTGACCTTCTTCATAAGGCAGGTCGTGCAGCGCACGCGCCCTGGCGAGAAGAACGTCATCGATGAGGGCGATTATGTGTGCCATGCGTACGTCAGCGGGGAGAATCTGGCAGCAGCGGTCATCACCGACAAGTCTTACCCAACGCGGGTGGCTCTCTCCCTGTGCGCGCTCTCGCTGTCTGAGTTCCGAAGCGCGAATGGAGACAAGTGGGTCAACTTCAACACCGACACCCAGATGGCGACGCCGTCGATCAAGGAGCTCCTCACGAAGTACCAGAAGCCAGACGAAGCCGACAACATCTCGCGCATTCAGAAGGAACTAGACGAGGTGAAGGAGATCCTGCACCATTCGATGGAAGATCTGCTGAATCGAGGGGAGAAGCTGGACAGCATCATCGAGCGAAGCGAAGATCTGAGCGCATCCAGCAAGCAATTTTTGTGGCAGGCCAAGAAGACGAACCAGTGCTGCTCCTACTACTAGGAGACGTGAGATCGCATCGGTCCGTAAAATTCATGTAAATTGGGAGGATGGAATATACGAGATCGGCGCGAATCAGCGGCTGTAAGTAAGCGGAAAGATGTTTTTGTATGAGGTTTATCTTTCATCTTTACCTCTTCATTCGCAGGATACGCCAGGTTCCCATCGCCACTTTTCTTCCTCAAAACAAAACGCAAAACACAAACGATCAAAAGATGGATGGAGCAACTGACAAGCTCCAGTATACTGGCGACCACTACGGTGGTGTTCTGATCGATGCCGACGCACTACCTGGGGATCTCGTCGTGTTCGGACAGATGCTTGAGGGTATGCCTTGCACAAGATTTGAGTCTTAGCAGGATTTCAGTCGTCTAACGCTGCTGCCAACAGCCTCCTTGGCACAGTGGCGAGACGAAGAGAAGCGAGGGGTGTGGCTGAAGGTTCCCTCCACCAAGGCGCACCTCATCTCCATCGCCGTCGAGGTATCACACCGCCCGCCCTTACCAACTCCCGGTCTAACTCGTTTTGTGCCGCGGGGGCCAGCTGGGCTTCGCATTCCACCACGCCGATCCGGCTTACGTGATGCTCACCCTGTGGCTGCCGAAGAAGACACCTTCCACGCTTCCCGGCTTTGCCTCGCACTACGTGGGGGTTCGTTCCCCTCCTTCCCTCGCTTTGTGCGTACCACACAACAGTTTCACGAGGCTGTGCGTGCACAGGTTGGCGGTGTTGTCATCAACGACAAGACGCAGGAGATATTGGTGGTCAAAGAGAGGAACGGACCCATCACCAAGATCTGGAAGGTCCTTTTACAGCTGGCTGCTCTCCCCTCTGCTTCTCTCTTGAACTCGCTCACCCGCTCCCATCCCTGCTTATCGAACTGTGCACAGTTCCCTGGCGGTATGCTCGAGTTGGGCGAGGAGATCAAGGACGGGGTGGTGCGCGAGGTGAAGGAAGAAACAGGCATCGATGCTGTACAGTACATCAATAACAATGCCGACGGCTTCATACTCAACTTACTCATTCCTTCTCCTCATCCAGAGGTTTGTGTCGCTTATGTGCTTCCGAGAGAACACGCAGAGCTTTCATGGGAGGTAACAAGCAGCGCCGCGTCGCGTGGACCATGCACACACATGAACTGGTATTGATCCGTTTTGTCGGTTCTGTTTTAGGTCCGATCTCTACTTCGTGTGCCGACTGGAGCCTCTAAGCTTCGACATCAAGAAGCAGGACAGCGAAATCGAAGAGTGCAAGTGGATGCCGGTACGACTGCGCAGCTCTCTCCTGCCAACCACCTCGTGCGCTGATTGCTTTACGCTTCAGATATCCGAGTTTGTTGGCTTGCCATACTACAAGGGTACGCACGACTCTTCGCCAAGTGCTGACGAGGTTGTGCCGTTCATACATTCACTGGTGCAACAACACAAGGCCTGTACAAGAAGATCATCGATTTGGCGGCGAAGAGTGCCGGAGAGGGCGGCTATCGAGGCCTGGCAGTGGAGAACTTGCCCATCGTCTTCCGCTCGGGCACCAACACCCTCTACCACGCCGCCTCCCTCTAAAGTCGTGCGCGCGCGACGCTTATCATCACAGCCGGGCCGTGTCTTCTCTTTTTCTGCGTTGCTGCTTGGGCTGCAGCGAACGAGGATCGACCTGCCATGCTTCACCTTCCCTCCGCAGCACCATAGGTTGCCACCTGATGTCATCAGGTTGGGGGGGGGGCTGAGTGTTGCGCGGCGCGTGGGTGCGCGCGCAGCTGTTTTACCTGTCGGGGTCGGTGGCGATGGCGTGGTGGTAGCTGACGATCTCTATCTGCTGGGGCTTGAACTCGAGCACAACGAAGTTTCCGCCTGCACCGACGAGAAGGGGTGAGGGGTCGAACAGTCAATGACAGACTGGCCTCGTGGGTGGGTGGTTGGCTACCCAACGGTCCGCCAGCGTAATAGACAAGGAGATCTTCGCGCCAGTGCTTGCGCAGCACCTCTGGGTCATCGATGATGGAGGTGGAGCCGATCAGTGTCACATACGCTTGCCAGTCCTTGGCGGTGTAGCTGAGGGCTGACGCTGGGTTCGCCCGCAGCTGGGCCACCTGGCACAGACCGAAAGGGTGAGCACTCACACAACAGCTTGCGGCGGATCTGAGGAGACTGACCTTGCGAGTGGAAGGGTTTGTGGAGATGTAGATTACCCCATAGTCGTTTGCCGGTGGGCCTGGATACACCAATCTGCAAAGATTTCGTGAATCTGCGCCACATCAAATGGTGATTTTGTTCAGGAAACCTTGCTTGTGGTGCGTGGGCGGCGTCCGTGGTAATGAAGGTGGCATAGGTGGCCGCCTGCATCACTTCGCCCACCGCCTTTAGAGCCGCTTGCCTCTCCTCTGCCATGCGGTACCGTACGTTTCGCTCGAAAAGAAAGAGGAGAAAAAAACTCCCTGAGCAGTTGGGGAACGTTGGCGCGATGGGCCGCCAACCAAATGGTATGTAGTCTTTCTGCTCCAGTTCCATTGACACTCCATTTGGATCCCATCACTTGCTTTCGCTGGATTCCTTGCCGTTGAGCTTATCGTTGATGGCGTCGAACCATGCGCAAAGTCGCTCATGCGAGGGGACGAGCGTGGCGTACTTCTCGGGCGTGTAGACCACCAGCGTGGGCTTCGTCGACAGGATGCGTCGCGCCACACGCATCACATCCTCGATGGTCACCTGATTCATACATTCCACCCGCCCAACGAACCGGTAAGCCGAGCGCCCCAGCCCAAAGAAATAGAATAGACTGGAGTGGAAGGCACCTTTTCGATCAAATCGCTCAGCTCTTGAGCGGATTTGCGTTCGCCGTATGAGAGAACCTGACGCCCGATGTCGTCGCACAACACCGCTCGCTGCTCCAAGTTCATGAAGATGCCTGCGAGTAGTGGCAGCCAGGTTCAGTACCACGGATGGGGAGCAAAAAGGTGCCGAAAACCGGCAAATGCGGGGCGAAAGGGTACCCGATCGGAGCTGGTTCTTGGCCCGGTCAAACTCCTCCTGTCCAATCGGCGCCGAGAAGCCGGTCAAGTCCACCAGTTCCACGCTCATGATGTGGAGCATGTTGCCAATGTCCTTGTGCTGGACCGTCGAATAGATGCCGAAGAGCCCTGCAACCGACGGTCGTCATTATCATCGATTAGAGACCATGACCGAACAAGGCGACACGGTGGTGCTTACCCGAATCCAGATAGAACGAGTTGAAGCAGGAGGCAGAATCGACGAAGCCATAGTTGTTGAGCACACGGCGGTACAGGCGAGTGTACATGCCCTTGCCCGGACCTCCGGAACTGCGGGTCACACACACACACGCACACGTTGAGTCCCTCAAAACACGATACACGACACTCACCCGCACGAGGTGGTGCGAGAATACCTGAACGAGGACCCTCCGCCCAGCAGGCTTTGAAGCACGCACGTGGCGTACAGGTCAGGGTCGTTCAGCCCTGAGCCCTAGAGAGTAGTGGCGACACGCAAGAGAGGCGAGGCACGTGTTAGCTCCGGTTCGCCCACCGTCTGGGCATGACGGAGCAATGGTGGTTGGGGGGGAGGCATACTTCGAATACGAGGGCAACGTGCGAGGGAGGCGGCTTGTCGGACTCTGCCTGCAACTCTTGAAGCCGTTTCTCGTTCTCGGGGCTCATGAACTCCACGTGCGCTCCGCTGTCGCGTGGCCGAGCGAGAGGGTGAGCGCTCGTCCGAGCAACGACCAAAAGGAAGGAGGGAAGGCGGGCGGTAAGGTACCCTTTGTATACGCTGGGGACGTGGAGAGGCTTGCCGCCTTCCGCGGCGGGAAGGCTGTCGAAATGCTTGGCGCACAGCTTCACGAAGGAATCGTGCTCGACACCGGCAGCGGCCACCACCACGCGCGGACCCACGTAGTAGGTCTTGACAAAGTTGTGGAGCTGCTCGCGTCCAATGTGCTCCAGGTTGCTCGGCGGGCACAAGTGGCTGAGCCCGAGGCCCTCCGGGCCGTAGGCAAGCTCGTGGAGGATCTCGGGTAGCCAGGAAGGCGGGTCGTGCACCATATCCTCCAGCTCCCTGCCTGTTGGAACATGAACGACGCGCGGACAGGCGTGAGTGAAGGACCATTCACATAGGGAGGGAGAGAGGCCGTAGTGGGATCCAAGGAGGCGAACGTTACCAACTGCGATCTTTTGTTCTTGGAGGTCCTCCTCCAAGAGCAGCGGGTTGGTGACAGAGTCCGCGAGCACTTCGACCACCTCTTCGACGTCACCTGCAACACGAGCAAAGGAGAAGAGAAGAGAACAAGTGTGAGCACCCGCTGTGCCTGAGACACGGCGACAAAGAGATAGAGCGGCGAGAAGAGAGGCAAGGCGCACCTCGCACAACTTCGGCAGTGTAGACCATGGCCTCGCGCGACGACGACGAGATAGCATTCACGCCCAAGGACTCGAGCTTCTGCACGATCTCTGCGCTCGTCCTGTTGGTCGTTGCCTATATCGCCCTGGCCAAGTCAGCAATGAGCGGCTTACGAACATCGGCGGCCAAGCTTTTGCATACCTTGAAGCCCATGCGCTGCAGGACGTGGGTGGTGCCGTTGGTCTCAAAAGTCTCGTTCCTCGATCCGGCATCGACGAAAACACCCATCGCGGTGGCTTGGCCATAGGTCTCCTCGGTGGCCACGCGCACGCCGTTGCGCAAGGTGGTGATGCGGGTGGAGGGCGTTTTCAATTGCGAGACATGTGCGAGTGGGGTGGGCATGTCGAGCAGGGGTGATTTCATGGATGGCCCGCGTTCAAGCTTGGGCTTGAGGGGGCGCACATCTGTGGCCGCAGTCGTGGCCCATCTCCGCTGAGCCGATGCTAAGAGGAGTGCCGATCCGCTGAAATTGAGGCTTCTGCGCAGATGGTTGGCCGATTCGAGTCCAACGAAGCGAGGAAGGCGCACTGGCCGCACATTGTGCAGTGATGCCTTCATGATGCTCTCAAGCCTTGGATGGATGAACGCCTTGTGAGATGGGCCTTGCCTTTCTGTCTTCTTTTTTCTTTTTATTTCTCCGTAATACCAAGAAATTTGGCTGACCAGGCTTGCGCTCCGGTCTGGCTCTCGTGCGTTCTTCTTGTGCGAGTTGTGCCAACCGGGAAGGTCATTGCAGCCGGTGAAGCTCCACAACCTGAACAGAGTTGGATCAGAGAGGGATGCAAGGGAGAGTGTGCAGAATGGTGAGATACCCCAAAGCCTATGTCTACATGAATGGTGTCGCAGGTGTTGATGAACGTGAGCGGATAGGGCTTCGTGTGAGCAGTGCAGTGGCAGCAGCTGGAGGCTGAGTAGAGGGGTTAGACCAACAAGAGAAGGTGCTCGTGTGTGGCAAATGAAGTAAGAGCACGACCGGTACCCTGGCAAAACTGGGTATTGAAGAGAATACTGCTGGGCAGCTCATCCACCTCAAAGGCTCCTTCTTCCCGCACCTGGCACTTGCACGAACCCATCGTGTAGCCGATCGTGGCCTGCTCCGCCAGCAGCGTTAGACGTTCATGCAACAATCGGGATATGTTGGGGGGGGGGTTACCTCAGCTGTGTAGGATGAGTTGGGGTGAAGCGACATGGTAAGGTCGAGGTTGTAGAAGAGGCTACGTTGTCTTGCAGTCCAGCGGCCTTCCACCTCGCAACTTTGGGAAGGGGAGACGGCGCAGAAAAGAATCACTACCGCAACGAGCACCGACCAGTTCTTCATCTTGTCTTGAAGAAGCTCTCTTTCCAACGGGACAAAATCGGAAAGGCACGGTATCCTGGCGACGCCCAAGAACGAATATATTTTTAATTTATTTTTCTCGGGCTGGAAGGCGGTAAAAATCATCCAATTCGATCAGCAGCAAGATGGAGGCATCGCGCAGAGGAGTGATTCCGGAAGATGTGCAGACGACAATCAGCACGTTGGAGAAGGCGGTGAGTGATGTTGAAAAGCACATTGAGAGTTATCTCAAGACCTCCGTGGACGAAATTACCAACGATCTCAGCACGGAGGATGGTGCCCGGCTTAGCGTGCTGCTTGCCTACGCTCTCAATACGCTCTTCTACAGTACGCCTCAATCTATCTTTCTATAGATAATTCTTTCAAAATCTCACGATGCATCGTTACGTTTTCAGTCTATCTCAAGACACAAGGTGTGGACCCTGCCGACCACCCCGTCAAGGATGAGATCGTACGCCCCTCTCATTCCGTTTGCCCGGAGCAGATCGATGATCTGTTTGTAACGGACGCAAGCGTTCTAACGTTGCGTGCGTGTGGCTGCAGGAGCGAGTCAAAGAGTACATCCAAAAGCTGAAGCAGCTCACACAACCCAAAGGTAACGGCCTCTCATTGATGCTCAATGTGGCAGAGTTATCCCTTCTTCTTATACATAGCGTCAACAGAAACACCCAGTATGGTCCTGGACAAGCAGGCCGCCAATCGATTCATTCAGCACGCCGTCAACAGTGCCAACGCAGGTGCGTGAGCTCCTTCTTCCCACCTCTTCAATGCCAACTCTTACCATCGGCTCTCGGTGGGCGTACAGAAAACGAGAGATCGGAGGCTGCTCGCGAAGAGAAGAAGGAGAACAAGCGGAAGGCGCCCAAGAAGAAGGAAAAGGGCGGCAAGAACAAGAAGAGCAGCAAGGCGAAGTCGCCCAAGAAGAAGCTCAAGAACTAAACCGGTCCTTTCCAACAGCTATCGCCGTCTGTTTGCCAGTCGGTTTCTTTTATTGGGGGCAGATCAAAGCACGCAGGTGTGGCGCGATGAAGGGGAGGTTGGTGTCGTTGATGAAATCGACTGATATGGCCACCGAGGCGTCCAATGTGAGCACCACATGCGCGCAGCCACTGGGCACATAGAGGATCTCTCCTGGCTCTTGCACTCCCTCCCACATCACCTGCAGTCGCGTGTCTGTGCTTGCTGTGAGCCTATTGTGCACATGGTCGGGTTTGCAAATGGGCGTGGCTTGTACGGATGTGTGGGTACACTTGGCTAAAGAACTCGTGCGCCGACATGTCTTCGTGGTAATTGGGGAAGGTGGTGATGTCGGCGTCTTGCGGAAACACCAGCCATCTGCGCGAACAACTTCAGTGCCTTGAACAATGGCGATTCTTGGAGGGGGGTTTGATATGGTTGAGTGCTGATACCGCTTGCGGCCGGACAACAGAGCCAGCCACGTGCTACCCCCGTCTGGCTCTGTGATGATGGAGTGTGTTGGAATGGGACACACAAGGATAAGAATGCATGGTGCGAGGGGGTACCAGTGTGCAGTGGAGTGCCGAAGCCACTAGCCGAGACGATCAAATCTGAGCGGCAGGCAGAGTGTCAATTCACTCGTGCAGACCGCGGCACGTGTGAAGGAGGGTACATTTGAAAGGCGGGCACACCCCGGAAGGAATCGTTTCGTAGAGGTTGGGGCCAAAGAGGGATGGGCTAGCCCAGCCGCCGGTGAGATGAGGGAACTTATCGGCTTCCTCTGTGACAGACAGCCGTTCGTCCCACTGCAAGGGAAGAAACAATCAGCATGACACAACTTGTGCGTACAGGTTGGGGTGAGGAGCGAACCGAGACTCGATCAAGGTACTCACTGAAGGCCATTGTCGTTACTGTGTCATCTTCATCAGTTACTCTGACGAGCTGTGTACCCGAATGCTCTGCCAAGTCCTAAAACACAAACGTGAGTGGCGCCACGCCCACGCCCACGCCCACGCCCACGCCCACGCCCACGCCCACGCCCACGCCCACGCCCACGCCCACGCCCACGCCCTAGTTGCATTGAGGGTGTGGTCCTACCTCAGCGACACAGTTCAGGAGCGGCCATTGGGAAGCTATTGACGTCAAAATGACCGGTTGGGCAGGAACATCGAATTCCTCGCTAAACTGCCGGTGCGTGAGCTCCCGTCCGTCCCTCTTTGGAATAACACTACCACGGCCTGGGGTGGAGATGAGCGATTGCAGGCAAGTCGCACCATTCGCAAGGTTTGGGCCGTGCCTTCGGGTGCTCGTGGCGCTGCATGGCAGCTGGTGAATGTAACACCGCCCTTCAAAATGCCAGCGATGCCGAAGGTTTGGGCAAACACTTTGCCTGGGTCAGAACACGAGCTGACCCAATGCAGCTGCGTCAGGCCGCATTGCCAGCGCACATTGTTGACCCACTCTCGCATCTGTGGCCTATGAGTGTGTCGTTAGTTTTGCCATTCCCGCACCGCCGGGGAGGTGCCCATCTAACTTACCAGTCAAGCGCCTCTGCGTGGTTGACACGAGCTTCGTCCTGCCGGGGCACCACGTCTAGCAGGTGCCAATCTTCCCATCTTTCAGCCTCAGCAGTGCTCCCTTCTTGTGAAGAGCGAACCACGAGCCACTTGTCAAGCAGCTCTTCAGAGATCAGCAACGTCTCGATCTGAGGACAGAGAATGTGAGACACGACCAAGCCGGGCATCACTGGGAGACGGGCGGGCGGGCACCTTTCCTTCGCGCAGCGCCGGCCCCAGATCGGGGAAGGTCACGTAGCGCGGTGTGGACTCATCCTGCAACAGCGCGAAGAAGCGGTCTAGGGAGTGGCAAGTCCGCAGGAAGGGCGTTTCTGGCTGAGCTTGCTCTTCCAAATAGCGACGCAACAACTGGAGTGGAGCGGAGTGGTTGTGCGGGTGAGCGGCCGCCCTAGAATGATACACAAAACGGGAAAGCTGATTACCGATTGAAGGCCCCTGCTGCCGCCGTGAGGCAGCGCCACAGGCTCGACCACGCGACACGCCGAGGGAAACGAGTCCCCCGAAAAGGGCTCGGGCTTCACGGGCTCGACGACGCCAACAACCAACACCTGTATCCTGCGCGGAAGGGCGTTAGGGCGTGGGATGTTGGGTTGAGAAGAAGAAGAGCATGGTGAACTCCGTACCTGCGCTGTGTTTTTTCCTGTGCCACTCTCACAACGCGGCTGGGAAGCAGGCTGTTAGTATGTGTGCAGTGTTGTATACAACACAACAACGGTACCGAAAACCAGCGCGCCGTGATCTGGTCGTGTGCTTTCATGTGGAAATTGTGCAGAATCTCATACCGCAAGCGAGTCAACCGGAGTGCGCTCTTGCCTCCCCTGTTGGAATGTCAGCCATAGGTAGAGCAGGTGAGAGGGGAGTCTGGCAGACCTTCGGTTCTTGGAGATCGTTCGCCCATTGATCGGAATGGTGGTGACGTCTTTCATGCGCCATGGGCTGAGTTCCGCCATGACGAGCTCCTTCAGCGATACCATCGCAAAGCCAACCCTGGGCACACGTGCGCACTCCTTGGCAAACAAACAATCAGCCAGCGGCCATGGCAGAGTGGTGGTGGAGGTCCAGCAGTGCCTCTTGGTAAATCGCTTTCCACGTTCGGTGGCTGAGCCGCACCTGCACGCACACGACGCCGATAAGGAATGCAGGACGGCAGAGGGACAGGAGGGAACACAGGTTGTTGTTTACAGTGGCTTGTAAGGATGGAAGGCTTGGGCGACAGCTTGGTGCCAGGTCGCGATCCACCAATGCCCGCCATATCCCATCGTCCTGCCCCAGCCCCCTACTCGGCGGGGTCAGTCTCTACTGGCGGAAGAGCGAGCTCGTGTGACAGTACCAGAAATGTCTCGAGCAGGCCGAGAGGGCGCAGACCGAGAACGGATCGAGGAAGCGCATGCAGTGGAGCACCACCTCGCCTGGCAGAACGCTCAGTCCTCCGGGCATCGAGATGCGGTGGTGTGTGCACGAAAGAAACAGCAGAACAAAACTAGAACATTGCGTGTGGGTGAAAAAAACAGTGTCGACGCATTCCGAACCGGAGTTTTCGTTTTCTCGATCTTTTTCTTTTGCGACGTGAGGGGCAGAAGGTGTCGGTAATCTCCAGACGACGAAGAGATGGACGGCGATCACGCGGCCCTGCCCCATGTCGAGGATCGGGTGGAAAAGGCGGCTGAGGAGCTGTTCTTGAACCTTGACGGCACTGGCAGCGAAAGGGGCGTCGATGCGTCAGACGATGAGCGATCTGAGGACGTGTCCTCGATTGTGGCCGACGATTCTCACACCAACGGCCTGGAAGATGACCTGGGCGAAAAAGAAGATCTTAACAGTTCTGTCGCGGTCGCTGCTCGTATCGAAGAGGAGAATAGCGTCGATCCGTTCGAAGTGGACGAATTGGAGAAACTGCTCGATGGTGGTGCTGAAGGAAATCAGGGCAACAGAAATGGCGAAGGCGAGGGCGAGCAAGAGTCGAATCTCGAGGAGGTGCCGATGGAGGAGGAGCTCTTCCTGGAGGGGAACGGCAATGGCGACGCTCCAGCGTCACCGGCACTGCAAAAGGCTGATGAAGGCGCGCCAGCAGAATCTGCCGAATCGACTTCAGAGACAGCCGCCACGATCGCAGACGATAACGAACTTGATGGCCTTCTCTCTGACCTGGAAGGCGATGGCGATGGCGCAACGAAAAAGAAAGAAACTAAAGAAGATGATGATTTTGAGCTGGGCGAGGAAGAGCAAGAAGGGGAAATGGGCGAGAAGAAGGACGAGACCCGTGCGGCCCTCCTCGAGAGCATCTTCGGTGGCGATGACGACGACGATGACCTCGGCGAACTGCTTGTCGATGAGGATGCGGGCGGCTTCATAGAAGACGAAAAAAAGAGCAAGAAGAAGAAGAAGACCAGCAAGAGGGGAGGCAAGCGCAAGGCGGATTCGGAAGACAGCGATATCGAGAAGAAGACCAAGCGCCGATTGGAAGAGATTTTGCAGCAGAAGGACAAGAAGGAGAAGAAGAAGGAGCGAGGAAGCAAGAAGAGGCGCCAGAGCCACGCTGATGCCGAGTTTGAAGAGGTCCTAGAGATTGAGGAGGAGGAAGCCAGCACCACCAAGGTACCTCACTTATTGCGCATGCTGTTGCACTTCTTTTCCTTTATTTTATTTTGATTTTTAATCTAATTCATATCTGTAATGGAATTGGGTGGAGCAGAAGAGGCGAAGGCGGGCGTCGGCAGGTGATGACGCGCCTAAGCGCAAACGCCGCTCGAAGAAGTCGCTGGAGGCCGGCGAGGAGGGCGAGGGTGGTGAAGGTGAAGGCGAGGGAGTGGTACGCGTGCTCTCTCCTTTCACATGCCCTGCGCGAGGAGCGCGGTGACCGCAGTGTGGTGCACTCACCTTTGTCCTCCCCCAACGTTGCAGGAGAAGAGCGACTTTGATCTGGTGGTAGAGCAGATGAAGAAGAGCAACAGGCGCAGGAAGAGCATGCTCTCGCGCGAGCAGATCGATCAAATGGTACCTCCGTCCGCTACTGAAACGTTCGCTTATGCTGACACTCATCTTCGCCATTGTTTGGCTTGTGAACCGCCAACCACTCCCTCAGGTCGAAACGCTGTTGAACAAGATGGGCGATGCTGTGGACGCCGACATCAGAGCCATCCAAGAGAACTCTCCCGCCGTAGCCAAGGTCAAGCTCCTGCCCGAGGTTATCGCTATGCTCCAAAAGTACATGCTCCACCAGCTATCCACACCGGCCTTAAAAACAAACAAAAACAATCCTAAAACTAACCGTTATGTGGGCTCGTCTTCGCTTCGGTACACAGAGTGCAGCTGCAGGAGTCCTTCGTCGAGGGCGGTGGTCTGCGAGCGGTGAAGCAGTGGCTCGAGCCAGTGTCCGGTGCACTGCCCAACTATAACATCAGGTACGCGCCGCCCTCGTTCACATATGACTGTTGTATTACTCAGTGACGGCTATGGCTGACGCCCATGGGCGTGTAGGACGAGCTTGTTGAACATTCTGCCCAAGCTGCACATCGACAGCGATCATCTGCGGGAGAGCGGGCTCGGAAAGGTGGTGATGTTCCTGTGGAAGTCGCCCAAGGAGACGAAGGAGAACAAGATCATCGCTCAGGAGCTCATCCAGACCTGGAGCAGGCCCATCTTCCAGCTCAGCCTCAACTACAAGGAACACGCCGACCACGAGCGCAAACAGTTGCAGCGCCAGGACTCTTACCGGTAAGCCCCCTCTCTCTACAAAGCCCCACCGTCTGCTGCACCGCGACTGACTCGTGAACGTTCTGTCTATAGGAGGTCGAACTCGTCGCAGTCGCAGAGCGCTTCGCAGACGGACGACTCGCTGGATTCCATCGTGGGAAGCAGGTCGAGTGGCGCCTCCCAAAAGGAGGAGTTCTCCTACCACGCGCGCATTCCGCAACCCGCCGACAAGGACTACGTTCACCGGTACGCCAAGGCGATCGTGTAATGGCATGGCGGCCACACAGGACCTAACCCACTTTTTGTGATCAGGCCTGTGTCGCAAGTGGAGGTGCCGATGCAGCCCGCGTCAAGCAAGAACGCTCCGACGAGGCAGAAGATGTTCGATCGTCGCCTCTCCGAACTCAAATTGAAGCGCAAGGGACGCAGCATCACCGCCCAATCCCGAGCCGCCAAGCTCAGCGTCGAAGGAAGGAACCTGCACATATAACCACCCCCCAAGCCCCCCCTCGGGGGGGGGTTACCCCGCTCCTCTGACAGAACCATTTTTTTCGGTTGATTACACGTGTGTTCTTGTTCCTGTATTCCTGTGCGGCCCATGTTCGTGCGCGTGTGCGTGTGCCATTGCTTGTTTTATTTCTGGTCAAGGTTAAACCAAACGAGGAAGGCGCTCAGTTGCCAGAGTTTGCTTAAGCTCTCTCGCTGCCGCTGGGGAAGTACTGGGTGTCGATGGCCCTCGCCGGGTAGTTGACCACGAAGCGCACCTCCTCCACCTTGATCTCGGCCTGCATCTGACCGCTCTTCGTCTTGACATGGGGCTCGGCGGACAAGGACTGGGCCAGTCGTAACGCTTGCTCACACCCACCTCACCATATCAGGTCGAACTCTACACGGCAAATAAATGGGGGTTGCACTGCTTTTAATTCGTGCGAGGAGTCAAGAGTGCAGTTGCCTTGAGCGTCGAAGACTTGAACAAGGTGTTGCCTGGTAGGTGGATGAGGATAAGATGGTGGGTGGAACAACCGCCGAAACGGATATGTGCAGTGGAGCTGCTGTGGTCACTAACCGGACGACTGGGCCAGCAGCAACAGCGTGATGGCTCGCGCCCTGAGCGCAGGGGTTGACCAGCAGCGTCAGCGACACTTCAGACTCTGCACGAGGAATGGGTGAGATGTCTCTGCGATGCGTTCCAAGAGATGTAGAAAGTCAGCCTCGACCATGGCCATCAAAATTCCTTGTTCGCATATATTCTTGACATCCTCTATATTCCCCTTTAGAGGATGTCAAGGTTTACATTGGGGGGGTGAGTAGCCGTTGGAGTCCACCTCCTTCCACTGGTGACTGTCGTTGCAGACAGCGAGGGCGGTCAAGCACCTCATGGCGTCCGTTCGGTTGTGGTCCCGGTACCACTTCTCAGCCTCGAGTCTGTTCAGCTCCCCATAGAGCTCGTCGCGTTAAATCTGGAGCTGGGCCTCGTCGAACGCATCTGCTAGAGTCCATGCAGGCACTCCTGCAGGGGGCTCTCGACGGTCTCCGCGCCACGAGACAGCGGGCCGTGCCTTGAACTTTTTCTTTAGCGAAAGGCCACCTCTTTTATTTCTTTATACTCTTAATTATTTGTTTACTATTTATTTCATACAACAAAGACGAGGGAAAGGCCAATGCGGGCGGTGTTGGGGTCGAACGGGAGCACGTCGGCTTGCAGCGAGCTGCTCAGCTTCACGTGCGTGTTGCGGTAGAGTCGAACGAGGGAACTACTGTGCACCGAGAGGCGGTAGGCGTTGTTGCCCACGCCCAGGTTGAGGATGTCGAACTTGATCTTGTTTTCTCCGTCCCGCAGGAGCGGCTCGTCCACCTTGAACACCTCAGCTTCCTGCTCACACACACACACACACGTGAGTCACCGATGAGGAGGAAGGAGACGTGCGCCCACGTACGGTTGTTTTGGTCGTGTGCGGGGCGGAAAAGGGGTAGGGAGAAGTGTTCCGTCTCGTGAGAGCGAACGACAGACAGCGGGCGCTGAACGCGCCGTTGCGCTGTGTGGTATCAGCTTCCACACCCGCCAGCCACGTACAGTTGTACAGGTCCTGCGTAGGTGCGTGCGGCGCATCGTGAGCACTGGCCATTGACAATTACGCGAGAGCGACCACCACGATTCTTACCTCATCCTTAGCCGTGTTGGTTTTGCAGAACGCTCGGTAGAGCCCAACCGGGTTGGCGACGGCGCTGGCGATGAATCGCTCGCCGAAGCCGTGCCTGCAGAGACGGAGGTGAGATAACAAAAGAGAGTGGGCCGGTGGGCGGATTGGGGGGGGGGATGGCGTACATGTTCATGGTGAGGGCGAAGGTGGGCTTCTGATAGGCCACCACGCTGTTGAGGAAACAGCGACCGCCCGTAAGATCGAGCCACATGGTCCGCACTTGACAGTCCATTCCCAACTGTCAACCGGCCGACACCCACACTAATCAGCAACTCGCACACCGCACACGACACGCTGCGATTTCCGATCTCGAGGTTGGCGCCAAGTACCGCCCAGGGTCCCCGGACGGCCTGCAGGGTGGCGCCCAGGTCCACTCCACCGGCGTCGAACGCGAACGGAAGCATGCTTCCCGGGAGCATGCCGCCCACCACGAAGCCTCCCCGCAGGTAGTTGTTCGTGCTGCCGGGCCGTATTCGAATCGGCGGCGGCGTTAGGTGACCCTGCGATACAGCGGCGGTCGGGCTGTTCGAGAAGAGGTGAGGTGTACCTGATGTGATAGGAATGCTCCCAGAAGAAATCGATGTAGGACGGAGCGGGGCAGTTGTTCACGGCCTCAAAGCCTGCGTCGTAGCCCCAGCGCACTCCTCGACCATCTTCCACGTGCTACGCATGACAACACACGACACACGACACACGACACACGACACACGACAGAGAAGAGGTGGCGTGAGCAAACGTAGCACGTTAGAGGTGGTCAGCATTTAACAGGTTCGCGTGGTACCGAAGCAGGCTCATCAACGCCAGCGGCAGTGGCCTCCTCCTCCTCCGCGGCACCAGCCGCGAACGAGCTGAACAGCTCACCCTCCAGCTGCCCCACGCCATTCATTCCAAACACCAGACGGCTGCAACCACGCCCAACGTGTGAATAAAATGCACAACAAATAAATAAATAATAAATAACAAATATAATTATTGTTTACCTGTTGGTGGGCGTCGTGTGCGAGAACACCAGCCGAGCGCTGTTCTTGCCTCTCTTGCGCATGAGGAGTTCCTGGTGCTCATCTTTTTAGCACTACAAATTGATTGAATGAAATGAAAAGATGGTACCGTTTTGGAGAGAGGGTAGGCAGGGGAAGAGGAGACGTTGGCATGGCCTAGCCTGAAATGGAAGGGGAGATCGTAGCCCTCATCGCTCAGCAGATTGCGAGCGAGAGATGTCAGACGAGGGAAATGAGTGGTGAAGCCTGGCGTCCTAAACGGGCTCGGTGGCACATCATCTGGTGCTGGAAAATACATCTGGTGTGCCGCTGCCTTTGCTTCCGTTGGTGTGTGGCTGTGATCGTTGTTTCGACAGTAAGGCCCGACCAACACTCGCCTTCTTGGAAAATAATAGAATTTACTTCCACAACATGTTGTTGTACACTCGCTCGGTTTATTTGTCTTTCTTCTACAAGGACGAAGTCTGGCGGTAGTGGTGAAATCAGCTACTGCGCGGGAGGAGCCGCAGCCGGGGCAGCTGGCTGCTGGGACGGCTGACGCTGCTCCTGAGGCGGCCGACGCTGCTGCGGGGACTGGCGCTGGCCCTCCTTGGGCGGGTACTGCCTCGGGCCGCGGTTCCTGGGCGGACGATCGCCGGCCGGCCTCTGCCCGCCGGGTGCGCCCTGGGCCGCCTGCTGCTGGCCGCCTTCCGCTGCCGGAGCGCCCCTAAAGTTGCCGCCTCGGCCACCGCCGCGTCCGCCACCTCGGCCTCCACGGCGCTCGCCGCCTCGCTCGCCTCCGCGGCCACCTCGCCGGCCACCCTCAACCGCGCCGGTTTGGGCGGCCTCGGCACCCGCGGCGGCTCCCGCCTGATGATCGCCGCCGTTCTCGCTGACATCGGCGCCCTCGGGCCTGCGGCCACCGCGCCCACCCCGGCCTCCGCGGCGCTCGCCACGTTCGCCCCGGGCACCCCTGCCGTCACGACCACCGCGTCCGCCCCTGCCGCCTCGGCCCCGCTCGTCGTGACCGAACTCGGTACTTTCGGCGGACACGCCTTCGGGCTGAGCCTGCTGATCTCCGGCGGGCGCAGCTGCTTCACTGGGTGCTTCGGTCTGGGGTGCCTGCTCGGGCACGGAGGCCTCTGGAGTGGGCTCCGCGGTCGGCTGCGCCGCAGCCTGCTCAGCAGGAGCGGAAGAGACAGAGACAACCTCCTCTGCAGAGATCACGACACGACCACTTGAGTTGATCAACGTACGCACGGAGCCATTGTGCAATAGGGGTGCTTACCTTGGGGAGCAGGAGCAGCGGGAGCAGTAGTAACAGAAGCCGGCTGCTCGCTCGACAAGGGCTCCAGGGCCTTGCCCTTGCGGATGTAGGCGTCGTAGTCGTTCAGCTTGGTGTGAAGTGTTTGGAAGGTGAAGCCGGGCGCGAATTCCTCCTTGCTGTCGTTCAGCAGCTTCAGCAGACGCGAGAAACCGGCGTCGAGCTGCTTGCCGAAGTTTTCGCCAAGACCGAAGATGTCATTCTGGAGGTGCGTCAAGACAGAGAGATCCGCGTCCTGGAGTATCACGTTGAGGCAGCAAAGCGAGACAGTGAGATGATTGACGATTTCAAGTGATTTGCAGCGTGCGTACCAGCGATTTGAGGCCGCGAGCCAGAAGGATGTGCTTTGTTTCTTCGGCAGCGGTGGAGTGAAGGTAGCCCACCACGTGGAACAGGCGGAGCGCGGTCTTCAACTCGCTCACGCGCTTCTGAAATGTGTAAGATTGGAGTGTTACTACGCTTGGGGCCACTGCAACAGCAGCAGGGAAAGCACGAGTACCTCCGCTTGGGCCTGAGCCTCGCTCTTCTCTATCTTGGCAAGCTCCTTCTTGACTTCATCGAGTTCGACGATGAGCCGCTCGATTTCTGGCTTTCGGCTGAGCAACTCGCGCTGATCGCTGTTGATCTCCTTGCCTTCTGCGACCTTCTCATCAATGGTCGCGATCTTCTCGAGCTTCTTCTTGTTCGCGCGCAATTTCGAATTGATGAGACGAATGTAGGGGTTGGCATTTTCCTGCTTCACGTCCTTGGCTCCCTTCTCCACCTTCTCCCCAGGGACCGTCTTTTTGCCAGCCTTCTTGCCCTTCTTGCCGGCAGTGGCAGGCCCCTTCTCTCCTCCAGCAGCGCGAGCGACACTCGGCGATTGGCCTCCATTCTCGCCCTGTTCGCCTGCAGTGGCCGCCTTCTTGCTGCCCTTCTTCTCTGCCTGGCAGCCCGTTCCTTCGGCGCTGCTGATTGCTGCTTGCTAGGGGCCTCGGTAGTGGCTGCCTTCTGCTGTGCACTCGACGGGGTGGCGGCGACGGTCTCCGACATGTCTCACGCTAAAGTTTGCTTGAATTGAGAGAATAGGCGGGAGATCGAGTGTCGTGAGTAGTGGGTGAGAGTGATTTGAGCCCAGCAACCGCTTGCGTGTAGGATGGATCAGCGCAGCCAGAAAATTGCCTTTCTTATACTTGAACTCCGTTTCTGGCTGTCTTTTGAATTCCGCCTAAAATTTTGGCGCGAAGTTGTCAGTTTTCCTTTCATTAGGAATTCGTGTCACGATAGGAATGCATCCCAACCGGAGAGAAAATCACTTCGCCGTGGCTTTTGGGCGTGTTGTCTCGCCAGCAAACTGTACGTAAAAAGATGCTCTCGGCGCAAGGTGGAAGCAACGCACAGGAAGAGGAGGAGCTCACAACGTACTCTTTATTGAGGTACTAGCCCCTTCACCTTGCGCGCAAGGCCGTCGAATAAATTATGGAGATAAATGGCACAAAAGAGATAAACAGCAGAGCCAACAACACCACGCACGCTGGAGAGAAAAGAAATTATGTGGAGAAAAACACGCAGGTCCCAACTTGTTTGTCCGTTTCTGTGTCCGCCGAAGAGGAAGTGCTGCTCTCCCAAACTCTAAGATTAAGCAACGAGACGCTTGCTTTGGTGGTTTGTGTGCGGTGCACCCGGCCTAGCGTCAGATCTCTCGAATTCAATCTCCGGAACCACCAGATTCAATCTCCCGATCTTCCATCCGTAGCTCTTTCTCTTCATTTCCGCATACAACGCAAGCTTGCCTCCGTTCGTTGTTGACCCATTTTCCATTGTATCTGCTTCGGGCAGCACAACCGAGGGAGACGAGGAAGTAGCGCACGCCGACGAGTCAGGCGCGAAAAACAGCGAGAGCGAGAGCGAAGGCGACAGTGACAGCGACAGCGTGCGCAACCCACCGGCGGCCGTCTACTATCGTCCCATGTGCTGCTGCGGTTTCTTTGCGCCACCTCCCCACGGGCGATTGGTGCCTCTCGACGAAGCGGAACCCTACAATCGGTAAGTGACTTCCAGCGCCGTTATTGTTGCTTCGCCGCGTGGTGGTTTTCCAGCGCCGTGCTAACTTGAGTTGGCCTCTGCAGAGGGAATCCCTACATTCACACGGGCTACCGAGTGCGGTATGACCTGAAGCTTACTCTTCGCTCCCTTCTGTTCCTCCACAATGGTCCGTACTGGCAACGCACGCACGCACGCACGCACGCACGCACGCACGCAGCGGTCATTAACTTTAAATCGCTATACAGAGTGGGCGAACGTGTGGACGCACCTCTCCGCTTTGATCGGCTTCTTCTTCCTGATGTTCTACGCCTACTCAACCTGGCTCGCCGATGGATCGTTTTCCGACAAGGCCATGTTCCTCGTTTGGTACCTGCCGCACCTTCACCTTTACGTTGCTCCGGTTTACCTCATCGCTCGATTTGCTCAACGAGCTGATGATACACACTCTGACCTCCTCGACCACATTCACTTTCTTGTCTTCTCCTCAACCAGGGTCATCTCTGCGCAGACGCTGCTCTTTTCGTCTTCGTTCTTCCACCTCACAGAGTGCATGGGACCCAAGGTGTGGCTAATCGGAGTTCGCATGGACTACACCTCGATCTCTGTGCTGATCGTCGGCTCTTACTTCCCGTACGCGACCATCTGCTCCGCAATCAGCCCTACCGCCCGGCGCCTCTTCCCTGTGTGCTTACCCTTCATCCTTCTCTTATCCGCCTTTGCGTGCTTTGGCATCAGGATGATCCACTACCTGTTTGCCTGTCACTCGGGTTGGCAGTACTTCTACATCGGGCTGATGCTTGCGCTAGGCGTTTTGGTGGTTTCCATTTCCATGTCCAACTACTTCCAGGCACATGCCCCCCTCGTCGCGATTGATTTGTTGCCAACCCACCACATCACGTGTGCTCACATCCATTCACACGCTACTCACAACACTAGAAACCGGAGTTCCAGGCACTGCGCGCAAGTCTCTACGTGGCCATGGGTGCGCAGGCGTTCTCCCGTAGCTGATGCGCCTTCCAGAGCTCGCGCCTCACGCTTCCCCACTTTCGTTTCAGGACTGTTCGGTGCGCTGTGTGCGCCGCACGTCTACATCCTCAGTAGTTCGGAAGAGCTCGCGGGGCTGATGCCCGTGTGCATACGTCTGGCGCTGATGGTACCCTCTTGCCCCCCCTTGCGCGAACGAAGACTCTACCACCGCGTGCGCCCTTGGTCTGGTTCGCTCACCTCCTGTTCCGCCTCAGGGAGGAACCTACATCGTGGGCGCCTACATCTACGCCACCAAGATCCCAGAGAAGTGGTTCCCGGGCAAGTTCGACTACTGGGTGCGTCCGCGGCTCTCTTCACTCACTCACTCATTCACTCAGCCTTTGTTGCGACCGTACTGATTTGGGTTCCAAAACCTTTCCTGGCACCACACAGTGGCATAGCCATATGATCTGGCACATATTTGTGGTGGCGGCGACCATGTGGCACTACTCGGCTGTCTACCACGCGCACGAGTGGCGCACCAACTTCCCTTGCGCGTCCTGATGAGGACAACAGTACTCCCGCCTCGGTCTGTCCTCTCTCTCTCTTTCTTCTCCTTCGCCTTCCTCTTCCTTTTTGCTACAACAGTGCCACACGGAGGCGATGTGCGTGCACTCTGACCGCACGCCCTGTATCCACCGGTCAGGAACTATACAAACCCCACCACCATCGTTACGCAACCTCTCCTTTGGCACTCCAGACACCAAACCACCCCACTTTTTGGCGACCAAAAGGTGGGTGTGCGGTTGGTGATAGCATCTCGGGCAGCATCCGAAAGGGCGGGGGGGGGGGTTGGGGGAGAAGGCCGAGCTTTTACCAGCCCGACCCGCTCCCCCGGGGTGTTCGAAGTATTGTATCAGTCGGGTGGTGTGCCCTTCGGTTCTGGTGTTGGTAGGAACTGACCAGGACTAGTGCTGCGCGAGAGAGGCTGTGTTGCCTTAGATGTTTATGGCAGTGCTTGTGACCACCCCCAGAGGCAGGGTGGACAAGTCTTTGTTTTGTGGAAGCGAAGGAACCCAACGATTGGGCACCAACAACGCACACCCACCCGTCCACCCCGCCCAGCAGAGTTTTTGCGGGCGGGCCGACCGGGCCGGCGCGAAGCTTGTGGGACGCGAATAGAACAAAGAACGAAGGAAATGGAAGAAGGAAATTTCATTTATTGCCGACGGGCCGATGGGTTTTTATGTTTGCTTCGGGTTTCTCCACACTGCGCCATTCTTCTACTCCCGATCGCAACCACAGTACACATGGACTCGCAGGATCTCACCCACCGCTGCATCAACACCATCCGTGCGCTCAGGTACAACGGCACTCGGAATGCATCTTGTGCGATCGCTTGATTGGTGACCCCGCTCGAGCTCTCCTCCTCACGATCAATTTTGGTCCTAAAATCGCAGCGCCGACCAGCCCCAGGCGGCCAACAGCGGGCACCCTGGTGCGCCCATGGGCATGGCCCCCATGGCTCACCTCCTCTGGACCGAGTTCCTCAAGTTCAACCCGTCCAACCCCCGCTGGGTACGCTCCTTTGCGCTGGCACAATTTTTTATGATGTGGAACATCTACACCCTATTTAGCATCTATCTCCCATATTAATATAATATTGATATTAGAACGTCACTATTTATTATCATCACACGGTTTTTGTGCAACATTTAATGTATTTATCGGATTATTTATCTCTTTCTTTTTCTGTCAACGCGCAGGTGAACCGCGACAGGTTCGTGCTCTCCAACGGTCACGCCTGCGCCCTCCTCTACAGCATGCTCCACCTCACCGGCTACGATGTCGCCATCGACGACCTCAAGGTATGTATGGGGTGGTGTCGTGTCTGGTCTCAAAGCAACGACAACGCTGACCGGTCTCGTTGTGTCCTTCTAGAAATTCCGTAAGGTGGGCAGCAAGACGCCCGGCCACCCCGAGTCCTTCGAGACCCCCGGCGTGGAGGTCACCACCGGACCTCTCGGTCAGGGTAATCGCTCCGTCTCGCCCCGTGTGCGGTGGTGTGTGCCGTGTGTCGTGTGTGCCGACATGTTTGGCGTGTGTCGACGAGCTGCTGACGTGGTATGGCGCTAGGTCTCTCCAACGCCGTGGGCATGGCCATCGCCGAGAGGCACCTGGCCGCGCGCTACAACAAGGAGGGGTTCCCCATCATCAACAACCACGTCTACGTGTTCTGCGGTGACGGTTGCCTCCAGGAGGGTGTCACCTCCGAGGCCTCGTCCGTCGCCGGCCACCTCGGCCTGGGCAACCTCATCGTCCTCTACGATGACAACCTCATCACCATCGACGGTAACACACACGACACGACACGACACGACACGACACGACACGACACGATTGCAGCCCTTTTGAACACCCACACCCACACACACGCGCGCGCGCGCGCGCACACACACACACACCACTGTACGCGATCGCTGGCGCAGCCATTGCTCATTCATTCGATTGATTGCAGGTGAGACCGACCTCTCCTTCACCGAGGACGTCAAGCTCCGGTACCAGTCGTACGGCTGGCACGTGCAGGAAGTGGCCGACGGCAACAACGATCTCGAGGCCATCAAGCGCGCGATCGAGGAGGCCAAGAAGGTCACCGACAAGCCTTCGATCATCAAGGTCAGGACCACCATCGGTACGCGCCCGTTTCCTCCCCATGCGTCTGGGGTTACGTTGGTGTGTGGTGCCGCTTCTCTCAACTCGCGCGCGCGATGGGCTTGGCTTGGCCGCCGTACAGGGTTCGGCTCGAAGAAGGAGGGCACCGAGGGCGTGCACGGCAGCCCGCTCGGCGAGGAGGATCTGGCCAACGTCAAGACCAAGCTCGGCCTCGACCCCGCCCAGAAGTTCCAGGTCCCCGAGGAGGTGCGCAAGTTCTACAGCCAGTTCGCGGCCAAGGGCGAGGAGCTCCAGAAGCAGTGGGAGGAGCTCTTCGAGGCCTACGCCCAGAAGCACCCCGAGCTCGCCGCCGAGTTCAGGCGCCGCATGTCCGGTGACCTGCCCGACGTACCCCCTCGCCCCCTCCAGTTCTCATCACCCCCCCCCTCTCCACACCCATTACTCACTTCTCCCCCCTCTCCTCTTTCTTGGCCGCCCCAACAGGGCTGGGAGGACGTTCTTCCCCTGAACAAGCCCGGCGGCGCCGAGGAGGCCACCAGGAAGTCCTCCGGTACGTGCGGTGTGGTTGGGGGAGAGGGGGGGGGGTTGGCATTGGCTGACGGGTCGACCCGTGTGTGTGTCTGTGTGTGGTGGTGGGCAGGCGTGTGCCTGAACAAGCTGGCGGAGCTGCTGCCGGAGATCGTGGGCGGTTCGGCCGATCTGAACCCGTCGACCCTGACCTACCTCACCTGCTCCAAGGACTTCCAGAAGGCCACCCCCGAGGGCAGGAACATCCGCTTCGGCGTCAGGGAGCACGGCATGTCCGGTATTTCAACCCCTCCCCTTCGTGCGTGCCGTGCCACGTTTGCTGACGAACGAACCGCAACGTGGTACACAGCCATCTGCAACGGTCTGGCTGCCTACGGTGGATTCATCCCCTTCGGCGCCACCTTCCTCAACTTCATCGGCTACGCCCTCGGCGCTGTCACCCTCTCTGCCCTCTCCCACCTCCAGGTACTTTTTGCCTCCATTACCATTATTATTGCCATTGGCGTAGAATTAGTTTGGAAAGCGCTGATTGGTTCACGTCACACACGCAGGTGTTCTACATCATGACCCACGACAGCATCGGTCTGGGCGAGGATGGCCCCACCCACCAGCCCGTCGAGAAGTTCGTCGTCTGCCGCACGACCCCCAACCTCCAGTTCATCCGTCCCGCTGATGTCACCGAGACCGCCGCCGCCTACATCGCCGCCATCAAGAAGAAGCAGGGTCCCACCGTCTTCGCTCTCTCTCGTCAGGTGCGCGCCGTGTGTGTGTGTGATGTGTGTGTGTGTGTTGGCTCGGTGGCTGATCGTCTCTCGTGCGTGTGCAGAACCTGCCGCCCCTGAAGGGCAGCTCTGTGGAGGGTGCTCTGAAGGGTGCCTACACCATCCAGGAGGCCGAGGGCGAGAAGCCCGACATCATCTTCGTGGCCACGGGTTCTGAGGTCTCCATCGCCGTGCAGGCCGCCGACTCCATCAAGGACAAGAAGGTGCCCTTGCCCCCCCCCCCCACCAAACCCACGCGCTCGATCGGAAGCTGACTTCTCCCATTTTGTTTCGGTTCGGTCAGGTCCGCGTTGTGTCGATGCCCTCGTGGGAGCTCTTCGAGGCTCAGAGCCACGAGTACAAGCAGTCCGTCTTCCTTCCGGGCGTGCCCGTCATCTCGATCGAGGTTCGCTGTCTCCTTCAACTTTTCGTCTCTCTCTCGCTCTGCCTTGTTGGGCGGAAGCGTGCACGCAAGGACAGCCAGCGGGCGGACAAAGTGTCCCTCTCGCTTGCTGTGCCCGTCGCCAAACCCGGAGACGGGGCCGTTTGCCACATTAGCGGCTCACACGCACATGCGAGAAGGAGTCCCCCAAGGCCACCAACGCGTTGGTGGCACTTTCACATAATCAGCCCCACGTGGCCTTGGTCTACATGTTCTCGCACATCTGTTCCCTTCACCCTCTCGGAGGCCAGTGTGGTTATTTGGCGCTGACCGCGTGTGTGTGCGTTTTGTTTTTGGGCAGGCCGGCAGCACTCTGGGCTGGGATCGTTACGCCCACGCCTCCATCGGCGTCGACAGGTTCGGCCTCTCCGGTCCCTACAAGGATGTACGGTTCCCACCGCCTGTGTTGATCCTTCGTGTCTCCTGATCTCTGCGAGAGTTGCTCACCCCCGGACTCGCCCTCTCAATTTGATGATGATGATGATGATGCACAGGTCTACAAGGCCCTTGGCGTCACGGCCGAGCACCTGGTGGAGAAGGCCCACATCGTGCTGGAGCACTACGCCAGCAACCCCGTCCCCGTCCTCCTCCGCCCCGCTGCCTTCACCAAGTTCTAAAGCCACCTCACTCGCCCATGCCAACGACTGCCAGTTCTTGTTAATGTTTGCGGCTCCATGATACCAGGAATGAGAAGACATCGTCGCACTGTGAAGACTGTACATTTGGCCCGGACTCCCGAACATTGGGGGGGGGACAAGGGTGGTGTAGGTGCTAAACAAAACGCCGAGGGTCAAGGCCTGGCTCAGTAACCCACCGGTCGGCCGGGTTGGTTTCTCTGGGCGGGGAGCAGCGACTTGATGCCGCTCGGTGGCGCCGCGGTAAAGTGAATCGGCGCGAAGATCGGAGGCAGCGACGGCTGGGTCTGGAGCTGGTGCCCCATGAGCGGAGGATGCGAAGAAGGGTAGTAGAGCGGCTGCGAGGGATGGCCGGCATGGGAGTGAGGGTAGTAGCCTCCCTGCAGAGGATGGTGGGCTTGGAGCAAGCTGATGTAGGGCGGAGGGTTGACCGACGGAGAGGAGCCTTCCACCTGCCCACAGCCGCAACAGCTGGGTCCGCGGTTGGGCGAGGCCCGGAGGAAGTGGAGGAGGCTGTCGGATACGCGGTTGGGGGCGGGCTGGAAGTCTGGCTGGGCCTCCTGACGTCTCTGAGCCGATTCGATCTCTCTGGCGTGCTCGGCGTAGCTGTGGCAGTCGCTGGCGTCGCCCTCCCAGTCGCTAGTCTGGTTGCCCTCGCTGCTGTGTTCGGGGGCCTCGAGTTGCTCGTAGTCGCTCTCATCGTCGGCGTCGGATTCCTCGTCCTCCCCGTAGTACCTCCGGGAAGCAGACGACGATCCGCTTGGAAGACGATCTTCTCCCCTCGCTACCTTGACTCTCTTCGCAGGCCGTGCTCTGACGTCTGCCCCAACACCAGTGCCCATAGATATCGCCGCGCTGACTTCGACGTAGGACGGCAAGACGGGGGTCACGGATGTGGTGTCTGGTACTGCTGCAGGCATGCTCTGCCAGGGCACGTCGCCCCCCAAAGGCTTGCGCTGGAGGCCCTTGTAGCAGTGCTTCGTGTGGCCACGCGGCCCCAGGCGGTTGCAGGCAATGTTGGGAAAGGCCCTGAGAAAGCCAACATTAGAACAGAGAGTTCTTGGGGGGGGGGCTTCTATGAGATCGAAAGTAGTACTGGTGCAAGATCTTGCCGAGCATGGCCTTGGACAAGGGCTCCTTGTCGGACATCACGCAGAAGTTGAGGTAGTCCACGTATACATCTTCCTTGGGCAAAGAGCCCTTGTTGTCGGTTGAGTAAGCCGACTTCAACCTGACGTTGGTAGCAGTTAGGGTTTTCTCACACTACCCGACTCCTCTAGGGGCGAAGCGTAGTACCAGACAATAAGCTCCTGGGTCTTGTGAGCACGATTCGTGTAGCAGTCCCCCTTGGCCCGCTCGGCCAACCGATGCGGTTCCTCCGCGGTGAAGGTCAGCGCCCTGGGGCACGGCACGACGAGGAAGCCCTCGCCAACAGCGTGTCTCATGTAGCTTTCATCGCCCTCCGTTCCTCCAGTCGCGGGCGTATATGTGTTGCAAGCAGGCAGGATGCCACCACCACCTTCTTGCCTGTGATGTTGGGTTGGTAAACCAACGTTTCTGCTTGACAGCACAGCTTCGTCTCTCTCATCGATCTGCCTCTTCATCCTTCGGTGGTTCTTTTCGTGTATGCTCGGGTCGAGGTGGGTACCTCAGTACCGTCTGTGGCTTCTTTCGTCCATGGTGACTTGCCCTGGTTAGTCTTGTCCCTCGGTAAACAGGTAGTCTGACCATAAATGGACACACATACCAAAAAAGCAACGGGACAGATTTTTGAAACATCCGCTGCAGCCTCCGGATTGGTAGCCAGTTCTGTGTGTTCCGCTTTCCTACCTAAAACGGGGTTTGCGGTAACCAGGAGATGCTGGTAGATAGTGAATTGTATCGAAATTTCAGGATCTGACACAGATTCTTGAAGCTGTGTTTTCTGAGTGTCAAGGTGCGCCATGGCGGTGGAGGTGGTGAGGTGGTGGAAAGGGCGGCAGGGATTCGGGAGAGGGCCTGAGCGACGAAAAGAAAGAAGACGACGAGGTCGGACCTGATGAAGACGGCGACGGCCCGGAGGCCAAGCTCGGCGTGAGGGACTGGTAGTGGCATGGCAGGTTGCCCGCAGGCGAAGTTGAAGTGGGCGAAAGGTGATTAGGCTGCTGGAGCTGTTGGTGATGGCTGTTGTTGGGGTAGTGGGACAGCTGCTCGGCAGAGCCACAGTCCCGTGCACCGGTGACGCCAGAACCACCGCTCGTGTCATAAAGCAGACTGTCCACGTGCGAGCTCCAGCCGCTGGGCGCAGGCGCTCGTGCGGGCTCCTGCAGAGCCGTGGTGGGCCGAAGGTAGCCCGAGCCGAGGTGTTGATGATACGGCGACGGATAGGAGTGCGGAGGCGGCGAGGGAGCTCGTCGGTGCTGCAGAGGTGATGAGATCGGGTGGAAGAGTGACGAGGAAGGGGCTGCCGACGGAGAGGCGGCCATCAGATAGGCCGAGGCCGACGATGATGGCGCGAACGAGCCGGGGTAGCCGCCGTGCATGGCGGAGGGATAGGGGTTGAAGGGAGGATGGTAGACCGGAAGTGGCGGGAGCGAAGTGGAGAGGTGGATGGGGCTCGGTGGCGGAGAGGGAGAGGCGCCGATGGTCGCCGCGCTTCCTCCCCCGGCCATGGAAGGCGATGCGAACGAAGGGGAGAGCGAAGAGGAAGACCCGGGCGACTGCGACGACAGCGCTGCGGGCCGAGAGAGGCTCATGGAAGACCCCAAGCTGTACCCGGGATAGCTGTCGAGCGCGCTGCCGCCGCCGCCGCCGGAGTGGTGGCCGGCCGACGGGTAGTCCGGGGAGTCGGTCTGCCGCTGGCCGTCCGAGCTGTTGCTTTCGTCGTCGTCGCTCAGCGGTACCTGTCTGTGCAGCCAACGGTACGAGTGCTTCGTGGAACCTGTCAGCCACCGACCAACACGACAATCACCATAATAACACACAAACACACTCACTAGTAAGTGGGGTGATCACCCCGTCCCCTAGGCCACCAACAACATTCGCCAATTGGCTGGGAACGTGCCGACGTTGAGGGGGAAGATCGAGCAGGAGTCGGCGTACCCCTGCGGCCGAGCCGATTGCACGTGATACCTGGAAAGGCGACGTGCAAAATCTTGCCGAAGGTGGCGCGTGCCATCGCCGACTTGCCGTCCCTCGCACACATTTGCGCGTAGTCCTTGTAGACGTCCTCCTTGGGCGTGGACAGGCCCGAGTTGGGCACCACCCCGTACGTTTCCTGCAGCCTGCGGGTACCACACGACGTGCAAGTGAGTGCGCGTCCGAGTTCGTCCAAAGAAGAAAAAGAACGAAGAAACAAGAACGAAAGAGACAGGAAGCGAACAGCGATCACATGGGCATGTGCCACGGCATCTCCCTCCCGTGCAAATTTATGTGAAGAGCATGTGTACGCGTGTATTAAGTCCGTTTTAATATTTGGTGAGGTGTGGGGGCATCTGTGGTGTGGCGGGTGTGGTCAGCGTACCAGAGGATGACGGCCTGGCGCGTGTGGATGTTGGGGCTTTGCTGGGTGAAATCCCCGGTGTAGGTGGGCGTCCGTCTGCCACCGTGTCCGCTCGTGGTGGTTGTGGATGATGCCGACACAGACAAAGAGGACGCACCTTTCCCCGTCGCTTTGGTGGTGCCACCACCTCCATTGCGTCCGCCACTCCCTCCCTTTCCTCTTCTTCGTCGGTCTGGGCTGCTCTCCGGGCTGTCCTCCCCACCCCCTCCTTCTCGATCCATCCCGGGATGGCTCTTCTAGCTTACGGCTGCCCTCTGGGGTGTGTTGCCGAGGTATTTTGCTCCTTCTCCGCCCGCCCGTGGTGCCGCCGCTAAAAGGCAAGTGCAAGAGAGGGCCGACCGAACAAGTGGCCACGGTGCGGGGGTGGGAGACGAAATAGAAGGACTGGGCGTTCGTTCGTGGCCCTCCCTCTTCCTCGCTGGTGCTCCCTAGCTGCGTTCCGGATGCCGTGTGTTTCCTGGGTGCCTCCATCTGCACAATTTGCTGGCCACGTGCGTTCTCCACCGACACCTGTCACCTGTCACGCATTCCTCAAAATCCTGCCAACGAAGGAGAACGGGACACTTCTCTGTTCTGCCGGAAGGTCGGTGGTGTTCGCCGCGGTCGCAGTGGGGAGGGGAGGGGGGGCACTGACACTGACGGCAGCCCCAGGGGAGGGGGGGGGGGCACTGACACTGACGGCCACGTGTGGGGGCAGTGCTGGTTTTGGTACGGAGCACATCACTTTTGCCCAATTCGGGGGGAGGAGCTCAAATTGTTGACAGCGATCACAACCGCCGGCTGTTGGCATTGGAGAAGAGGAGGACCTTCTTCTTGTCCTTGGACTTGGCGCCGCTGGCTCCGTTGGCGCCCTTCTTGCCCTTGCCCTGGCTGCTGGCCGCGGCCTCGAACGTGGGGAAGGCCTCGTCCTTCCAGCCCGACCACACGGCATTGCTGGCTACCTGGGAGAACGTCGGTGTGCCGGACTGCACACGGAAGAGATCATCAACAACCAGCGATCACAATCGTTGCACGCCAGAAGACACCAGACCAAGCGAATCGATAATGACGATCTAAATAGACGCCAAGCGTGCTGCTCTCGCAGGTGGCGTACCTTCGCTGGCTTGGGCGCTGGTGCCGGCCGACTGCTGGATGAGGACATTCCCGCCGTTGCGGTGGTGAGCTGTTTCTTGGCCCACGCTCCTTGCAAACCTAACGAAAGACGGCAACAACGATGAGAGGAGGTCGGTTGGCTGAGCGGACATTGCGACGGCTGGGGAGGATACCGCTGGAGGGTGATTCTGAGGGCGAGGAGTCCAATGCGGCGGATGACGGGGTAGTCGGGATGCTCACCGCCGGAGTCCCCGCGCCAGCCTGTGCGGCTTGTGCCTCGGCCATTCGCTTGCTTTCCTCGATAGCGGCCGCCAGAAGTGGGTCGTCGGCAACCGGCACCGGCTGTGGGACTGCTGGCGTCGGCTTCGCCTGGTCGCTCGAACTGTTGCCACGCTCTCGCTTCAGCTGCGCGCGCTTAGTCTCGCGGAACTTGAACTCGTCGGCGAACGAGGCCACCGTCTTGTTGGACACCAACTGGCCCAGCTCGATCTCGCAGAACTGGAACTGCGTCGAAAGAGGCAGATGGCCCACGATCATCTTCCTCCTCTTCCTGCACAGCACCCAGCGCCCACCCGTCAGCATTGGTTCAGCCAACAAAGTTCTCTCATTACACGTGAAACGAACCTCATCTTTTCGTTTTGTGTGATCTCCTCGAGCTGCAGAACCTTGGCCTCGACGGTTGGCGGCAGCTTGTCGAAGCTGCCGCCCGCTTCCTTGTGAAGACACCGGAAGTTGAGCGGGTGCATGAAGATGTTCTGCCCATCGCTGGCCTGGTAGAAGTAATAAATATCCGGCGACGAAGTGACTGCCGACCCGCCTTCAACGTCGACTTCGCATTTCTCGGCCCCGTGCCCGCTCTCTTCTTCAATGTCAGCCTCTTCCTCGTCGTGCTCGGCTTCGGACCCGCTCGTTGGTCGGCTCCCTCGGCTCTTACTCTTTTCCTAATACTGGGTGGTGAGCAAAAGCTTGGGCGCAGAAGGCTCGGAGGAAGCAAGTGATGGGTACCTTTTCTTCGGGCTCGTCTTCACTTTCCGGAGCACCGACGGGCTTGCTCCTTTCCTGCGATGCCTTAAGTTCCTGTATCGGAGCAATTGAAGGGAGTTGTGTCAGATTACTCGCAGTGAAAAACTAAGTGTAAATGCAAGTTAGTGACAGCTACTACCTTGGCGGAACGCTTGGCCTCCAGCTTCTTGGAGTTGAACGTCTCGCGCCTCTCCTGCAATGAGCAGAGTGCGTGTTCGATATAGGGCACCGGTTCGTAGTCCTGCAAAGCGCGCGACTGGGCAAGGACCTCGTTGAGGTCCTGCTGTTCCTTGTCAAGGATGGGCGTGATGTCTTCGACAAGCACGAGACGACTAAAGTTCGAATCTCGGTCGTCGTGATGCAGCAGCGCTTCCATCGGCCTCCAGTGTGCCGAAGGCAGCGCCACCTTGAGTTGTGGGAAAGGTGGAGGACGAGTCAATGAAATGCGTCGGATGATAAGCGGCAGAGAACCCGTGTGCAATGGAAGGCTGCGGTACCGTGCAGTCCTTGTGTCGCCTCATCAGGGTGAACTTGATGGAATCGCCTTCGTGATACTCCGGCACCAGTTCGATAGATGTGCTCTTGAGGCGCTTCGTCGACACCGAATCGAAGCAAATGGGGCACTTTCGCCAGCCCTTCTGTGCCATGCCGAGGTAGCGGTTGATGCAGCTCCAACAGTAGATGTGGCCACACTTGGTCATTTTCCTGCTCAGCGGACGCAGAGAGGGGACCGTTAGGCAGGTCTGTGCACAACGGTGCACAATGTTGGAGCTCGTACGGGGCCATTGGAGCGTCCAGGCAGATGGGGCAATTGTAGGGCACGGGAGTTTGAAGCACGATCTGCTCAATTTCTGCAGGTAGTAGAGTGCTGGTTAGTTGGGCACTGTGACGAAGGTTTGCATGGCTAATGCACGGAGGTCACTCACCGTCCCAATCCACCAACTGGTCGGTCTCGTAGAGATGACGCACGTAGTCACCACCCGCATTCACAACGAAGCGATAGCTGTCAAGTCACAAGAGGACCGTCAGTACACGCGTGCCCAAAGCTCGGTCTGCGAGGCAGAAATGCGTACTTAGCCTGCAAAAAGCGCTCCTTCTTGAACTCGACCACGGGCGTGCGCCGTCTGGCAGGCGCCGACCAATCGTGGACAGGCCGCTCGTAGGTAAAGTTGAGCAAATAGTTGGCGGGCACTCTGAACTGATCCGACCGCGACATCTTCCGCTTCTCCTTCTTGTCGCGACGCCGCGGTTCGGCCGGCACCTGCGCACAAAAGACCAGAGGGGAATCGGCTTAGGGAAACTATCGGTCAATAACCACAGCCTTGGGTGACCAGGGCAGTACCTCGTGCGGCAGAGGGAAGGCAGAGAGTGCAGGCGCCGATGCAGAGAGGCTGACAGCTGGAGCTGCAGGAACAGTTGACCCTGGGGAGGGCCTGAACGAAGGCGCGTTGACGTTGAAGCGGTGCTGCGCAGATCCGCCCCCACCTCTCGGGGCAGACGAGGGAGGCGGTGCAGAGTGGCCATCGTAGAGATACTCTGACTCTGACCCCGACGAGGGCGAAAAGTCACCTTCGTAGAAGAAGTCGGCCCCTCCTGCCCCACGCGCTTCGGCCTTCCTCGATCCGCCTCCTCCTCGAGCGCCACCGCCCCCTCTAAACTGGCGGCCGCGTCCTGCAGGACCGCTGACGTTGCCGTTGCTGTTGCGCTGTCCGCCTCCCCTCCTCGACGCGCCATTTGACGATGAGGATGGAGTGCGCCTGGCGCGAGGACCAGCGCGATTGCCGTCGGTTATGCTTCCATTACCGGTTCGGTCCAACGTCCTCTCAATCTCGGCCATTCTCTTCCTCTCTTGCTCTCGACTTGCAGGGTGTTTCTCGATCAAAAATTGGCAAAAGGTGCGTATCACCCCTTTCTCGCCTTTGTACAGATGCTATGGACAGATAACGATTTGAACTCGTGCAGACGAGAGGCAAAGGGAGAGTAGGATCCTGGCCGAGAGGGCAGCGCTGTAGATGACTGGAGTGAGCTTGCTGTAGCCGCAGAAATGCGGCACCACGATCTTGATGGAGATGGCAGCAAACGAAAAAAACAAGAAATCAGCCCAAAATCGAGAAACTTGACAGTGTCGACAAAGGAAAATCAGGAGAAGCTGCAATTGCTCGCATTCCACACAGATTTCTGTAGACATCCGGGTTTCTTCTTCCGATGTGGCTGTAATCCAAAATCTTGTTCCCTCCGATCCTCGTTCCTCCGGCTGCATCTGTTCCCTTAGCCGCGGCCATCCCTCGCTCTTGTGATCGACTCGTTACTGAGAGCTTCCACGATTCTCGCTTCGTGCAGCTCAAATCACATCGCTGAATCTTCAAATTAATCAGGCAAAATGGCATCAATTTTGCAGCTACAGCTGAATCAGAGGAGGCAAGGACCACTTGTGGTTCCGGACAAGAGCCTCCCCGCCAAGGCCTCGCTCCTCTTCGACCAGGCCAAGGCCGAACATCTCGATCTTGAGACCATCCTCAACATCGGAACAAATGGATTGATGGAGCTGCGCAAGTACGACGAGCGATTCGCCGCGTTCGAGGACACTCTCTTCAATCCGGCGTCCGTGTCGCTCGCCCGACCGCAGATGTCCAAGGAGGCGATTCAGAAGCTTGATAAGTCCGTCGAGCAGTTCCTCATGCTTCTTTCGCCCTATTTTCTCCTCAAGCCCGCCCACAAGGCCATCGAGTGGCTGCTTCGCCGTTACCAGTACGTACTCTGCTTTATGCTGCTTTATTCTCCTTTATTAATATAATAACTCTAAAAATATAATGTAAATCAATCCAACTCATGGATTCTTTGCTGTACAGAATCAATGTGCACAACGTGACGTCGGTTATCAAGTGCATCCTGCCCTACCACGAAACGGCCCTGTTCGTGCGCGTGGTGCGGCTGTGCAAGCTGAACGAAGAGTGGCTCTTCCTGCACAACGTGAAGAAGACCAAGACCAAGATGGATCGCGCCACTCTCGTGCAGAACTGTCTCAAGGACACCCACCTCCTGAACTTCATCTGCGAGCTTGTGGTACGTGTTCCCTCTCTCAGGAATCGTAGGGGCTTGCACCCAGGACCGAAGCTGACTTTGTGCTGGCGCTTGCTCGCTACTCTCCAGTCTAAGGCCGCTCCGCAGCAGGAAGCCAAGTCGCAGCAGGTGTCGGAAGTCCATCTGACTCTCTACGTGGCGACCGTTCTCGAAGCGATCGCGCGTACTGCCAAGGTCACCGACGATTTCTTGCACGTCCTCCTGCCTCACATCCTTACGGGTACCGTCACTTCCTCCTTGCGATACTGACCTGCGTCTGCAAGTGCGGCGATCCTACTTGATCTCATGTCCACCCCATCGAATGCAGGTCTCAAGGCACAGAACCACCGCAACTTCCAAATGGCCACCTACATGATTGTGGCGCAGCTGTCGACGAGAACCGTTCTCGCTCCCAAGCTGCTCTCCACCCTCGTCAAGGCTATCGCCAAGTATGCCACCGAAGGTACACTCAGGACGCCGCACTACGCCGTGTTTCTGCTGGTGCACATTTCTAACAAGACATCGACACCAGGCACTCAGCTGGACGCGCTCACGGCTCTGGTCTACCTGGCTCAGACGCAGACAATTGAGTCCCTTGACAGCGCTCTGCAGCCCCTGCTGGCCTTCCGCTCTCTGCCGCTCTTGCTGGCCGATCTCTCGCTGAAGTTTGACACCTCCAATTTCCTTCGTCTCTTCCTCACCGGCCTTCTGTCGCACTGGTAAGTCTCCTACATAGTTGGCACGATCTACAGCATGGTCACAAATTGACTCTTGTAATCTTGTGCAGCACCGCTTCGGACGATGCCCATCTGGAGGTCTTCAAGCAGGTCCTGCAGTATGTTGCTCTGGAGAACTTTGTTCCGGAGATGATTACGATGCTGCTCGACACCTACGTTTCTTCCTGCCGCGACTCGAACCTGACCAGCGAGGAGACTGGTATGCTTGAGCTCGTTCGTTGTTCCATCTCTTAGAGATCTGCGTGTGACACGTTAGCTCCACTCGCGATTGCAGGCAACAGCATCAAGCGGTATCTGCATCTGATCGATGCAAGGTATCCCTCGCAACTCGACACCGGCCTTAACACCGCGCTCCAGTCACTTCGTGCGGCAAGCAACTCCGAAGGCAAGCGCTCGAGGCGCAAGAGGCGCAACTCGGCCTCCAAGAGGGCCGAGAACGGCGACGCGATGGACGAAACCGCCAACGACAAGCCGGTAGAGGAGCAGGTCCTCGATTTCATCTCCCTCACATTCCGAGTACGTTGCTCGCCCGCCCCGTGCGCACTGACTTGGCTGGGCCAACTTCAAACTCACTCTGTTGTCGCGTTGCTGTCTTAGGGCACATCGCACCAGATGCTCGAGGAGTGCTCCACCACGCTGTTCCTGGCTCTGCAGCATCCCGAGCAGCAGATCCGTCTTCTGGCGGTCAAGAAGGTCGTGGCGCAGCTCGTCAACGGCAACGTGGACGACGAGCAGTTCGACGAGTTCATCAAGGATGCCCTGCTCGAACGGCTGGTGGACGACTCGCCCCAGGTGGTGTGGCACGTGTTCAAGATCTACGACATCCTTCTCGATAAGATCGAGCCCGAAGCGCTCTTTAAGCAGCTAAGCAACATCATCACCAGTATGTCCAACCCCTCCCCCCGCGCGCATGGCCGTGCCTAGCTATGTACTTACAATGTCTATGCTCGTTCAACAGGTCAGAACTTCAGGGCTGACCTCAAGACCAAGGCCCTTGAGACCCTTACCGGCAGCTTCCTGAAGAAGAATCCCTCCTACATGCGCGTTGTGCAGTCTCTCCTGTTCGACTCGCTGCTGGCGCAGGGCCGCAAGGACAACCTCAGGTTCTTCGCCGACGCCATCAACATCGCCGCGAAGCTCGCCTCGGAGCACAAGGGCACTATCTTCGCGGGCATCTCAGCTGCCGCCGAGAGCGTCGATGCTCCCGCTCCGAGCAAAGACAAGGATGATGCTACAACTGAGGCCAAGGAGTCCCCGGAGAGCAAGAGGAAGTGGGTCGATGGTGCAATCAAGGTTCGCCTTCCCTCCACCTCGCTCGATGCCAGGCGGCCCTTCCCCCGCTAATGCTGTTCGGTGACCCCGTTAGGGTAACGTGTTGGTGATCAACGCGCTGGCCAAGAACGTGCACTCCAACCCTGCGACCTTCTGCCCGCTGCTCACGTCGTTTGTCGACAACGATCAGGTACGCCCCCGTGTCCTAGTCTGGTCTGACTTGCATTTACTGACCATACTCCCATGCGTGTGTGCTCGGTTCAAACAGGGCAAGCTCCTCACGTTGCTTGTTCTCAACAAGGCCCTCGCCCTCGACAGGAAGGATGGCCAGGGCAAGAAGAGGAACCCGATCCGCGAGACGCTGTTCAAGGTCCTGCAGGACCACTGCTCGCTGTCCGATTTGCTCTCCGGCAACGGCATCACCTACCAGGAGGCCAGCAAGTTCACTCAGGACCTCTCCGCCACTCTCGAGTCGGTACGGCACACAGAGCGATGTGAGCGTGCGAGCGCTTACCACAACCGCTTCGCTTACTCTCTTTCTGTTTCACTTCACTTGAATCGCCAGGGCGTTCCTTCACGTGAGCTGTTCGAGCACTTCCTGTTGGCGGTGAGGCCTTACTTCTACCCCGTGGGCAAGCCCGAAGAGGAGAAGAGGCAGGCCGAGCACGCGCTCTACCTGTTTTGCCTTCACAACATCACCGACTCCTTCGCGCCGAAGCCCACCGACAATGAGGTGAACCTCCTCCCCCCCGCAACCCCACTCCTCTTTCACTACAGTGCGAGGCAAAGATGATGCTAGCGATTTCGACTACACAGGGTCGTAAGGGAAGCAATTCCCTTATGGCCACTGCCGACAACCTCATGACTTTACTCTGATTTGCCTTTCTATTATTATCGCTCGTGCTGGTGGCTGCAAGAGTGATTTGCATGTGCTGACCCTCGTCTCCGTTTAACACACATACAAACAGTTCTCGCTGATTCGGGAGCTCTTCATTCTGTTCATTTCGTCGCCTTCGTTCGACCTGTTCGCTCCGCACATCAAGGTCCTGGCCTCGCGCATCTCCGCCGTGACTTCGCTGCCGCTCTTCCTCTCCTCCTTCCTTGCCGATCGCGGTACGTGCCTTCAATCATCCACGCCCACCCCCGCTTTTGCCTGACTGGGTTCTCGTTTCCGCCACTTGCAGAGGACAAGGTGTTGTTCGAGGACCATCCGCTGCTGGTGCAGACGAGGTGCATCAAGCTGCTCAACACGTATCTGATGGCGTTCCTCCCGGCGTCCACCGGCAAGGACAATGCCGCGGATGCTGGCACCGGCCAGATGGACCTCGAAGCCGACAAGAATAAGAAGAAGAAGAACAAGAAGGCCGCCATCGGTGCGGAGCACATGAAGGCACTGAAGGACCGCGAGCCGGAGCTGCACGAGACTCTCGTGCGCTTCTTCGTCGGCCTCGAGAACGACGACAAGGAGATCCGCGTGTCGAGCTTCTTCGCGCTGTCGACCCTCACCACCCTGTTCTCCTGCCTGTCCGCCACCTCGGCCACCTCCAAGCTGCTGGCCAAGTTCCTCCACACGATCGCCACCCGCAAGGCCGACTTCATCCACGACAAGACCTTCCTGCGCAAGCTCTTCGGCCGCCTGCTGAGCGAGGAAACTGCCGCCGCCTCTGCCGAGGAGAAGAAGGACGTGCACCACATCCTGGCCGATAGCTTCACCGCCGAGGAGAAGGCTTCGCTCCGCGCTTTCGTGTTCGGCTTCGTGCTCCCGCGGGAGAAGACGCCCAAGTATCTGCGCCTCTTCCTGCTGCACCTGCTGCGCGACGTGGCCGCGCCCGAGCTGGTCGCCATCTCGCACGACATCGTCCACGACTCGATGACCAAGCTCGCCAAGGGCCAGGCCCTCAGCTACTTCGATGCCAACCTCCTCCAGGTGGTCCTCACCTCCTCGCTCAAGCCGACAACCGTCGCCACGTTCAACCGCTGCGAGGGAGCCAAGGAGAGCAAGGGCGAGCTGCGCGAGGGCACCAAGTACCTGGCCGCCTTCCTCGAGGCGCTCAAGTCGCCCGCGTCGATCACCTTCAGCGACAGCGACCAGATCACGCAGCGCACCGAGTTCCTCGTGGACTACGTCTCGCCGCGACTCTGCATCCTCAAGAGCCTCGTCGAAACCAACGGCTTCCACTTCATGGCCGGCCTCTCGCTCGCCAACAAGAAGGTGCTCTTCATGCAGTTCATCGAGATCCTCCTCGAGTCGTCCTACATCCCGGTGTCGCCCAGCGCCGAAGCCGCTCAGGCCGACGAGGGCAAGAAGCTGAAGGACATCGATATCAACGTGGTGGATACGAGCAAGACCATCATCAAGTCGATCATCCGCGCAATGAACCTCTCGTCCGATCTCATCCTCCGGTGTCTGCAGGAGCAGATCACCATCGCGCGCAACAGGACCAAGTCCAGCCAGCGCAAGGAGACCAAGACGGCCGGTGCCGACAACGCGAGCGCGGTCGGCAAGAAGTCCAAGTCCCGGCGCACGGCCGACGAGGATGAAGACGGCGAGGAGGAGGAGGAGGCCGAACAAGCGTCAGCCAAGAGGGCGCGCGTGTGTACCACCAAGGAGCAGGAGCAGGAGGCCGAGAACGAGAAGGTCGCCGCGGCCAAGTCTGCCGAGGAGAGGAAGAAGGAGCTGCTCGTGATGCAGCGCCTCAACCTCATCCTGGAGATCATCCTCTCGCAGGTCCCCTTCGTCCAGGACAAGCCCGTCCTGCTCCAGCCCCTCGCCACCCTGCTCGACATCCTTGTTCAGGGCCAGAAGAGGGAGGCCTCGCCCGAGGAAGGTATGCCTGCCGCGCCCATTGGTGTGAAGCAGCTGTTGGTATCTGAGCCTCGCTCATTGCATTGTGTGTGCGCCTCGCGTGCGCAGAGGACAACGAGTACACGAAGCAGCTCATCCTGTCGTGCCTGGAGAGCATCACGCAGCACATTTACGTCGATTTGCACCCCAAGGCCCAGCAGGATGCGATGGACACCGAGGAGCGAACGGCTGCGACCACCAAGAAGGCGCAGACCATCGAAAAGCAGTACAAGGGCGCACCGGAGACCATTGTCCAGTGCATCCGAGGTGCGTCAGACCCGCCTTGGCCGTTGCTTCTTCCGCGTTCTTGTCCGCCGCTAATGCGACTTTTTTCCGGCTCCAGTTACCAGCAACACCCGCACGCAGAACAAGGCCCTCCTTGCTCTCGGCGCTGTGGCCACGCTCTACCCGGACCTGGTGCTGCGTCACGTGATGCCCGTGTTCACGTTCATGGGCGCGTCGACAATCAGGCACGACGACAACTACACGTTCACGGTCATGCAGAAGTCGCTCCGCGCCATCCTGCCGTCCATGGTCAAGCAGGGCGGCATCGGTGTGTCCGACGTGCTCCGTATCTTCGTCGACAACTTCCAGCACGTGCCTCTCCACCGTCGCCTCCACCTCTTTGCGTCGGTGCTCCAGACCCTGTCCCTCAAGTACCTGCCGGACCTTCTCCTTCTGTTCCTCGTCAAGCACATCACTCAGGTACCCCCCCCCAGTACCTCCGCCTTCAGGCCCGCACACGCTCACCTTTTCATTCGCGCTGCTGCACCGACAGGGGCCGCAGGAGCAGACCCAGAAGAAGCTGGACCAGTCGGTCTCGATCGACGAAAGCGATCTCGTCGATCTTGAGGTGAGTCATCGCCTTCTCGTTCCCGCCACACAACAGCACGCTCTTCTGAACCTCATTTATGCTGTGCCCCAACACAGGAGGAGACAACCATCCCTGGCTTCTGCCACAGCCTGTGCGAGAAGGTGCCCGTTGCGGACCTGTGCTCGGCATTCGTGCCTCTCGTGGAGATCATCACCGACAACCTCGAGGAGAAGACCTCCGACATCGCCAAGTACTACGATAAGAGGTACCTGCTGCATGTGCATCTCTCCTGTTCGTCGATGTGACGCACGTGTGGGTGACCTCACCGCATTACACCACTTTTTCCACTCCCACAGCAAGATGACGAGGGCCCAGAACATCGAGCTGGAGCGCACCGTGATCGACTTCATGCTGGACCACTTCGCCTCAAAGCCGTTCCTCAACTCGCTCCTCAACCTCAATCCCACCCTCATCCGTTCCATGCAGCCCATCTACTTCTCTCTCTTCAAGCGCACCCTCGCCTACGCCCAGCAGTGTGCCAACCACGCCGTACGATCCCCCCCGGCCTCATGCTGGGCATTCCTCACTTGGTGGCCGTCGGTTCGTTTTGCTTACATTGGCGCCTTGCTTATTACTTCCAACAGAACGAGCTTAAGGGCAAGAAGGGCAAGAAGGTGAAGGCTCAGGTCGAGCTGTGGACCAACCAGACCCAGGGCTCGTATGAGGTCATCCGCATGCTCAACTCCTTCATGTCGACGCCCATGTTCATCGAGACCGTGTCCGATCTCCTGGTCCACCCCGATTCTCAGGTATGCCACCTTCCATCGCCCCTCTTTCCCCCTTTCACACTTCTAACCGCGGGGCGCGCACATGCCACACACACAGATGCGTCAACGTGCTCTCGAGCTGTTCAACGAGAAGGTCGAGGAGCAAAAGTCGCTTCAGGAGAAGAAGAAGGCCGGTGACGAGGGTCTGGCCAACTCCACGAAGCTCTTCCTCGACATGGTGCCCAAGCTCACCAACATCATCAAGGACAAGGACATGGTACGCCCATCACCGCTACGTCCCCGCCTTCTGTGTAGCTTGGTCTCCTAAACAGTGTTTTGCGTGCAGGCCGAAGACATGAGCCTCACGAAGCAGACGGCCCTCCTGTCGCTGGAGATGCTGTCGCGCACCTTTGCGGCGACCTACCCGACTCATTTCCTCGGTGCCACGTTCGACGTCGTGTCGGCTGCCATGCGCCACGCCAACCCGTCCGTGCAGGGCTCGGCGCTCATCTGCCAGGCCGCCATCTGTCTCCAGCTGGGCGCCAAGATGGTGCCCAAGATCCCCAAGTTCATGCCGCAGGTCGTCGTGCTGCTCAAGAAGATATTCGCGCCTGCCAAGACCGACGAAGCGACGGAGGAGGCTCTCGTCAAGGACGGTAAGCTGCTCTCTCTCTCTCTCTCTCTTGTTAGCCGCACAGTCGCCGTCGCTCGCATGGCAACTGGTCTGACTCGTTTGAATTCCCCTTTGGTGGTGCAGATGCCAATCTCAAGCTGCTGCAGGTCAGCGCCCTGTCGGCGCTGGAGGTTACCATCGATGGCATTGGTCAGTTCCTCAGCCCCTACCTCCGCGACATCATCCAGACCGTGGTCCCCATTCCCGACCACTACTCCACACCCCAGGTACCGCATGGCCCTGTTCTTTTCTGTTCTACTTCTCCTCCTTCACTTTTGAGCCTTGTCGCCAATCATCGTCTGTTTGTTCGACAACAGATCGTGGCCAAGGTGGGCAGCGTGCTGTCGGTGCTTGCCACCAAGGTGGAGGCCCGCTTGGTGCTCCCGCCCATCTACCTCTCCTCTCAGTTCTTCAAGCAGGCTGCTCCTTCGGTACGTTTTCGACACTCCCCATTGTCATGTTGTTATGGATCATTCATTGCCTCGAATGTTAACCGTACTACGTCCGCCGTGTACTGAGCAGACCCTCAGCCGGTTCGCGTCGTGGGTCGGCAGCGTGCTCTCCGGAATGGCGCGCGATACGGTGCAGACGCATCACGACCGCCTCTTCAAGTTCTTCCTCGACTTCTTCGACTACCGACGCCTCTCGCACGTTCACGAGAAGACGAAGAAGGACGTGAAGCTCGAGAAGGAGGTGGCGTCGGTGGAGGACTCGTTCATCGACGCGTTCCTCCACATGGTGATGAAGCTGAGCGAGCTCACCTTCAAGCCGCTCTTCCTGCGCGTCACCCACTGGACCACCGACGTCGTCGACGCCAAGGCCGGCGAGGCTCAGTCCTCGACCTTCCCCCGCCTCTTCTTCTTCTGGCGTCTCGCCAACGCTCTCGCCGACAAGCTCAAGGCACGCGCTCCCCCTCCGCCTCCTTACCTTACTTATTCCCCCATCGCCCCATGCTGACGTCATGCTGTGTCACCACTGTGCAGTCGATCTTCGTGCCGTACTACGGCTACCTGCTGGATGACGCGGTGGCGTACCTCACCGGCACCAAGGATGTGTTCGGCGAGAAGGAGGAGAGCGACGACGAGGAGAGCGACGAGGATGCGGTGCAGATCATCAAGTCGTCTGCCAAGAAGGCGACGACGTCCGAGAAGGCGGTCGTCAAGGCGGTCGTGCCCGAGAAGCTGCGCGTGGAGCAGAAGAACGAGTTCCTTTCGCTCATCTTGGCCTCCCTCCACAAGTGCTTCCTTTACGACGCCGAGAACTTCATCACCCCGGAGAAGTTCGACCGGTACGCGTCCCTCCCCCCTTCTTCCGATCTTTCCCGTGTAATGTGTGAGTTGCTCTCGCCGTGCTCACAATCACCGTCATCGCTTGTCGACGCGCGGTGCAGTCTTGTGCCAGCGCTGGTCGCCCAGATCGAAAACAACACCGGCTCGGTGAAGGACTACCAGGCTCGCGTGACGGAGCATCTCATTCCAGCCATCTCCCAGCTGGCCATCAACGTCGGCGACGACGTACGCTCCCCCCCTCTCTAATCCACCACGTTTGCTTTCGTTCTCTCGTCGTCCTGGGCTTTGGCTGACATCGCCCATCCCTACATCCCGTGCGCAACGACAACAGAAATTGTGGAAGACCCTCAACCACCAGGTGTTGCTCACCACGAGGAGCAGCGCCGCTCCGGTCCGCTTTGCCGGTCTCAAGGTGGTGGAGGCCTTCTACCAGCGCCTCGGCGAAGAGTTCCTTCCCCTCCTGCCCGAGGTACTTGCGTCGCCCGTGTGTGTGTATTGTGTGTTGTGTGTGTTGCGTAATACTGACCTCTCCTCTCTTTGCTTCTTCGCGAACACAGACCGTTCCGTTCCTCGCGGAGCTCATGGAGGACAGCGCGATGGAGGTGGAGCAGCTGTCGCAGGAGGTCATCGCCCTCATCAACAAGTACCTGCCCGAGGGCGAGTCCATCGCCTCCTACTTCCAGTAAACGACTTGCTCTCCCCTATCTTCCCTCGCACAGGAAAAAAAATACATTCCGTGCATTCCAACCAAAATACCAACCAGCAGTCGCGTTGCTTTTCTTTGATTTGACGAACTGCCAAGAAGGAGAAGGCCACGAAAGAGAACGGAAAGGCGAACTCGATTTGCAGCTCGTTCTGTCGTCCCTCCACCTCGTTTTTCATTCCTCGCGTGCCCCCCCCCTCGGCCTCCCTTCGTTCTCCGCGATTCGTAGGCCAACGGTCAGGTGGTGCGTTGGCTGTAGAACAAACCCCAACTTGGTCGAGCGCCACAAAGTAATCGACGTCGAGAGGAAGAAGAAGGAAGGAGAAAGAGAAGAGGAGGAGGAAGCGCGGTAGAAGCAGATTCGGCCAACTTCGTTAATTCCTATCGAAAGCGAATTTATAGATAATCAAACCAGCCCATCATGGCGGATCTGTTCGGGGAGAACCCGACAAGATATATCAAATCGTCGAAGAACTCGGACGAGGGTACGACTGCCCCCCCCCTTTCTATCAACGAAAAGCGATTTCGTTCTTCGTTCTTTGCCCCCCCCTGCCGTGGCACCGCGCACCTTGCCTCAACCGCTGCTCCCTGCCTGCTGGCTATGCACAGACAATTCGGCAAGGTGTTCAAAGGACTCAGAAAAGATGACGGCGAGGTGGTCGCTATCAAGATACTCACCATCGGTACCGCCCGTCTCCCCCCTCTCCTTTTGCGCCGGTGTGCACGCCCCTCGCTCTGCGGCTGCCTGCTGACGTTTGGTCTCCCCGTCGATCGTCACCTACGCCAGACGAAACGGCGGATGACGATACGTTTCGTTCGGTGGCGAAGGAGATCCAAATGCTGCGCGACTGCAACCACCCCAGCATCGTCGGATTCTACGGTGCCTACATCAAGGACAACGAACTCTGGGTATATATTTATATATCTCACATTTAACTTCACCCACCTAGCAATAGCATCGATGACTCATCATCATCATCACCATCTTCTTCTTCATGATGATGGCGTGATAGATCATCATGGAGTTCTGCGATGCCGGCAGCTGCTCGAAGATGATGACCAAAATGGGCAAGAACTTTCTCGAGGAGGAGATCGCGGCGGTACGGCGGCATCTCCATTTGAAAACGAACGAACCAACTACAATGCATTCAATCATCAGACCGACTGACGAGGCCCGTCGTGGTCGTGGTCGTGGCCTGCGGGCGTGAGCAGGTGGTGTATCAGGTGCTGCAGGGACTGGAGTACCTGGCCAATGCGCGTAAGATGCATCGCGACATCAAAGCCGACAACCTGCTCCTCAAGTCCTCGGGCGAGGTCAAGATCGGTCAGTGCCGCAACCGCCCTCCTTCACCGCTTTCGCTTTCGTTCTTTCTGTCGTCCTTCGTTTTTTTTACGTTTTTATGCATTGGTGGCTGACCTTTTCGTGCCTGTTCAGCTGACCTGGGCGTTGCGGCGCAGCTGAAGAACACGATGGACTTTCACAAGACCGCCACCGGTACCGCTTCAGCCGCAGCCGTTTCCCCCCCCCTGTCTTTGTCGTTGAGCGGTCGATCTTACGCTGCTCTCCACCAGGAACCCCGTATTGGATGGCCCCGGAATTAGTCAGCGAGACTCGATACAATTCTAAAGTCGACGTGTACGCCTCTCTCTCACCCTCTCCCCACCTGCTTGTCCGCCGGACGTACCGGGTAGGTAATTGATTATGTGGATGGTGGTGGTGGCCGTGCAGGTGGTCGCTTGGCATCAGCGCAATAGAGCTGGCCGAGCGCAAGCCACCACTATTCGATTTTGTCCCCATGCGGGTACCTCTTTTCTCCCGCGTTCGAGTTTACTAGTCGTGGAAGGAAGCTCACCAAGAGGATTGCAATCGGTTGACACAACACACAACACAACACACAACACACACAAATAACCCACACAACACAACACACACACACACACACACGATAGGCGCTCTTCATGATCGCGCAGCAGACGCGACCACCACCGACGCTCTCCAAACCGGGCGATTGGAGTGCGGAGTTCAATGACTTCATAGCCAAGACCCTCGTCAAGGACCCCGAGAGCCGTGCCTCGGCCACGGAGCTTCTCGAGGTTGGCCTTCATGTGCCGAACACATGTTGCCATTCTCCTTGCGCACATGAACTCTTGAACTTACCTCAGACGTCTCTCTCTCTCTCTCTGCGTGCGTGCGTGTGTGACCCTAGCATCCGTTCATCGCAAAGGTCAAGCCACGAAGCAAGGAGATCGTCGCGGGGCTCGTGCAGCGGTACAACAGAGTAATGACAGAGAGGCGAAACCAACGTGACGAAAAAAAGGTACTCTAGCCGCGAACACTTCACTGCACTTCCTCTCTTTCTCTTCTCTCGACTTGGGGCGCAACCGAATTTCAAATTGCCCCACGCGCACGCACGCTCACGCTGACGCGCATGCAGGAGCAAGTGCGTATACTCCTCACATCATTCTCAGTTTCCCTTAATGCGAAGAGATTGAATTTGGAGAGGGAAAAGGATAAGATTGTGAGGGATGGGTATGCGGAAGACGAAAGCGACGAGGACGGTGAAGGCGATAGCGACGAAAAGAACGAAATCGAAAGCGGAGCGAGACGGAAAAAGAGAGAAAGCGACGAAGACAACGAAAACGAAGAGGACGCGGATGACGATGAAGAAGGCGGCGCAAGAACGAAGAAAAAGAAGACGGTGTTGTTGGTGAGGAGGAAGGCGAAAACGGGCTCGCGCACGCCCAGTCCCGCCACGACGCCCGAGATCAAAGAACGAAAAACAATACGACAGCGACTCAAAGTGCGAAGGCTGGCCGCGCGGGAGCAGAAAATGAAGACCCTCGACGACAATGACACCACTCGCACACCCGCCGTCGACGGCGTCGACGCCACTTCTCCCGTCTCGCTCTCCTCGTCCGCCTCCGCGACCGCCGCCGGTTCGGGCGCGACATCCTCGTCCGCCTCGCTCGGCTGGTGGCAGCGAACCGACAAGAAGCTGCGGTCGACCTTCAAGAAGCTCGACCTCACCGCCGCCACGAACAACAACAACGGAAGCCAGCTCAAGACGTCGAGGGACAGATCGCCAACAACGTCAGCCAGCAAGCCATCGTCGTCGCCGAAGCAGCCACCAACGCCGCGCGACCGCCGCGGCCGAAAGACCGGAGGCAGCGCGATCGCCGGACTGAATCCGTCATCGGCGACCAAGCGTCGGGCGGCGGCCAAGAAAAAGAAGACCACCGGCACCAGCGGCGCGAAGAAGAGCTCGCGGGCGAGGACCAAGTCGAAGTCGGAGGCGGAGCCCGAAGACGACGACGGCACGACGACCGGTTCAAACACGAACACGGAAGACGAGGAGGTGTCTACCACGGATGGCGAAGGAGGAGGAGGAACGGGGCGAAGGCGCGGGTCGAGGGTGGTGGCCGAGGAGGGACCAGAAGCGGCGAGAGGGATGATGGGTCGGCTCGGACGACGGTGGAGCCTCGTCTGCTTCCACCCGAGCGAAATCAACCGCGTGTAAATAGCAGCGACGTCAGCAGCGGGAAGAACGAAAGCGACGGCCAGAGGAAGAACGAAAACGACGAATGGATTAGAGACGAGAAGAGACGAGGCGAAGCGGTGGGGATGGATCCAGCGATTCTCAACTCTCTTCTTCACCTCTCTCGCTCTTTTCTTTCTCTCTTTCACACCTCCACGCACCTCCACGCACCCACACCATAAACACCCAATCTCCATTTCCCACACCCTTTTCCTGCACACACCGCCACCGCCTCACCACCACCCATCTTTGCGTGGTGGTGGTGAGACGTGGCGTGTGGTGTTCGCCACACACGCCAAGGCAGTGGCGCACACCAATTTTATGGCATTTCGTCCCAAGGGTTGTTTTCCACGGACGAATGCCCTCGCGCGCTGCCTCCCCGATCGCTTCGTTCCGCAGAACGATCGATCATTCCTCATCTCATCTCATTGCAATCGTTCTTACTTTCTCATCTTCTTCTCTCTCCTCTGTATGTGTGTGTGTGCTCCTGCGACAGAAGACAGAGTCGGGATCGGGACTTTCGTCGCCGGACTCGGAGCTGGTCACGTGCGAGGTGTTCGAGCTGTGCGATCGGTGTGCGGTGTTCGCCGAGCCCAAGGCCTGGCAGGCCGCGCCCTGGCCGCCCTCTCCCGCCCAGAAGAAGGTCAAGCGCTCCGCCTCCGAGCGTACACTCATGGTACGTGACCACACACCGACCGCACATCACACAGCACCGCAACTCCTCAACACACCCACGCACACACACACGCACACACACACGCACACGCACACACGCACACACACACGCGACACGCACAGGGCGGCCGTGGTTCGGGGATAGCGAAGATTGAGGTGAGCAAGATATCGGACCTGGTCCAGCTCTTGAAGGACCCCAAGGAGGGGCTCGTGCGGCGCACACGAAAGCTCAAAAAGCAGGAGTACAAGAAGGCCTTCGTCGGTATACGCATGCGACCATTGAAGAATCAGTCCATTCACGTCAACGCTCACATGTGTGTCGTGTGTGTCGTGTGTGTCGTGTGTCGTGTGGCGGTGTGTTCGCAGGGTCGGAGGCAGTGGAGTGGATGGTGACACGACTGCGAATCAATACGCGAAAGGCGGCCGTGCACCTGGGCGAAACGCTCATGCATCGGTACGAGGCAGCGCACACTCGACGTCTTTACACCCGCATTCGGATTGCATGCCACACGCGCTTACCCAAAGCTCCTCCAAACAGAGGCATCATCGAGCACGTGAGCAACTCGGAGCCCTTCCTCGACTCCAAGACGTCCTACTACCGATTTCGACCGGTTCGCACTGCTGGCCTCTCTGCCCCCGCCCCCCGCCCACAGGGTCCACTGACTGTGTTTTGTTTCCCTGCGCTCACAGGAGAAGACGCGACAAATCAACGTGTGGTATCCCGACGAAAAGGTGCGTGCGTGCGATGCTCGATGTGTGTGTGTGTGCGTGTGCGATGGTGTGTGCGTCTTGCTTTTTACTCGGCTTACATATGCGTCGCCATTGCCAGATAACGTATCTCATCGACATGATGCGGCTCAATCTGGAGTTCAAAACGCGGACGTGGCGCCTCACCAAGTACAAGAAGACGTTCAAAGGCGGCGACCTGGTCGACTGGCTAACCAAACACCTGAAGCTGTCACGAGAGGACGCTGTCGCCTTTGGCGAGGTACGCAAGGCCCTCATCTATCGATCCAACATTGTTCTGCCCAGGCCTTCTCACCACCATCTTCTGCGCACCGTTCAGGAAATGATGCGACGATCGATCTTCCATCACGTCACATTCTCGGAGCCATTCGACGACGAGCCCAACCTCTTCCGCTTCTACCAGGTTCTCCTCGCTTGCCACGCTGCAGTGCTTACGAGGTCGTCAATCTCTATTTGGAGTGCTTTGCTCACGACTCCTATGTTCNCTTTTCAGGACGAGAAGAAGTACAGGACGGCGACGAGAGCAAAGCTAAGGCAATCGACATTGTCGGCCGATCGGGTCAGAGGCCTCCAGAGCGCGCAGGGCAGCAGCGGATCGGGCAGCTTCTCTGGCGGCATGCGACCCGTCAACAAGGTCTCCTCCGGCCGCGACGTGCGCGAACGCTACCGCGATGTCTGACCATTTCCATCAACAAACAAACAAACGCTTGTACACAACTTCTCCTCCTTGGCTGTGATGCTTTTATTTCACAAAGAACTTATCTGGCAATGCCTTCTGATGGAGTGTTAGCAGAAGCAGAATTTGCTGTGATGAAGAAGAAAAAACATCGTGGTGCGCTAGTGTGGCGAGGCAGGGGCGGGCGAAGGAGGCGAAGAAATCTCCGAGGGCGGAGGAGGACGGAAGAGACCGATCAGGGTGGCCTGGAGGGTCTCCTTCCTGAAGGGCTTGGTGAGGAACCGGTCCATGCCCTTCTCCAGACACTCGGTCTCGTAGTCCCGCGTGGCCGACGCCGTCAGCGCCACGATCGGCACCCGCTTCGTCCCGTGCGTCGTCCGCTTGACTTCAGTTTCATCTGTCGTTGATCTGACCTCCGCTTCCTTCTCGTTCTCGTTCTCGTCGTCGCCTTCTTCGGGCTTGAGCTCTTTGCTCTTCGGCTTCTCCTCGCACCGGTACTCCTCCCAGGTTTGGGCGCGGCGGTGTTCGATGTGGCGAATGCGGGCCGTGGCCTGGAAGCCGTCCATGATGGGCATCTGCACATCCATGAGGATCACGTCGAACGTCTCCCTCTCGAACAACCCCACCGCTGCCCCGCCATCGCCCGCGATCTACATCACGCCCACAACCAATGCCAAACGTTTTAGAAATAAGAGCGAAGAGCGAAGAGCGATGGAGTCGACTTGTACCGTGACGGAGCAGCCGAGGGAGGTGAGCATCTTGGTGGCCACTTTCTGGTTGATGATATTGTCCTCCACCACCAGCACCTTCCTCCCGTGCAGCAAGTCCTTACTACGAGACGAACCGAGTTAGGCTGATGTTGGAGTTGGATCAATGAAAGGAGGTCAGAAAGCAGAGCGTACACAGCAGCAGCGGTGGTGCCATCTTCGGTGGTCGGGTGCTCGCGGCGCATAGTCAACGGCGTTTTGGGCTGGTAGAGGGGCAGACGGACGGTGAAGGTGAACACGGATCCCTTGCCCACCTCGCTCTCCACCTTGATATCGCCCTGCATCGCCTGTTACACACGTGCCCACGTCAGCGCGAGCTTTTACACTTCGTGGCCTGCGTAGGCGTTCGTACGAGGGACAGTTTCTTGCTGATGGCAAGGCCGAGACCCGAGCCGCCGAACTTACGCCCCACACTCGCATCCAGCTGGGAGAAGCTCTATAGAGAGAGAGAGCGAGAGAGAAGCTCGCGGGAGTAAGAAACCTCTCTGTTCGGCCCAGGCAGGTGTGCGTGGAGTACCTTGAATATGTTCTCGAGGCCCTGGGGCGGAATGCCGATGCCCGTGTCCGCGACGCTGAGCGACACGATTTCGGGGTCGGCCTGACCCGTGGAGGCCGACACCATTACGTGGCCCTCCGCGGGCGTGAATTTGATCGCGTTACTCAGCAGGTTGTGCAATATCTGTCGAAACCGGAGTGGATCGCCTGCAGCAGATGGAGGCCAATGTTGAGAACTTCTTCGTTCTTCTTCGTTCTCTTCGTTCTTCGTCGTAAGTGGACGATCAAGATCAGGGGCGGTGGTGGATGATGTACCGAGGCGGAGGGGCTGTGCGATGTCGATTTCGGAGATGAGGGCGACGTGCTTCTTCTTGGCCATGACCGTGTGCAGACTCACGGCCTTGTCTACTTCTTCGCACACCGACAGCGGAATGGACTCCAGTTCCAGTTGACTGTTCACCCCAACCACACGAAGAGCACGCGATCAGCGTGCGAAGGGGGAGGAGGAAGAGCGGGAGGTGGAATGTAGGAATTCGCAGTACTTGGACTCGATGCGGGCGAAGTCGAGGATGTCGTTGACGAGGCCCAGCAAGTGGTCCGCGCAATCGCTGATGATGCGCGCCGATTCGAAAGCCCCTTCGCTGAGCGGCATCTCCATCAGGTCCTTCGCCATCGCTGTGTTGTTTTCAAGGGGGAGCCACTCTCTGATCAGTCCTTGAGGCCTCTCAACACGCAACAATTCGAGCGAGCGACCTACCGATGATACCGTGCATGGGCGTACGCAGCTCTGCGAGAGGAGCGACCCAGAACCGAGAGGCCGAACACGGATCGAATAAGTAACGGCACGCTGTGGGCGGAGCTGGGTATGGGGTCGGGTGACGGCGGAATGGGGTACCGTGACTCATGTTGGCGAGGAAGGCCGTTTTGGCTTTGGTGGCCTGCTGGAGCGACACGTTGACCCTCTCCTTCTGCTGCAGCGCCACCATCATCCGCCTCAGCGCGCTACGCCTGGTAGTGTGCGCGGGAGCGTGTTAAGGAGGAGGAGGAGCAAACATTGTTGTATACAGGAAGCGACCTGGTGCACGAACCTGTTCGATTCGTACACGTAGGCAAAGACACCCATGAACGCGATCAGCAGGATCTTGCTCGTGAGCAGCTCTGTCGACGAGACACACACACGCGCGCGCGGGAGGAGCATGTTAGTGAAGCGCGTCACCACGACTGGCGACAGTGGAGCGGCAGGCGGCGCTGCGGCGCGTAAGTTGCGGCAGTGGACAGAGGTAGTACTACCCTGGAGGCTCGTGGGGAAGCGACCGATGTGGGCGCCGTGAATGTCCAACTTGGCGCACGCGAAGGGAACGAACACGATGCCCTGCTGGTTCAGCTGTACGCACGCCAGATCGAACGCTTGGCCGTTGCGCGCGTCTGTGACGATGGAGTGTCAGCGGTCAGTCAGCAGACCCCTTCACACACAAAACGTGTCAAGCCCCATCTTACCGTCAGGTGTGAGGGCGTAGATGAGCAGACTCTCGCCGATGAGCCCGAAGGTGGCTACCACCCCGGCCCGCGGCCCCACCAAGCAGAACAGAACGAGCGGCATCATGGCTATCCACGAGAACATCTCCGTACGGACGCCGTACAGCACGCACTGCGCATGAAGATTTGTTTTTTTAACATCAGCACGACTGGCGAATGCACAAGGAGGCGAGGAGTACCTTGTAGATGAGAATAAGGTTGAAGTAGAGGCAGGATATCCAGGCCGAGGTGCGGCCGTGGTCGTTGAGCAAACGTGCCAGCCAAAGAAGGCATCCATAGACGCTCATTGAAAAGAGAGATTGCCAGGAGCTGAGATGATTCCACCCATCGATCCACAGGCGCAGCGACAAAACGAGGGCATTGACGAAGATGAGTGCTACTAGGAGATTGATTAGCATCACCGCTCGCCCCTTCGTTTCTTCATGCGCCACATATTCGCCAATTCGTTCATCTTCCTCCTCTTCCTCAATCTCTTCCTCGACAGCCTGGGAGAGATTTTCCGTTGCATTGTCTTCCTGTTTGCGCAGTGGTTGATCGTGCAGACGGAGGAAGCGAAGAGGCCATCGCGAGAAGGAGAAGCCCCATCGCAGGCACGGCCGAGATCGTCTGCGCGTGGAGATCGGGGCAGATGATGCAAAAGAAGGGAGCGAGGAAAGCAGAGACGCCACCGAGCCGCAAAAGCCCAGCTCACGCGGTGTCTCGGCGAATGCTCGCCTTCGCTCCTCTGGGGTCGGCTTCGTGCTGCTGGCCCCCTCTTCGTCCTGCTCTGTGGAGCTAAGAAGAGGAGCGTTCTCCTTCTCCTCTTCCTTGGCCTCCATGAATCTGCGTCGCCACTCCTCTATCAAGTTGGGCGGCGCCTCCTTCTTTTTCTTCTGTTGCTGTTGCAGGCCCTCCATCATCTCGTGGTTGCGTGTGTGTGAACAGAAGCAGAAGGTGGTGAAGAAAGAGTTGCGCGTTGATGGCTTTGCTATTTCGGAGTCAGTGTCAGTGTCAGCCGCATCGCCGTCTGCCCCAACAACTCTCAGAACCAAGTCCTGATCTCCGGCCACCACCGCAGAACACTGGTGGCCCGACCACAGACCCGAAAAGGCACACCCAAGGCCCAGAGTCGGGCAAGGGCGGTGATTGCCTGGGCTCGCCACAAGTAAGTGTGCCCGAGTTTTCTTTCGTCTCTTGGCGAATGTGATCTACATGAAGGGGGGGACACACGAGACTGCCCCTAGGCGACGGGGTAGGGAGTGCAGTCCTGGGGAGGTAAAGCCGCGAGCAGCGTGGGGTCCTCGCTGGCCCAGACCGGCCTGTCGTTCTTGTCGGTCTTGCTCGGGGTGGATGAGCGGAGAAGGCAGAATGGTCCCCGGTGCCCGTTACGGAACAGGCATGTCCGCACCAGCAGCGGCTCGCTGGGCGTGGTGGTGGTGAGTGGTTCGGCCGTAGGCTTGTGCCGCGCCGGCACCGGCGGCGCTTGCTTCTTCCCCGCCGCGCTCTGCTCCTCCTCTTTCTTCTTCTCCAGTTGCGGAGGAATGCCGCCCGCCAACTGGGCGTAGAAGAGCTGCGTGCCGGACCGCTCTCTCGTGTTCTGTGTTGTGGGCTCAGATGCCTCGACTTCCTCAGGGCCAACGACGTTCCTGAGCGCAAAGAGCGAGGTCTTGGTGACGGCCTCTGCAAGAGGAATTAGGAATTACATCAGCGAGAAAGGTGGTGTGGCGATAGACGATGCGAGGTGCTTACGTACCGGTCTGGTGGAAGAAGACGAACGACCAGGGCTTCTCGCCCTGCGGTGCGAGGAACTGCGGTGCGTTGTGCCCGGAGAGCGGCACCGGGATGAGCTGCGGCACGCCGAAGGCGATCGCGAGCAGCCGAAGAGCCGGTCCGCCCAGACCAGCGACCCTCTGCTGCGACATGAACGCCGCCAGAGCTCGACCGCCCCGCTCCGCCACCACCTTGCCGTCCTGCCCACAACACAGTGCGCCAAGTCGGAGTTAGACATGTAGCTGCGATCGCGCCTGTGAGGCTCGATTGAGCGGAGTACCTGAGCGAGAGAAGCCGTGTGGATGATGCGATGCTGCTGGTGTCTGGCTGACCCAGTGTGGACGCTGGGCTGGGTCTTGGTGACGATGGGGACAGCGACGACGGTCCAGTGGAAGCCTGGCAGCACCTGCGCGCTCCAGATGACCTTCACTCGGCGCTCGGCGCTCGATCCAGCGGAGAGGAGGTGCTCGCCAAGCGCCTCCTCGTATCGGGCCAGGGACCCGCTGGCGGTCCAGCCGGGGCAGGACTGGGCGTCGAGGAACTGTTCGTCGGCAGTCGTCGGCAGAGCACCGTCGCTCGCCTCGGCCGGCGCCGATGTCGGTTCGAATGCTTGAAGGTCGCCTCTGACCAGCAGCTGCAGGGGCGAGAAGAGGAACGTGGCAGGCGACAGTGATGAAGATGAAGAGCGACGACGACGACGACGACGATGAAGATGAAAGCAGGCAGGTCTCTGGCTGAGGTTGGTGGTGGGGAAGGGATGCTGCGACGTCGTAGCGATGTCGAGCGAGAGGCCATGGGTCGAGAGGAAATAGAGCCGGCGCCAGTCGCCGCTGACCGACGAGTTGAGCACGGCGGCCAGGGCGTCCACCGCCACCCCGCGGCGACCGCTCGGGTGCGCGGCCGCGAGCAGCGAGGGCTGCACCTCGGCAAAATCGCGCAGCTGCTCGGTCCACAGGTTGAGGCAGGCAGACTTCCACATCAAGTGCCCATTCCCATCTGTGTCGTGGCGATTCCACAGCTTAGCACACGCACACGCACACGCACACGCACTACTGCACAAGTGATGAGCTTACCGATGATGCCGGCCCAGCGCTTAGACACCAAACGAGCAGAGAGGAGGTCGTGGCCAGAGAGGAACGAGAGAAGGAAGGTCGTCATCCGCCGGTCCAGGCCCTGGATCGGCCCCTGGTGCTGCGAGGCCGCCAGGTAGGCCGTCGAGGTCAGAGAGGTCTTCAGGAGGGTCGACGATGGCTTCTTGGTGGTCTTGTCGCTGGTGGTCTTCTTCTTGCCCTTCTTGTCCCTGTTGAGGCCGGCGGGGTCCTCGTTCGCTCCATCCGCGGGGAACAGCTCCTTCCGCTTCTTTTCTTTCTTGCCCTCCTTCTTCGCCTTCTTTTGCTTCTTGTCGCCCTTTCCCAGAGCGTCTTCTTCACCTGTGGGTGAGCCGGTCAATCGGTGTACGGACGGCGAGCCGCAAGCGCCGTATACAAAACAGAAATGAAAGGGGAACCTTTGCTCTTCTTCTTGAGCCCGAAGCCCAGCCTTCTCCGTGCAGGCGACGCTGGCGACTCCTGAAAAGGGATTAGAACGAAAGAACGAAGACCGATAGCGAAAAGAAAGAAGAACGAAGACCGAATATTGGGGGGGGGGCTGTACCGAACCGGGCGAGGGTGAGGAAGCTTTGCGGGGCGAGGCCATGCCCTCTTCTGCGCCCGGGTCCCCCGTGATCGTGGACAAGTTTTCTTTCTTCTTGAAAGAGAACGTTCTCTTCAGCTTCGCCTTCTTCTCCCCCTCCATCTTTAGTGGCAAGTGCGGTCAAATTATAAAAACTATTTCTAATTGCTCGTGCGGAAAGTACAATTTTATTACGATTATAATATTATTTTAATTATAATAAATAATATGATGACGTGACCACTACTCGACGATGGACATCCGCCGGCGGTGCCGCAGTTGCGTGGACGCTGGTGTGGCGGAGGACGAGAAGAGCGGCGCTGGGAGGGGCGAGGCGGAGCCAGAGCGAGGGCCCTCGAGGAAGTCGGCGAGCACGCGCTGGAGGGTCTCCTTCTTGAGCGGCTTGGTGAGGAACCGGTCCATGCCCTTCTCCAGGCACTGGGCCTGGTAGTCGTAGGTCGCCGACGCAGTGAGCGCGATGATCGGCACCCGCTCCTGCGATGATCGCAGTGCCGACTCTCCTTGTGCCTCGCTGCCCTTGTCCTCGAGGCCGTCGCGCCGTCGAAGGTCGTGGTGCTGAGACTCGCTGCTCGTGGCCCGGGATTGGGCGCGGTGGTGTTCGATGTGGCGAATGCGGGCTGTGGCCTGGAAGCCGTCCATGATGGGCATCTGCACATCCATGAGGATCAGTCGAACGTCTCCCTCTCGAACATGGTCACCGCTTCCACCCCATCACCCGCCAGCTACATACATTGTAAAGGCGTGTGTAACGTCAGCTTTGATGCTTTCGCTGGCACGAGCCAAGGGTCCTTGAATTGATGGATTGTACGTACAGTGACGGAGCATCCGAGAGACTTGAGCATCTTGGTGGCCACCCTCTGGTTGACCAGGTTGTCCTCCACCACCAGCACCTTCTTTCCCTCGAGCAAACCGGCCCTGCACGACCATGCGCGAAGATGACCGCGTTAGCCAGCTCCTGCGTGGACCCATGTGAAAAGTGGGGGACGCCCGTACAACGCAGAATCTACGACGTCGTGAGCTATGGTCGGCGTGCTCGGATCGGCGACCGGCAGGCGCACAGTAAATGTGAACACGGAGCCCTGGCCCACCTCGCTCACTACATTGATATCGCCGCCCATTGCCTGTGCATGCATGATGGGGGGGGGGAACGCGTGAGTCCGAGTACTGGGTGAATGTCTGGCCATCCATGATGATACGAGCCGCGTACCCGGCAGAGCTTCTTGCTGATAGCGAGGCCGAGACCAGAGCCGCCAAACTTACGACCCACGCTCGCATCTAACTGGGAAAAGCTCTGTAGAGACGAATGAAGGGGTGGGCGAACAGTTCATGAGGCTGTTCGGGAGCAATAGCACTATGGGACGACACAGCAGATATACCTCAAAGATGTGCTCCAGGCCCTGAGCTGGGATCCCGATCCCCGTGTCCTTGACGCTCACTGGTCGTGTCGAAAGAGGAACGATCAGAAAACCCAACCTTAATGAAGGATGGATCTGTAGCGCAAGCGGGAGGGAAGAGCTCGAGTCGAAAACGCACCAGAGATGATCTCGGGCTCGACGCTGCTGGAGGAGGCCGACACGATCACGTGACCTCCCTCGGGCGTGAACTTGAGAGCGTTGGTGATTAAATTGATGATTATTTGCCTAAAGCGCAGCGGGTCTCCTGTTCAAGAATGGCGTCAGTTGGTTTCGTTTGGGCGTTGTGGTTATGTGCTGATTCACGCCATGGCCAGGAGGGGGGTGGCACCGAGGCGAAGCGGCTGCGAGATGGTGATTTCAGTAGTCAGGTTCAAGCGCTTCTTCTTGGCCATCGCCGCGTGGAGACTCACAGCTTTTTCCACTTCCTTCACCATCGACAGCGGAATCACTTCCAGCTCCAGCTGACTGAGAGTCGCCACAGAGTGAGCCAACCAGTGGGCTAGGTGGGATGCAATGGATCTGACATACTTGGTTTCGATGCGGGCAAAGTCGAGGATGTCATTGACGAGGCCCAGCAAGTGGTCCGCACAGTCGCTGATCACGCGCGCCGATTCGCTCGCGGCTTGTTCGAGCGGCATCTCCATCAAGTCCTTGGCCATCGCTGTGTTGTGGTCGACCAAGCCCTACATGAGCACGACCCACACGTTCATTGGGCAGACAAGGTTCCTGCATACCAATGATTCCGTGCATCGGCGTCCGCAACTCTGCGCGAAGAGAGAGCAGAATCGCGTGAGTGGCGTGGTGTGGTGGGCTGCCTGGTCGGTGACGGCGGACTGGGGTACCGTGACTCATGTTGGCAAGGAAGGCCGTCTTCGCTTTGGTCGCCTGCCGCAGCGACACGTTAATCTTTTCCCGAAGGTGGAGTGCCTCCTTCATGCGCTCCTGTGCGCTGGCACTGAGAGCAGAGAGCCTCGGCCGATCAGCAGGTGATCACATCGCCAGCCTGAGTAGATGCGAAACTCCGGCCAACGTACCGGTTGGCCTCGTAGACATAGGAAAACATGCTTGTGAAGCAGATTGCGAGGAGCTTGCTGACAATGAGCTCTATGATGATGAGATGATGATGATGATGATGATGTGGATTAAGTTGATTGTTAGGCAGAGATCTGTGATTGTTCAAGAGGAAAGGCTGACGCTACCCGTGGTGCTTGAGGCAAACCGGTTGATTTGCTGGCCTTGCCCGTCAAAGGGCACACAGTTGAATGGTACAAACACGAATTTGAGATCCGAGCTCACGTGCACGCACGACGTCTCAAAGCTGTGGCCCAGCGTGTCGTCTGCACTCACCGAACAGTTGGGCTCAGCAACAGAACGTGAGGGCGCGTGCGCAAACATCTCCAACTGCACAAAGTGTGGCTGGCGTACCACTGGAGCTGATGTAAAAAAAGAGCCAGGCCTCGAGCATGACCACCACGGTAGACGCCACACCCGCACGCGGACCCAGAAGACAGAACACCACCATGGGTACCATGGGCAGCCACGCAAACTCTTCCGACCAGACCCCGAGATGGGTCGAGCCCTGTGTGCGCAGATACCGCGATGATGACCCTATCAGCCGCTGATCGCTCGACGAGCGCACAACGGAGAGTGGAGGAGTTCGAACCCGCCAGACGAGAAAGGTGTTGAAGAAGAGGCAGGCGAACACAGCAGAGAGGCGTCCGTTGTCGCGTCGCCAGCGCGCGAGCCACAGCAGACCGGCGTAGAAGATGATCGCCAGCCCGGAGCTGCACGTCTTGACCAGCCCGTCGGCGTGGACACGAAAGGGAAGCACGGCGAGGCTCACCCCGGCCAGGGCCACCAACAGGTTCGCCAATAGTACCGCGCGCTGTCGGATCCCCTCAGCTTCGACCTCCAGCTGCAGCTCCTGGTCCAGCTGCTCTCCGCGGAGGTGATGTTGGGCTTCGCCTGCAATTGAATTCGATTTCGATTGGGCTGTTTGCAATGGCTTCGCCTTCGAGGCTGAATCATCCTCAATTTTAAGAAATCGAAGAGGCCATTGCGAGAACGAGAAGGAGCTTCCCCTGCGCGCTCGGACCTCCGGCTCCCCTTCGATTGTTGTTGGCTTCGCTGCAGATGGCGAGGTTGAAGATGAGGGGGCGGGCGCAGGTGAATGGGGCGGCGAGATGCGAAGAGGCGCCGTGGTGGACTCCGCGCATTCAGACATGATACCAAAGACAGAGCCTCGGTTGCCCTTTCTTCTTCGTTCGCGCAGGTGCGCGCTCCAAAGCGAGTTCCATTCATTCCGGAACAAGGCTCTTCGTTCTTCTGCGACCAACCAAAAATCAAACAGCAAGCACCTCACCACGCAACAACAGCATTCCTGTTCTGGACAGAAGGTGAGATGTACAGCTGACGGCATGAGGACGATGCAAGGAATTGAGCGAACGCACAACGCCAAGCCACCATTGTGGAATTCGTGGGGAGATGGTCTGGCTCGCTGGGCGCAGGCGTTGGCACTGTGAAATTTCCGACATTTTAGCAGCGCAATGTGGGCGAACTGCTGCGGCGAAGGGGACGACCCAGGAGGCTGCAGCGTCCCTCATGTCATGTCGGCCAAGGCCTATTTGTAGCCCCGCCCGCACCTTCCTTCCACTCATTATCATCATCACCCTCCAACCCGCTCACCACTGCTTACCTCTTCCCTTCCAACTAATCACACCACAACATGGTACATGCTCTCTCTCTTTGCCGACCCTCTTTCTATGTCCTTGCTTACACTCTTCTTCATCATCACCTTTCCCCCTCCACGCAGTCGCTCAAGGGTCCCGACTTTCACACATACGGAAAGAGCGACCCGCTGGGGAGTAGCTTGTCGTCGTTCATGGACGACAACCTCACCAGCGACACCTGGATTGAGAGCAACGACGGCGACAACTTCGTCAAGGGCGGTTTCCTCTACGAGAAGGGCTTCTGGGGCCGCAAAGTGCGCCGAATCGTCCTCACCGAGAAGAGCTTCCGCATTCTGGTACCCATCCTCACCGCCTCTGCGCCCACGCAAGGGGCATCTTTGGCAAATTAAAACACGCAATTCTGGCGACTTTTCGACTAAAGTTTTGCTTTAAAATTTGGCCAACAGCACAAGCGGACCGGCATCGTCAAGAAGTACTACAGCCTGTACTCGGTGCAGAACGTGGAGGCCCAGCGCTGCACCCATGTATTCATCATCAGCCTTTACACGGGTATGTCTGCTTGTGGAGCTCAACGTCGATCAAGTGTGAGTGAGGTTCTCACCTGTTGCTTCTCCTGCAGCCAAGGGCAAGATGAAGAGATTGTATTTTGAGCCCTCCAGCGCCGAGCAACGCAAGGAATGGATGAAGGCCATCCAGTACGTTCTGCTCATCGCCCCCGGTGCATTCCCCTTCAAAGCTCACGCCTGTTTTTTGCGTGTGTCACAGGGTGTGCGTGGCCTTTGTCAAGGCCGCCAAGGAGGAGAGGGAGAACACTCGCTACGGCACCTCCGCCAGGCGCACGTCGTCAAAGATCGCTGAGTCGCGTCGCCACTCGGGCGAGTGGAGTTCTCAGGGCTCCGGCAGCGGCTGGGAATCGGTCGAAGACCGACCCGAGCTCGATGGCCGGCGGCCGGTGCTCTCCAAGTCCGCGGTCGACCTCGGGTACAGCCGCGAACGGAGCGCGAGCGCAACCAGCGGCGCCCGCCTGCGCGGCCGGCCCGAAGGGGCGCTGCTCGAGGAGAACAACGGCTACAACCCCTTCCCGGCCGTGGAGCAGTGGGACCTGGAGGAGCCGGAGACCATGGGCCAGCTGGGCATCCCCACCGGCAAGCGCGGCTTTAGCCGGCACCAGGCGGTGTAAGGTTGCCTCGATCGAGGGCGAATCAAGCCCACAACCGAACTATTCTGTACATACACCACGACGAAGGTCACAGAAGCCAGAGACCAGAGACCAGGAATCGACGGTTGGTGCCTCGCGAGGAAGCGATGACTCCTGCTGCCAGCACCACCACACTCTTATTTATCTTTAGCAATTATAAATATATAGTTAAAACAAACAAATATCTGTCTACGCCCCACTTGTGCCTTGAAGAAAAAGGTAAAGGAGGAAGTGTGGACAGAACGCATGCATCTAGTTCTACAAAAAAACAAGGCCTCAACAACAAACAAACAATCATACCAAGCGTCCGTATGCCACGCAGCGACCGTGTGAGTGATGGGCTTGAGTTGCGTCGTGGGCGGCTGCTTAGACGAAGGAGAGACCTGTGACGTGCTTGTTTCTTCCCTGTGGTGGTATTGCGAGGTGGTCGTTGAGACGAATGGGTGAGAGGCGGGCGATGGGTGCGTGTCACGCACCGTCTTCTCGTTCTTGCGGAGCCACGCGAGTACGGCGGGTGTGCCTCTGTTGAGCACGTCTGGCGGCGGGATCACCAGCGGGTTGTGGCTGATGTCCATGACCTCCAGCTTGGGCAGGCTCCCCAACTCCCATGGCAAGCTTGACAAGACACGAGCGCACACACACGGTGTGTCGTGAGCCAACGAACGCAAAGAGCCGGAATTAGTGTGTAAAGAAGGGGCGCGCACTTGGTCATCATGTTGTGCGACATGTCGATCTTGACCACGCTGCTGAGCTCGCCGACCTCCGAGGGCAGCTCGTGGATTTCGTTGCCCTTGATGTCGAGCTTGGTGAGCGCCGTCAGCAGGGCGATAGTGGGCGGCAGCGTCAGCAACCGATTGCCCGACACGTTCAGCTTTTGCAGGTTGGACTGCGCAGGCCGCGGGACAGAGAGTGAGTTACTCACTCGCCAGCGACACAAGCGGTCGACACAAATTAAACATGGGGGGGGGGGCTATGGGTGGTGTGAGCGTACGAGACAGCCGATTTCCTCGGGAACGGAGAGGAGCACGTTGTTGGCGGCGTCGAGCTCCTTGAGGGCGTACATGGTCTTGATCTCGGCCGGCAGGGTGGCGAGATTGTTCTTGCTCATCAGCAGACGCTCGAGGCGCGTGAGGCGGCCCAGCTCGGGCGGGATCAGCTCGATGGCCAGCGAGTTCTGGCGCAAGTCGAGCAGCTCCAGATTGACCAGGTTGCCGATCTCCGCCGGCAGGTTCGTCAACTTGTTGCCGAACAGATCAAGCCTGTGCGTGTGGCGTGCGTGTGCGGCGTGTGCGGTGCATCCATGTCAGTATGTGCTAATGTGAGTCGGCGGGAGAGCGGCATTGACCTTCTGAGTGTGGTGAGACGGCCGATCTCGGGAGGAATGCGTCCGATCTGAAGGTTGTTCCTGAGGTCGAGCTCGACGATGCTGGGCAGCGTGCACAGGTCCTCTGGGAGCTCGTCCAGGAGCGTGTTGCGCAGGCCCATGTACTGGAGCTGGTTCAGCTGTTCGAGCGGGAACAGGGTCTTGAGGTTGGAGTTCTCGTTCACCGAGAAGCTGCGCAGCCTGGCCAGGTAGCCCATCTCGGCCGGCAGGTCCTGCAGCTTGTTGTTCGACAAATCAAACACCTGACATAACACCACACACCACACCACACCAACACACACATACACGGCGCACACAACGAAGAAGAGAGCGAGTGAGGTGCGGGCGCAACGGGTTACTTCATGGGAAGTAGCGGGGGGAGAGAGAGAGAGAGAGGTCAGACCTGTAGGTTGCGGAGGTTGCCGATCTGCGGGGGCAGGCGGGAGAGGGCGTTGTTGGCGAGGTACCACTCGCTGAGCTCGGTGAGGTTGCCCACCTCGGGGGCGAGCGCGCGGAGGCGGTTGTTCTCGGCCTTGAAGATGAGGAGGGCGCGCAGGTTGCCGAACTCGGGCGGGAAGACCTGAAGGTTGTTGCCGCTGATGTCGAGGTACTGGAGGGCCGAGAGCTGGCCGAGCTCGGCGGGGAGCTCCTCGAGCTGGTTGCCGCTGAGGTCGAGCTTCTGGAGGAGGCGCAGCTTGCCCAGGTTGGGGGTGAGCGGGGCGGTGAAGAAGAGCTTGTTGTTGCAGAGCCACAGCTCGCGCAGGGTCGGGGCGAGATCGCCGAGGGCGGGCGGGACGTGGTTGATGCGGTTGTTGCCCAGGTCGAGCACCTCGATACGCGCCAGTTTGCCCAGCTCGTCGGGCAGCGAGGTAATGTCGTTCTCGGCCAAGATGAGCTCGCGGCACTGGAGCTGGCGCACCGATTTGGGAATCTCGGGGATGCCCTGCTTACGCAGATCCACGATCTCCTTCTTCTTGTACTTCTTCTTCATCAGCTCCTTTCCCAAATCGTTGCCCATTTTGTGTTTTTTGTTTGCAGTGCCAATGGGCTGCAGGCTCTTCTGTTGATTGTGATTACAAAATGAATCAAAATTAATTATTTTTATTTTTCTCTAGGTGACCGCTTCACCAGCACGCGCATGTTTGACATTCCAGTCCCCAGAGGCGGGAGGGGTGGCTCTCTGTTCTCAGAGAGCCTTGACTGCTTTCTTCGCGCACGTCTGGACCAAACAGACTCCTGTGTTCGGGTGGACAAAGAGTGAGTGTCACGGTCCCAGCCCCGGCGTAATAATGCGAAGAAGAGCGAAAGCGGAATTGGGAGGGGGTCAGCGCGGAAGCGGGGGGGGGAAGGAAAAACCTTTCATGAGGAGTTCGCAAAGGTCGGAGCACGGGTTTATGCATGGCTCGAAGAGGGAGCAGAAGACGTAGACCACTCCGCAGAAGCAAGAAATGGGAATGCAGATCAACGCGACGAAGATCCAGACCACGAACATAATGACACCGGAGAGGCCCATGGCGATTGTGCGTGTGGGTGACTCTCTCTGCTCCTTCCTCTTCCTCTTCCTTTCTGTGTGATTCTGTCTTTCAACCCGCCCTTCAAGCCGTACGGTTCGTGGCGCCACACGTATTAAAACAACCGGTCATTTGTCGACCTGTTGTGCAACCAGAAGTCAACCACCCCCGTTACACCCACAACCAGAACGCAAGGCGCTGGACGCGCGCGTCTTGCTTGTGGTGGCTGCCGCTTGGTTGCAGAAAAGAGGTCACGATGCATTTGGCTGCGGCCTCTTGCAATACAAACACGAAAAGCGGGAAGGAGCGAGAACTAAACTTAAACTAGCGCGCAGCGGCGGCGTTCATCTCCTTGTTCCTCTCGGGGTCGGCGCACTGGTTCTGGAACTTCATGCCGTTGGTGTGGCACCAGCCCTCCTTGTGTCCGGCGTGGGTGGCACCGGCGAGCTTGGCCTTCTTGAGCTCGGTGGTACCGTCGTTGGGCCGGTACAGCACCAGGTTGGCACCGAACACACACCAGCGCGACAGGAATGCTGTACGTTGTTCGCAAGGCAACATGGCATGTAAGTTCGGTGATCTGTGTGTGTGTGTGTGTGTGTCCGTGACATAGAGACTTCAAGGCGTACCATCTTTGTACTGGGTGGTGTAGTAGAACACGTCCTTCACAGCCGCGGCGGGAAGACCGGCGGCCCACTTGCTCGCGCCGTCGTAGGTCAGATCGTTGTTGCGACCGCAACCAAGACCAAAGATCCTGCCTGTGGCGCGTTTGACCGACGACGGTCAACAATGTGAGCGAGCGAAGCGCACCAAGCCATCGGACCCGCCGGGTTTTGGGGGGGGGGTACCGATGGAGGCAAGGGTGCCGGCGAGGCCAGAGCCGTAGTAGGGGCTGCCGACGGACTGGATGAGGCGGCCACCCTGGGCGTTCTCGAGCTTCGACCAGTAGTAGCTGTGGAGGTGAGTGGCGGCGAGACCACCCTGCGAGTGCGCGATCTGAAAGATTCGGGCGAAGGTGGGAAGGTGAAGGGTGCGTTAGTCACGACATCTAAACGCCGACTTGGGTGGTGCAGGCCGCGAAGTAGTGGCGCGGGAGTGCGTACGATGGAGAAGGCGTCGAACTGCTCGCCAAACTCCCTGATCTTGAGAGCGAACGCGTCGTTGGAGCGCGCCTGCTTGTAGTCCTGGAACTGGATGGCGTTGGTGAACTGGTCCCGGGGGAACTCGTTCTGGCCGGCGCAGTAGCCGTGCACCAGCAGCAGGGTGCCCTGGCCCTGGATGCGGGAGATGTTACGCATGGAGGCGGGGCGAGGACCCACGCGCATCTCGTCGGTGACGGGGACGGTCCTCCTGGTGCGGTCGACCTTGAAGGACTTGATGGCGGAGCAGTCCACGAAGATGGACGACCTCTCGGACATGACGACGTTCCAGTCCCTGTCCTGGATCCACACCTTGCGGAGCTGGAAGGGCGCCGACACCTTGGCCTGCACATTTCGTGCACAACCACTGCAAGTGAGCCAACGAACGAACAAACAAACGGACGCGAGGAGGGTGAGGTGGTCGTGCGTACGTTGTGGACCCAATCCTCGTGGAGCATGAGGGTGATGACATCCTCGCCGGCGGCGCTCTTGTAGGAGTCCACCATGGCCTCCATCCACGCGACGGGCGCGTACTGGTAGCCGGACTCGTCGGTACCCCACACCTCGGCGTAGGCCTTGACGGCGGTGTTCTCGGCAGCCTGGATTGCAGTCAGGATCAGGGTCGCCACAAGCAGGTAGACATTGACATATCCGAACGAAGAGGGGGAGGGGGAGCCTACGTAGACGTCAACGTCAATGTGGAAGTAGAAGGCCTTGTCCTCCTTGCTGTACTCAACATCGGCGAGACCTGGACGGACAAGAAGACGACGGAGGTGAGCAGGAAGGAGGCGGGCGCGAGGGGCGGTACGATGGAGGAGAGAGTACCGGTGAGAGAGATGTAGGGGTTGACGACGTGGAAGGAGTGCTCGGTGGTCCTCACGAAGCGGGCGCCGGTGGCGGTGGTGCCCTCGAACACCGCGCGGGCGGTGTACTGACCGGGCTCGAGAGCCTCGACGACGCCGCCGAAGACGCCATCGTTGGAGAGCAGGTCGGCGTGCACGCCGTCATCGTGCATGGTCACCTTGACCTGACGGCCCGAGGGGTAGTTCACCACCATGGTGGGGGCCACGCTGGCGGTGAGCACAGCGGCGGGGCGGACACCCTCCTGTTGCGGTGCGGGTTGTGTGAGTGGGGTGGTACGAGGCCCAAGAGAGCTCGGGCAGGGTGGGCCGGGGCGGAAGGAGGGAGGGAGTGTGGTACCACGAAGGCGGCGCGGTCGAAGAGGTTGGCGATGAGACCGACCTCCTGGCCGACCTCGAGCTCGTACTGGTTGAGGTGCGAGAAGAGCTCCAGCGAGGCCTTGTTGGTGATCATGGCCAAAGCGGCGGGGGCATCGGTCGGCACGTCCTCGGCCTTGATGATGACCTGCGCGCTCCAGACACCTGTGACACAGCAAGAGCGGAACAAAAAGGTGAGCTCGCGAGGAAGACGCAGGCATACATGTATGAACCGCCATCCTATCTTCCCGTACCGACGGCGGGCTTCGCGAAGGTGTAGGTGGTCACGGGGTACGAGGCACCGTCAATACCGTACGGACCAGTCTCCTGTTGATTGATGTGGGCGAGTAGCGCGGGTGAGTTGGGCGTCGTGGAGCCACACGAGAGAGAGAGAGAGAGAGGCACTGGCACGGTAAGAGGGAGAATGATGCGCGTACAGAGGTGAAGGAGAGCTCGTAGGGGGCGCTGATGCCCTCGAAGTGGCGGCGGGCCATGAGGTCGCGGGTGGCGATGGCCAGCTTGAGGGAGAAGGGCAGCTCGTTGGGCGGCTGGACGATGATGTCGAGCTTGTCCTCGTAGGGCGAGAAGATGGAGATGTCGAGCTCCTCCTGGCTGTCGACCACGACCTCGCCCTTCCAGACGAAGGTGCCGTCGTCGGCCTTGGTGAACATGAGGTCATACCACGCCGAGTCGCTGGTCAGCGCCGCCAGTTCGGGCTGAGGGATGGTGTGCTGAGCGAACTCAGAGGGAGGACCCTGCAGCTTCTTCCTGCAAACATCCACCACAGGCAGACATGATGAAATTAAGAATCCCGTCAAATAAATTGTTTAAAAAATCGCTTCCCTAATCTGCAGTTGTTTCACGGAATGGAATCGGATGCAATACCTGAACTCATTGGAAGGAGGCTGGATGGCGATGGCGACCGCCACAAGGAGGGCCACAAGGAGAAGCGAGCGATGAAGCTGCATCGATCTGCATCGTGACAGCGGGATGAGTCTTCAAGTATCGGGCTCGGTGAAAACGAAACAAAACAATAGATGGAGTGAAAGAACGTGAAGTGTAAAACGTTGGTGTGGTAGTGCGGACCAAGACGGGACTGATCGATGTGAGCGGTGGCTGCGCAGATGGAGTTGGAGGGAGGAGTGACAAGAACGAAAGCGACGAGGAGCGTTGTGACGCGATAATACAAGATCGCCACCTTAAATTTAATGGACCAGAAACCTCATCCTCGCATTCCGTTCGTTTTGGTTTGTTGTTGCTACCTTGGGTTAGGCTGTGGCGGCGGGTGCGGCAGCGGCGGTGGATGTGGCTGCGAGTTGCGTGGCGGGCGGCAGGGTGTAGCCGGGAGGAAGGGCGGGCGTGGTCAGGTGCACATGCACTCCTCCAAACTTCTTGCCAACGAAGAAGCCAACCACGAAGCCTACACACCCGACGATGGTTCATCAAGCAATGGACATACAACTCAACATAACACAACGGCACGCACGCCGCACGCACGCAGCACCGCACACGGAACGGGAGTGCGACATACCAGCGCCGGCAACCCAGCCAATCCTTCGCATGCTCCAGCCGGGGAGGATCACGCCACCAACGCTGGTGATCGCATTCTTGAGTAGGCCCAGCGAGTAACCGGGGATCTTCGCACCCGCTCCGCCCAAGCCTTCAGCAAAGGACTTCCAGTTGGTTCCAGCAGTTCCTGCGCCAGACGCGGGCTTCGTCTGATCGCTTGAGTGAGCGATGGCCCAACTGTAGCGCACACGCCATTGACCATAGAATGCACAGGCGACGCCGAGTTACCTCAAACAGATCTGCTCCTCGTTTCATGTGATCCGCGCCACTTGTCTTTGTGCTCTCCTTCGCCTTGATCTCTGCGGCCACCTCCTTGCTGGCCTGTGCCGCCTTCTTCGCAAACCTGGAGGGCAAAGACAATCATTTTAAATACAAAAATACAAAAATACAAAAATAAATAAATCGTAATCAATGTACATCCGGAGGGGGGCAGTGTACCCCTGCACAAAGTAGAGGCTGTTGGCAGTCCATCGCTTCAGCGTTTCTGCGCCCTTTTGAACTGCAGACGGACCCTCAGAACCTGCAGCAGCGGGACGGTTGCTCAATCATTCATCTCGCAGCACTTCTCCCAGCGCCACGTCATAAGTGGAGTTCCGAGTTGTTTATCGTACCCATGCTTCCTCTAATCTATGCAACGCTCTCGAGAGCGAATGTGTACAGCGCGGTGCCTCCTTGTATGAGTTTTACTTTAAATTCGAATATCAAAAGTGGGCCTACGGCGAAAGTCGGTGGAGGCGAGGGTTGTGGTCCTTCTCGTAGTTCCACTCGGCCGTGGCCTCGGCCAGCATGGTGTGCAACGTGCGGACGAGCGGGTGGCCCGAACTGTGGGTGATGGTGAGGATGGGCAGCGCGCGCTGCATGGACTCGAGTGCGGCCTCGGTGTACTTGAGGTAGAACGACAGCTTGCCGTGGATGAGGTACTGCAGACCCACCAGCGGCCATCGGGGCGGGTAAATGCGCTCGAACACCGCCAGACTCGCGCTGCAGTAGAGCAGCGCCTCTCTCCACGCTGCTTCGCCCACTGCCAACGCAGCCCAACAAGAGATCAAGAGTGAGTTCGGTGCGGTCTTACGCGTGCGCGCCATTGGAAAATGAGTACCGTTAGGCGCCAGGCTAATGCAAAGGTTCATCAGTTCGTTGAGGTTGAAGCCGAGCAGCGGGTCGTGGGCCAGCAACAACGAGCGTCGTATCTTGAAGGCGCGTTTGTACTTCTTTCGGGCGAGGACCAAATCGCCCGTCTTCTTCGCTTCCGCGCCTTCTCGGTCGTACTTGGCCGCTCTCCTCAGCTCATTTTGCTCATTCACGCCTGTGCCGTCATGATCCCATGTCAGTCAAAGGCTGCCACGCACACAGTAATGCAAAGCCAAGCAAGATGCGAGATACCCTTGGGAGCAGGAGTGACTTCGGGTAGACTGGCTTGACAACGGGGACAAGTGCAGTGGAAGAAGAAATTGTCCATCAACTCCCTACACATTGACGTGCGTTAGTCTTGTGGCTTTACTATAAAGCGCGCACGAGAGGGGGGGATATCGGCACAGTACCTTCGCCTCGTCTCTGTTGGGTCGCCCACCTCAACGTAATTGAATGTTATTTCTTCATCCTTGGTAATGTCGCGTAGACTTCGCACCGTGCATTGCCTGCCTGCGAGCGGTGAAACCAAGCTTAGCACCATAAACAGGGAAGGGCCGAGCGGGCGGGCGTACCTTCAAAGATGATGACGCAGTTCGGATCGCAGGAGTGGTTGATGAGGGCAGCAGGAGGGTAGATGCCTAAGCCCAGTGGCTTCAATTCGCCGTCGCTGACAGTAAAGTTGTTGCACGCGAACTAGAAACACCAAACAACCAACGCATTGCCGATCAGCCAGCAGAGTAGCGACTGAGCAGGAGGATGAGAGTGATACCAGACAGAAGAGGTGCATGATCTCCTGCGGCGTGATATCTGTGGGGAGGGTCGCGGGCAGACTCTTCTTGATAAGGGCAGCCATCACTCCAAAGTGTTCCTTCTTCTCGCTCGGAAAGGCGTCAATGTCTGTCGTTGTGATCGAGTTAGGGTCTCTCTAACGGAAACCGGCCGACCGACGAAAGGGGCGACGCACGGGTTGTGAGGTAGCGAATGAGATCAAAGTTGGGCAGGCTCTTGCCCTCTTGCTCCTCTTTGATTCGTCGGATGAGCACTCGCCACATGAGGAGCATCGACGATGTGGGCTAACGGAAGACGCGAGGACGCAAAGGGCGTTAGACCACGGTACATGGCCCCATGCCATTGGGTGCAGGAGCCGTGCGCACCTTGTGCGGTGCCACGCTCTGGATCATGCCACACTCTTCCTTGTGCACTGCCGCCCAGTCCTTGCGCTGCTCATGTGCACACGCAGCAGAGGGAGAGAGCGCGCGGTAAGCCACAAGTCCTCAACAGCGCGTGGGTGGGTGACACAAACCTGGCACTCGGTGTTGCAGTAACGGAGCATCTTGCAGCGCGAGCAGCGAAGCAGTTGGGTGGCCGCAGGCTGGAAGCAGTAGGCGCAATGAGTGAGGCTCCGCTGGGCATCTGTGATGGCGGCATACGGTTCGCCGCTCCACACTTGCGTGCCAGCTTTGAGGTCCCTCCGCGCCACAAGATGCCTCCCTCGAGCATCGCTCTTGGTCAAGCGCACTGCAGCGCCGAGTGCGGAAGTTACCTCCGCATAGTGAGACTCCACTCGTGCAGTCACAAGGGGGTCCATCGCCAGCAAATCCACTGCTTCCCCAGTGGGCACAATAGGTTGAGCCGGCTCCATCTTCAGTGCAAATCTCTCTGTGTTGGCCTTTTTTCTCTGTCCTTTTCCACGAACTTTTCATCAAAATGAAATTTCGATCAGGTGCCATACGATGTCACGCCAAAAAGCTGTGGCTGGGGATTTCACTCTCACGCCAACCAACACGCTGCTTGACTTGACGCGGAGGCAGGGTCACGACGCCAACCTCGTCGCCTCCACGTCCTCCGTCTTTCAAGCCACCCGCAGCAAGAAGCCATCCTCCTTCTGAACCCACTTTTCTTCTGCACATTAGCTTTTTCATCGAATCGCGAGCCGCAAGATGGAGCCGGGAGAAGAGAACGATACGGGTCTCCAGTTCCGCACGCAGCTGCCTGACTTGAAGTTGCTCCCGGTCAACTACGATGCACCGCCCACCGAGAGCGATTCCTTCATGTCACCTCGCGCGGCAAGCGTGGAGGCAGAGATGCTGAAGCGTACCGAGATCCTGATCGAGCAGGACGGTAACGGCAAGAAGAAGATCAAGGGCGGCACCATCTTTTCTATTGTAAACTACTTCCTGACCGACAAGGACGCCGGTGAGCCCCCCCCCCATTTTGCAAGTGATTGCGAATGGAGTGTCGTGCATGTATAAAATTCTAACGCGGCCCGAAATGTGCAGCTGAGAGCGATCTTCGGTTCTTTTTGCGATGCTACCGCAAGTGGTGCTCGCCCTTCCAGCTGTGGGAAGTGGTCACCACCAAGTACGACCAGATCCTCCCTTTTCTCAATTGATTGCCAAAGCCTTATGGGTGTGTTTGCTTCTTAGGTTCTTCCCCGAGGAGAAGGAAATGGACGCTGCCCAGCTGCAGCGCCAGAGAGAGTACTTGTCTCCACAACTGCGCTTATTTCTTGCTTGAGCTCGTTGGACCTTGTTGGCCTTTGGTGGTTGTGGTGTGTTCTCTGTTCCTCGGCGTGCTGTTCCCGCATGACCTTGTGGAGCACTCACGCCAGTGCTCGTGTCACGTTTTGCTGTTCATCCGTGCAGGGCGGTGATCAAGTTCTTGCTCGATTGGATCGACATGTGCGGCGCACAGGATTTCTTTTCATCCAAGTATGATGGCCCTTCCCTTCTTCCCTCTCGTTTCGGGCGTGTGCACTCTCTTCTAAGAGAAACGGCTCACTGACGCTGACCCGCTTCCTCGCGTACCTGTGTCACAGGGAAAAGTTCGCTAATCCACTGTGGAAGGACATGCACCGATTCCTCAAGCAGCTCGAACCATTCCCCACATTTTCCAAGCATCTCGTCCAAAAGGTACCTAGCTGGCTCACTGGGCTTTGAGGCGGGCCTGCGTTGCTGCGTCCGCCCCCGTGTGAGTCGGAGAATGTAGGCTAATTGCCTGCCCGCATGCGTGTAGGTGAAGGAGAAAAGCGAACAGGGCAACGACGGCATTTTCTTTGGTGACGCGGACTACCGGGGTGTGGTGTGGTCCATCACCCAGACGCTGTTTCCTCGGTCGCTTGTTCCCGGCCAGTTCAAGTTCATCGATCTCCACCCGTACGCGCTTTCTTCTCTCCCTGGCCGGGGTGACCGCAGGTCTCACCGTAATTCGTGGTTACTACAACATAACAGGACGGAAGTGGTGGCGTGCCTCACGATGACCGAGTTCAACCTTTTCAGAAACATCCGACTTCGAGAGTTCCTGGATAAGACCTGGCTCACCGAGCAGATGAGCTCTCTCGTCTATGTTATGGTGTCGTCTCCTTCTCTCGTCGATGAGTGTCCTTATCCGTGTTCTCTGCTTCTTCTGAAGAGCAGCGTGGTACTTTGGATACAAGGTGAACCGATTCAACTTCGTGGCCTTCTGGGTGGCGACGGAGATCTGTTCCACGCCGGTTCTTGCCACACGGCGAACTGTGCTTGAGCGCTTCATCACCATCGCCGACGTATGCCTTTCCTGCCAGCCCCTTTTGCCCCTCTTTTCGGCGCTCGTGGTTGCTGACTGCCTGTGCGACGTCCAGGGGTGCTGGCAAATGAACAACTTCAACTCGTCGATGGAGATCTTGGCCGGCCTCTCGATGGGACCCGTGTCGCGATTGAAGCACACGTGGGGGGTACGAACGCCAGGCCTGCCTACACAAGTAAGCCAAGCCACAGGACTAACCGCGGCGGGTGGCTGTACAGGGTATTTCGACGGCGGCTTTGGACATGTTCAAGCGTCTTGAGAACGAAATGAAGCCCACCAAGAACTATCAACTCTATCGTGAGAAGATGCACAAGCTCAAGAAGGAGAATATTCCTCTCCTCCCGTGGCTAGGTACTTAACATGCCCACCGCAACTGCTGCAGCACTGTTCGTTCGTTTGAGCTAGCCTAACACCGCACTGTCACGGCCCGTAGGTCTCATCCTCAAGGACATTACCTTCATGGACGAGAATCCTGACCACCTCGACAACGGTCTCATCAACTTCGAAAAGGTGTGTGAAGCCTTGTTGTTGTGATTTTCGGCGTCGTCCCCCTGCCTCTGCTGACCCGTTTCTGCCCCTACCAACAGGTGGGCCTACTGGGTAACCTCATCACTGAGGTCGAGTGGTTCCAGAGTCAAACCTTTTCGCTCCAAGAGGTACCTCTCGCCTCTCGCACGGCTCCCGCGCACGCGCACACACACACACGCGCCTGACCTTGTTGTGGGCAGGTTGAGGAGCCAATCGTGAATTTCCTCAACAACTTGAACCTGAAGAACGAGGACGAACTGTACAAAATATCGCTCGCTCATGAACCCCGCGGCTCGTAAGTCACACCACCTCCCTGATGCATATCGAGAGAGAAAAAAGAGAAGACTCTTGTCGTATTCACGGCTTCTACATTCTACAAAGTTATTGCCTTGCCTTTTACAACATTGACCACCCTTCCTTGGGCAGTGCGCCAGCGTAAGGTCCTCAGCCCAACAGGCAAGACAAAACAATATTGTTTTTCCTTCCAATTTCACTTGGGAAAAAGAAAAAGAAAAGCCTCGTAGTGCGTGCCATCATCGCTTGTAATTGCCTTCTGATCGAGAAATAGTGAAAAGAAAAAGAAAACGGGCCAGCCTAAACTCTCGGCCAATAGAGGGGAATTCCTTTTTCGAGTGGCCTTTCCTTTTTGGGCTTGGGGAGCGAAGGGTGAGAAAATCAGTCCAGTCTCTCAGTTTCCCCTTTGTACCGTGAACAGCGCCAACCAGAGATGAAGATCAGCGGAGTGTTTCTACTCTTGTTGGTCCTGTGCGTAGTCTACGCCACCGCCAGGCGGGTGGAGTACAAGAGGGGACAGGGAGAAATTAAGTCGATGCGCCTGGGGGCCGGTTTCGGTACCCCTCTCCAGGGCAAGGACGTCGACTCACAGAACCTCCGCTCCAAACCCACCAAGGAAAGGGTGGAGCAGATGCTCTCCAAGCCCTCAGAAAAGAAGCACCTGTCCTCCTACAGCAAGCCCACCGTCCACGTCGATCTCATCAAGTCGGTGACCAGCACCAAGATCAAGTTGACCGACCGCGTCCAGATGTCCGAGTCTGTTCTGAAGAAGTGGAACACCACCTCCACTGATGCTCAGAAGAAGAACTTCTGGGCAGGCGAATCGGAAGACTTCTACCCCTTCAACTCGTCTCCTCTCTTCGCTGACGAGGATCGCTACTCCTTCCCCTACTCCGCCATTGGTCTCGTCGTCGTGTGGAACTACGTCAACGAATGGAGCGGTGGCGAATGGGTCGAGTGGGAGGCCGTGTACTCCTGCACTGGAACCGTCGTGGGTCCCTCTATGGTACGTCTCGGCCTTCCCCCTGCTCTGTGCCCATCTTTCCCTAAGTTGGGGTGTTGGGGGGGGGCTCCTAACAGGTCCTGACCGAGTCGCTTTGCGCCGTGGGCTTGGGCGAGCGCGTCACGTTCTACCCGTCTTGGAAGTTCACCGATACTCCTTGCAACTCCTTCGAGGGCACCTCTCTCGGCGCTGTGGGAAGCGATCTGGGGTTACGACTACGAAGACGCCCAGAAACGCGGTATTGAAGGCTATGATCTCAGCGAGTTTGGCCTGCTTGTCATCGAGCGTAAGAATGTACGTTACCTTTACTCTCTCCCCGTACCAGTCTGAGACACCAATCCTCCACTTCGTGGTGTATATTTACAGCCCGCCGAAGCTCCTGTCCAGACATACACTGTGGGATCGCAGACTGGTGCGTGCTTGGTGGTTCTCGATGTCCCTCCTCACTCCACTGACCTCGAGTCCTTTCCCACCACTCAGGTTGGCTGGGCCTCACGTTGGGCAGCCACTACGAAGTGCACAGCATGGTCGGCTACACCCTGAACCCCCTGTGGTTCCTCGACATTTTTGGTAAGAGGGGTGCGGAAGGAGACGTGGAGACAATCGCGACCATCGTCTCTGACCTGAAGGTTAGTCAGTCTCTACCCGCCGCCGAGGAGCTGGGCGGTATCCTCTTCCCTACCGACATGCTCTCCGTCGGCGCCCCGATGGTCCTCAACTTGGGACCGGCCGGCTACGACTTCGATGGCGATGAGGGCCGTAATGGCCGTCTCATCGAACGCAACCTCGTCACGGGAGTAGTGAGCTCGTACGGCCTCGGCTCCAACTTCCTCCTCGGCGTTGTCATGCAGCCGTTCGGCCAGGAGTTCGCCGAGGTCTACTCCGCGCTCTGTACCGACTTCTGCTGGGCGTGCCCCCCCTACTACCAGGCGGACAGGTCCCTTTCTCAGGCACCCGCTCGTCCCACCGGAAACGACATCCTCTCCACCCAGTACAGCCCCTGCGACTCAATCACGTGGTTATTAAGCGTGTTCTCTGTGGTGGTCTGGGTTTCTGGGTCAGCTGACACTCAGTCTCTGCAGGGAGTTCTACTTCCCTGAGCTCACGCGTAGTGCCAAGTACGGGTCCTTTTGCCCTTCTTATTGCGAGGCTCACCAGTTCTTTTTATATGTGGGATATTCAGGAGCCAGCCCAAGGGGTCTGGGCCTCGTCTCCCCACCACTGGCCACAAGGCTAGCCTTTCCCTCGTCGCACGCAACACCATCAAGGTGAGCGAGAGCCTGGCCCGCAGCTTCAGCAACTCCTCCACCCAGGAGAAGAACTCCATCGTCGAGGACGGGCCATTCTCCTCGTCGCCCATCATCGTCGCCAGCAACCGCTTCCAGTTCCCCTACACCGCTCTCGGCAAGGTCTTCACCTTCGACGCTGAGAGTGATGTCTTGGTCTCTCACTGTACCGGTGCCGTGATCGGCCCGCGCATGGTATGTCCATCTACACCCCTCCTGTCCGCTCCCAATTGCTCAGCTCTCGCACACATCCTCACATTCTGCAGGTTCTGGCCGCTCCCGAGTGCCTGTGCCCGGTCCAAGACACCCAGTACCGCTGGGAGTTCTACCCCGCGTGGCAGCAGCTGTCGTTCGACAGCGACGAACTCATGGGCACCAGCTTGGGTAAGTTCGAGGGCGAGGCCGCCTACACCAACACCGACCACTTCCAGGGCTACTACTCGAGCAACGCCGGTATTCTCGTCACCAAGGTCGCCACGGTACGAGACCCCCAATATTTGTTGGTCTGGTCTTCAAATGGCCGCTAATCTCTCGGTGGCTGATCTCTTATTCTCCTCCCACCAGGACCCCAAGTTCAGCTGGAGGACCTACAACGTGGGCGGAGTGACAGGCTGGTTCGGCATTGACTTCGCCCTCGGGGATTACGACATGCGATACAACCTGATGACTCAGGCCGCCTACTCTGAGTCGCACTTCCCTGGCCGCATCCAGGTCGCCACCACGCCCCTCGGTGGCTATGGCTCCATCGCCGCTCCCGCCGGTTCGCTCGACACCGCCGCCTACGGTTACTACACCGATATCCTCCGCACGGCCGGTGTGCCCACCATCATCAACTTCGGCCCGCTCAACCGCGACCTCGGCGACCTCGGCGAGGTCGGAGGTGAATACGTCCGCCGCAACGTCATCGGTGGCCTTGGCGGGATTCCCGACGACCAGGTCACCTCGGATGACGACGCCAACTCGTGGACGCAACCTCTGGGTCCCTGGTTCTACAACATTAAGGACGAGGCCTGCTCCCACTGCGAGGCGTGCGGCGACCTTACCACCGCGTTCTGGCTGTACGACCTGCCCGCAACGGGACCCGGGTATACCCAGTCCGACGAGGTTGTGAACCAGTGCGCGTATGAGCTTCTTAGCGAGTCGGGCATGTTTGAGCGCGGTTTTGGCGCCTGCTGCTTCATTGGCAAGCGTGCGGGCCTGCGCAGCGAGCGCGGCGGTTGCTGCCTGAAGCGTGGCCCCCTCGGCATCGATGAGTGCGACTTCTAAGCCCCTTCTAAGGCCACCCCTTCGAGAGGACACCGGACAAGCCCCCCTCCCCCTTTCTTCTTTCCCTGACCACAGCAATACAGTGTTCTCTTCGAGGTGCAAAAATTGTTTTGTTGCTTGCCGTTGCGAGCGACATGGGTCAGCGCCGGTCATGGTGACTACCCGCAGGTGCCTGGCGTGCCAGCGTGTCCGTCGCAGGGAAGAAGTCGGTCTTCTTCCTCACTTTCTTGCTCACTTCCATGGAAGGTGGCAGAGGGCGACTGACACTACTGCCATCCAGATTAAACAACAAAGAGCAAGAAAACGATGGCAAAAAATCTCAAGCGATTGATGAAGCGTTTCGGTGACGAAATGGGCAAGTTGGCGTTTGCCGATCCAGTGGCATACGTTTACAACCCCCTCGACTACGCTTGGGCCGGCCAGGAAGCATTCATCCACAAATTCTTCGGTCCCCCCTCGGATGCTGACACGAATGAAGATGACCCGGAACCGCGGCCGACCATGCTCGTGGGCATGAACCCCGGGCCTTACGGCATGACCCAAAGCGGTACTCTGGTGCCTCCAACATTTCTCATCACTTGATGTGCCTTTACATAGTTTATTTATTGTCTGCTGCCGTGGCTTGGCCGACAGGGGTGGCGTTCGGCGCTCCCAAGCTGGTGAGGCACTGGATGGAGATCGACCTCCCGCCCGACGCCATCCATCCACCGGCGGTGGTGTGTCCCGCACGACCCATCTTCGGCTTCTCTCCTGTGCCGATCACTTCGACACCCACTGCGGCGGACACAGAAGCAAAGGGCAAGAAGAAGAGGAAGCGCGCACCACCACGGCCGCCTTCGCTGAGGGAGGAGGTGAGCGGAAAGCGGATCTACGCCGACTGGGCGATGAACACCTACTCCTCGGCAGACGCCTTCTTCAAGGAGTTCTACATTCACCCCTACTGCCCGCTGCAGTTCATGGCCGCCAGCGGAACGAACATCACGCCCGACCAGCTCCACAGGGACGATCGCGCCGAACTGTACGGGGTGTGCGACCGCTACTTGCGCGAGGCGATCGAGCTGTTGCGGCCCAAGCGAGTCATCGGCATCGGTAACTTTGCCGATGAGCGCATCCGAGACACTCTCAAGCGCTGGCGAGAGGAGCAGGAAGAAGCCGGCGATGAGAATGAGCTCATGGAGAAGCTCGTGGTGGGCAAGATACCTCATCCCAGGCACGACCCTCTCGATCTGCGCTCAGTACTGGTGGTGGCCAGATCTGTTGACCTTAGATGATGTTGGTGCAGCCCGCGGAGTCCCCTCGCGCGGGTGGTGTGGGGCAACAGAGCGAGCAAGGTGAACGAGCTCCTGCGCGGCTTCGGTGTGGACGTGCCCTACACGGTGCCCGTCATCGCAGATGTTGCCGATGACGGGCAAGAGGAGGAGGTGGACGTCGAGGCTGAGATGGACGAGGAGGAAGACACGAACGCGCCTAGGAAAGACAAGCGACAAAAGAAGGCCTCACGACCATCTCGCACCAGCACCTCGCGAACCCGCGCTTCCAGGCCCGTTGCTGATCTGCCCCTCACCAAGCGGAGGCTTCGCGCTGGGGCCGACGAAGTGAGGAAAGGCAAAATATCAATAAAATTGCTTATTGTCTAAAATTTCAGGGAAAGAAAATAAAGCCATAAAAAAGTGAAAAACAAATAAATAAGGGCCGGCTTCAGTGATCATCGAGGGATCTGATTCACAAAAGAATAGGGTCCCTGGCGCTACCTGATACGCAAACGAGAAGCCACATAAGAGATGGAATCGACGCAGGCCTTTAGCGAGCCAGAGGGAAGATGGCTGGACACCTACAAACTGCTGGAGAGGCCTGGTCCTCTTGCTGGCGAGGCCTTCGAGCCCGACACCCCTGATGCCCCCAAGGTACGTGCCCGGCTTTGATGCGTATGGGACCCTGCACCAGCGAGGTCAGAGATGACTGCCGCATTAAGTGAGGGTCTTGCTGATGATTGATTGAATTAATTGTTCATTTGGCGCCAACAGTTGAAGAACTACCTGCGAGCCTTTGAAAATAGCAGGGGTGATCCCAACTGCAAGATCCTCGTTATTGGCGCTGGTGGCCTCGGTTGCGAGCTCCTTAAGGATCTTGCTCTCTCGGGTACCATCCCTCTGCCATTTTTTGAGTGATAATAATAATTAATAAAAATCTGTGCAGGCTTCCGTTGCATTGATGTGATCGACATGGACACGATCGATATTTCGAACTTGAACCGCCAGTTCCTGTTCCGACCTGCCGACGTGGGCAAGGCCAAGGCCGAGGTCGCCGCCCGCTTCATCAATGAGCGAGTGCCTGGCTGCCGCGTCACTCCGTACGCAGCCTCTCGTGCCCGCACCGTCTCTCGTGTGCCATTTGTGTTGTGAGACTCACTCCTCTTCTGCTGCTGCTGGGCTCTACAGTCACTTCTGCAGGATTGAGGACAAGGACGATGACTTCTACCGAGAGTTCAACATCATCATTTGCGGTCTCGACTCCATCGAGGCCAGGAGGTACATGAACTCCGTGCTGGTCGGCCTCGTGGAGCATGGCGACGACGGTGAGATCGATCCGGATACCATCATCCCCATGATCGACGGAGGCACCGAAGGTTTGACCCTTTCTCTACGCGCGCGTGGCACGCGCACTCGCCTGAGGCTCATGCGTGGTGCGTGTCGTGTCGTGTCGTGCGGCGTGTGTGAAAATCAGGTTTCAAGGGCCAGGCGAGGGTGATCCTGCCCGGCATCACGGCGTGCTTCGAGTGCACGCTGGAGCTGTTCCCGCCCAAGACCACCTTCCAGATCTGTACCATCGCCCACACGCCCCGCAGGCCCGAGCACTGCATCGAATACGCCCGCCTGTTCAAGTGGGGCGAGGACAAGCCCTTCAAGGACGAGAAGGGCGAGGCCGTCAAGCCCGACATGGACAACCCCCTCCACCTCAGGTGGATGTACGAAGTCGCCAGGAAGAGGGCCGAGGTACATCCCTTCTTGCTTCTCCACTCACCAACACACGTGCCCTCATGCTCACTCGAGTGCGACCACACACACACACACACACCACACCACACCACCCCACCCACCACACCAGGAATTCGGCATCAAGGGCGTGACGCTGCGCAGCACCAAGGGTGTGATCAAGAACATCATTCCGGCCATCGCCTCGACCAACGCTGTGATCGCCGCTGCGTGCGCCAACGAGGCCTTCAAGTTTGCCACCAACGCCTCGGGCTTCCTCAACAACTACATGATGTACAACGGAGGCGGTGGTGTGTACACGTTCACCTTCGAGTACGAGCGCAAGCCCAACTGCCTGGGCTGCGGCACCGTCGACAACGTGATCGAGTGGAACGTCAACCCCGACCAGAAGTGGGAGGACTTCATTGAGGACCTCGCCAAGGACTCCACCCTCCAGCTTACCAGGCCCTCCATCAGGTCTGCTTGCCTTTGCCCTCGTCGTCATCATCGTCATCGTCGTCATCTTCTTCTTCTTCTTCCCATGTTCTCCGTACCATGCTAACGAGCGTGTTTCAGGTGCCCGGACAAGAACATTGGCATCTACATGCAGAACCCGCCCATGTTGGAGAAGAAGCTGAGGCCCAACCTGTCGAAGACCATCGGCGAGCTCATCGACGACGGCAACTCGCTCAACATCACCGCGCCCACCCTGCCCGGCGTGGCCGTCACCATGAAGATCCGCTTCACCAAATGAACGCAGCACCGACACGATTGAGCGCCGCAACCAATTCGTTCAAGGCCACCCTCCCAACGCAGCAGTGAAGGCGGCTCTGGATGGCGGATGTATGTACGCGAGTCTCTTTCGGTGTAATGCACACGTTTGAGCTCCGAGACCATGTGACGTCGTCACCTCGCGTGTGGAACTTTAGTTCTTCTTCGTCGCCTTGGCCGCGGTCTTCTTCGGCTGCTGGCCCGAGGCTTTAGTGCCTTGCTCTTTCTTGGCCTTCTTCTCCTTGATGCTGCTGCCGCTGTTCTTCTTCTTGGCGCTCTTGCTTCCCACCAAACGGTCGTAGAAGCCGCGCGCAAACTGCACCGCCCACAGCGCCGGATACCTGAACAGTTTAGGAGAGAATGAGGAACAGCAGCAAGGCGAGAGGGGTTGTGGTGGGGGGGGGGGTGTACCCGGCAATGCAGGCGCAGAAGGTGAGGAGGGCAGCCATCTTGTACTTGTACAAGCGGCCCTGCCAGAAAGTGGCGGCTGGCGAGTGACGTCGGTGTTAGCAAGCACGACGCGACATAACGGGCGAGACGTGTGAGTTGAGCATAACGGTACCATTCGGAGGCCAGAGGAGGTAGGAGAGGTTGATGCCGGTGAAGAGGCCGGGGATGAGGTGGAGGTTGATGTGGAAGAGGAACATCACCGCGATCGCCTTCATCAGGAAATCGACCCCGTGCTTCTCTCCGCTGTTCGCCAACACACACACACACAACACACACACAACACACACGCCACGTGATCCAACCAATCAATTCGACGGTTCGGTGCGTGTTGGGTTAGGAGGGCAAGAGGGCAAAGAGCGGAGGCGCTACCGGTAGAGTTCAAAGCGCTTGCTCCACACCAGCAGATAGGGCGCCAACAGAAGAGCTCCACGGTGGTGGTGGTGGTGATGGTGACGAAGAAGGTAAGCAGCGCGCTTGATCAATCACTTAGCAGTCTAACGGGTGGCAAGGAATGCTTACTGACGTGCTGGATCCAGAACACTTCGCGCTGGAGGAAGAACTTGACGTTCTCCATGTCAGGGAAGAGCAGCGCCAGCGCTCTGCACGAAGAGAGGGCCATGCCCTGTGCGTCTGAGCAAAACAGAATGAAACGTGAGAGCGGTAGGGAGCGGGGCACGTACGTGTTGTGGGTGTAGAACACGATGAAGTTGAAAATGTAAGTGGCTCTCTTGGTGCTGTGCGAGCACAAGATGTAGACGTAGCTCAGGGACAGTACATGGCAAGGGAACAGCATGGAAGCCAAGTGCACCCAACCTACCACAACCGGAAGCTCTAGCAAAGTGAACAACAAACAAAAAGACCAAAAAAAAAAAAAAACGCACCCAAGCCAGCCTTGTAGAAGAGATTGAGGAAGAAGGAGAGGCTGAGTGTGGCGACAAGCGCCCACTCGACGACCGAAAGCGCCTGCTTCTTATCGACCATCTTCAGTGGGTCGTGCTTTCGACGGCGGTGGCTCCACAGGCCAAGGGCCAGGAGGGCGCCCATGAGGACGTTGGAGATAATGACGTCTTCAACGTGCTCCCGCATCGACAGGAAACCATAGTTGAGGATCGGATGGCGAGGAGCTTCTTCCATCTTCTTCCTTTGTCGCTTTGTTTAAATAAAAAAAAAGAGGGACAGACTCGAAAAAAACAATAAAAAAACCACTAACTCCGCGAGGAAGGATTGCGTTTTTCTTTCTGTACAAGGCTTGCAATGGGAGAGAGAGGGGAGGGAAGATCATCAATCATCGTTACATCGGACCTTGTCGATCGTGTGGTAGCCGACGGTCTTGCGCGCAGTCTTTCCGAGAGCTGGGATGTAGATGAGGCAGGACTTGATGGGGGGCGAATAGAGATGGAGGGAGACGCCGTTGCCGTCGATCGGCCGAATTACGTGGAGGGCAATCTCGTCGCGAATGTACGCCACCTCGCCTTTTGTGTGCGCTTCAGTCTGGCCCTTGATGAGGTTGGGGCAGATGCCTTCCTCAGGGCCAGTCTCGGGTTCGTCCTTTACGTGGTAGTACGTCTCCTCGATCTTGCCCTCGAGACATCCCATCCAGCAGCTCGAGCCGGCGTGGTTGTGGATGGGGCTCTTCTGGCCGTCCTTCCAGCAGATGACCTGGTCAAAAAATTAATTGTTTGAAGGAGGTGTTTACAGGAGAGGGGAGACGTACGATGAGCTCGAAGTGCTCATTGGCTTCGACGAGATTGCGGGCGTAGAAGGCCGGGTGGTAGAGCGCGTAGTCCTTCCAATCTTCGTGGGTGTCGATGTACTCGGACATCATGCTCTTGACGCGCTCGGCGCCCTCGGCCCCATTCCCGAACTGCTCGAAGTGCTTTCGGAGGTCATCACAGAATCTCTTCAAGGGCGCCTGCTGCGAGGTGCTGGCGAACTCCTTCTTGAAAACCGCCTTTGACAGCGTGGTCTGCTGATCATGTTGTTGCTGTACGACCGACATCTATTTTACGAGATCTCGATAGTCTCAAATTTGATGGTAGGAGAGGAGGATGATGGAGGAAAGATAGGGTGGCTGTTCGCGAGCAGGTGGAGCGAGGTGTGGGTGTTGTCGCCTATTCCCAGCGTAGTGGAGGTTTGATCGTTAGGTTGATGAAGTGTGACTTCTGCTGCTCTGTCTCTCTGGCTCCTTCCTTTGTCGGCGTCGACAATCCCGAAAAGGTTCCAGGAGCCACGCCCATCGAAACTTCATGGAAGTTAAGCCGATTACCACCTCTTGCCCTGAGCATTGGCGCGGAGGAGCTCCTGCTGCGTCCAATGGAACGAGAACGGTCCGGAAGTGCCCGTGATCCCGAATAATCGTGAGAACAAAAGAAAAGATTAACTTTTTATTTTCCCTTGCTTTTTTTGGCGGGAGAGCAAATAGAATGTCAATCTTCTTGTGTGCATTTTGAAAATGAATCAAAGCTCAGCGACGGCCAGGCTTTCATATGCTTCCCTTCCCCTGGCCGCTTCTCCGACCACAGACTGTACTTGCCCTTGCACCCAAATCGCAGGACTGTATGACAAATCGCAGCACCGAATGACATTAATTTGTGCAGTTCTGGCGGCATTCGGCACGGAGCCGCTCCTCTTGGGTACGCCATTCAGTCGACGCTGGTACATTGACAACTGGCAGAAACGGAGGCTGGAAGACCGCACCGGAGGATCTACCACCCCGCCAAGACACGCGCCCTCCTCGCCAGCGGGTACTCTAGATCTTGTCTTGGCCCGGGCTACACTACACTCACAATGCACGGGTGTCTCGACAGGTCAACCACCAAGTGCTTCGCCCCAAAGGAAGGGTGCATCAGGGAAGGGGCGATCGCGGAGGGACGGCGATGGTGAGTCCAGCGCTAGCGAGGGGCGTAACGACGGTGCTGATCTGCTTCGGCTACTTCCTCGTAAGGCCGACGCCACCACCAACGAGGCCGAGCTTACGAGTGCACTCGGAGAGGCCCTAACCCAAATCAACACCGCCCACAAGTGTTTCAAATCGCAACCCAACCGCGCCTCAAAGCTCTACTTCACCGCTGCCAAATGTGCGTGCTGTTCCGTCGTGTGCTAGTTGGTGCGCTCCTCACCTTTCGCGGCCTTAAAGCCTTGGCGCAGTTGGGGCGGATACGCGAGGCGGCAGAGACTCTGCAGTTCCTGTTGCTGCTCCAGCATGTGGAACACAATCGCGGCCAACAGCAAGGTACTCTCTCCCGTTTCGTATCTGATGACCCAGCACTCTCTCTTTCTCTCATCCATGCCGACGTGATTGCCCATCGCGCGATAGAATCCGTCGGCGACGCCACCGAGTCCGGAGAGTGTACAACCACGGCAGACACAAGAAAGCTGGCTTCCAATTGTGTCTATCTCAGCAACCCGGCCAGAGCAAAGGTAAAAAAGATCCACAGTCCTTTCGCAACGTCGAGCGCGCTAAAGGGAGGCAAGTGGCTGATCGGGCCGTGTGTGCATGAAGCTTGTCTACACAGCACATCTGTGGCTGGCGCGACTGAGCCGAGCCTTTGACAGCACGCTTGCCACACAGCACTACCGAGCATGCTGCGACGTCTTCCTTTCACGAACATTGGTGGATCAGCTTACAGATCAGGTAGCCGCACTCACGCACTGCGCCCGCAGGCGAACAATGCGACTTACACAGCTACACGCTATCGTTAGGCTGGCCGACTGTCTGGCCCTGCGCGCATCGAGAGCGCACGATCTATTTTTGAGGACTTACGGTCGCGTGTAGAAGCCGTGGAGGCACTGTGGTCGGTCGTAGAGCGCCCCGAGCAGCTGTTCAGCACACTACTCGAAGCCGCTGCCTTCTTCTCCCTCCGATCACCCTCGCCGAGGTTTGCGCCCCCCCCCCCGCAGCCGCCACCTTTTGCCATGAGCTGACAGCCTACGCCACACGTGATTGTGCCGCATCCACAGGTCGATGGTCATCTATCTGGTGGCCTCGGAAGCGGCGTCTCGCTTCGAGCGCTGGGGTGACGTCTCGCTTTGTATGCGACGAGCCTCCACGGTTGCTCTCCTCCGCTTCTGTCGTCCCCCCTTCCCTCGATATCGTGATGCGACTGTTGCAGCCCGTGCTGACGCAAACGAACCATCCGGATGCGTGCGCTCAGGTCTGTCTTGCGTTGTCCGAGGTGTGGGTCGGGCTGGACCTTCTCGCCGAATCCCACGCAATCCAACAGAAAGCCAAGCTGCCGTCGCCACCACCCATCGTCGGGTCTGGCGGAGAGTCAGCCGAAGACCCAAGCGGCGTGCTGCAGGACCTGCTCTACGCCTCCATCTCCTTGGGTGCGCTCATCTCGCACTCGTAGGACAACACGGCCTTCTGTCTCATCGTCACTCCGATACTCAAACAGGCGACCGCGTCCGACAGCGAGAGGCCAGGGAATGGGCGCTGGCCAGCGAGCAGCCACTACCACTCGAAACCCAGGTACGGGCACAATCCTGTTTCTTCCGGGCGCACAACTCTCTGGCGGCGAAATGTACCATCCTCATTCGGGCGAGCGCACCAGTTTCTGTGCGAGGTCGTGGCAAGTGGGCAGTGTGGCGATATGCACAGGCTCGAACAAGCGGGGATCGACCACGAAGCCTTGCTCGAACAGCATCGCCACCTACGCGACCTCTACAACCACGCACTCGCCCAGTCCATCCTCTGAGGGCCTACGCTTCTTCCCTCCTCCCTCCTTCTCCAACATGCCAATTCCACATCTTCCTCTCACACCATAGCCCGCCGGACTCTCTTCATTCGTGTTCTATGGTGTGTGTGTGTGTGTGTGTGTGGGGTGATGCGCGTTGTGCTGGGAGTGTTATGTATTGCGATTGCAACCTCGTTACTACCGCTGTTCATGGCGCAGGGCTAGCCCGGACGACGCGGCCTGCTCTAATAGAAGGGCTCGCTCCTCCACAGGCTGTCGAGGGTCTTCTCCGGATCGGTCGTGGTAGAGGCGGTCTTCTTGCTCGACGTCGACGTCCTGGTCCTGCGCTGCTCGCGGTCGAACTGCCGCTGAAGCTGACGTGCGTACTCCTCATCCTTCCTTTCCCGCTCGCGCCTCTCCCGCTCGCGCTCGTAGTTGTCCTTGCGCTCCCAGTCGTCGAAGCGTCGGCTCAGCTCCTGCTGCGGGTCGAAGTGCCGCAGGTGGACGTCCGTGGCCGGCTCCGGCGGCAGCACCTGCACCAGGTTGCCCCGGCGGTTGCGGCTGCCCCGACGCTCCAGCGCCTTCTCGCCCTCGTAATCGATATCGCCATCGCTGTCGTCATCGTCGTCGAAGCTCTTCGAGCGCCTGCCACGATTCGACTCTTCGCCGTACGACGAGGTCGGCTTGGGCGCGGTTCGCATGCGCATCAGACGCTCGGCCGGGTCTTCATCGTTGACATCGGCAGCGTAGGCCTTGTTGTAGCCGTACGTACTATTGGCGCCATGGTCGTCGCCATAGCTCGTCGTGGTCGTGGTCGCCTTCGTTCTGGTCTTCGACGCCGACGACGTATCGTAGGCGTAGGAGGGCGTGGTGGCCGGCGCCGACAGACCCATCGGACTCGACCACGTGTTGAATTGGCCCTCCTCCTCCGGTACGATGTCGCTCACCCGCTTGGTGCTGTGGTTGATGGGCGCCGTGGCGTAGGTGGACGGGTCCTCGGCCTGCTCGGGCAGCTCGACGTCATCGCGCAGGCGCACCATGTCGCCGGTGTCGTGATCGCCGTAGCGGCGGGCGTCGGCCACGTTCAGCTCCTCGACATTCGTGTTGCGGCCGCGCTTCACCGCCACCGCCGCTCCCGATGGTGCGCCACACACCCCTCCTATCAATCCTCCCACCTACACCCAGTTAGCGAGCTATTCATAATTGGGATTCAAAATAAATTACACAAATGATTAAAATATAATAAATAAATAAAATTGAATAAGACGGATCCGTGGAACGTGAGTGGATAGGGGAAGATACCACGAAGCCGATGGGGACAGAGACGGGGGCGATGGGGATCATGGCCAGGCCGATGGCAGCGCCAATGCCAGCGCCACTGGCTCCACCTTGACAACAGAAGCAGTGTGAGCGAGAATGCAGGCAAGGCAGAAGAAGGCGATATGAAGAGGAAAGATGCAACGCAGGAAGAACGTACCAACGACCGCTCCACCCGTGGCGCCGCTCAACGCAGCCTTCCTATCGCCCCTGTTGATGCGCATCCTCCTGGTAAGTCGTCCCATTCTTTTTGTTTTGTTGTTGTGTCTGTAGCACGCGGTGTGATTCTAAGTTGTTTGTTGGTTCTCTTGATGTGAGTGCTTCTCTCTTTGTTGCGGCTGGACGGTGTTTGATGGTTGGTAGAAATGTTGAATGCAGGTGAGTCGAGCCCGAGAATAAAAGGCTCCGTCGGCACTCTTTTGCGGTGCCCAATCCCCGCCACCTTCACCTATCCCGACCGCGTCTGGTCATCGGCCAGACGAGTGGAGACGCTGCGAACTCCTTCCTTCTTTCGTCTTGTCCCTTGCTTCTTTCCACGCGTTGGCCGGCAGAACTTGGGAGAAATTTCCGGTAAACCGCCAGGGCCATGTTTGAGATCGTACTTGTCCCTGGGTCTTGCCTCGGCCTGATGAGGGCTCACTGCTCGTTGAGGTGGGGGTTGGCTCCCGCGAGAGTTCACGCAAGCTGCACAAGGTTACGCTGCACCCGAGCAGGCGATAGGAAGCTGGGTTTTTTTTTGGCCCCTCACGCCGACACTCAGCAGCGCCGTTACGGCGCCAAAGAAACGAAGTGAGACAGAACAACAACACAACCGGAAAAACTCAAGCAGCTGCCTTCAAGCACAACCGCCGACACCAAAAGGGAACATGGACTTCAAGCTCGACGGAAAGCTGGTGCGGCTTCTTTTGGGTTCAACAAACGGTGAACTAATGCGGACGGGGGGGGGGTTTGCAGGTGCTTGTAACAGGCTCCACACTGGGCATTGGCAAAGCGCTTGCGGCGAAGTTTGTGGAGCTGGGCGCGCACGTCATCATCAACGGCAGGTCCGAAGCCAACGTCACCAAAGCCATTCAAGGTACCCGGCCACCACGAGTTTTCCCATTTATTGCGGCGCTGCATTTATTTGTCTGATTACTGTTGGCAGAGCTGTCCGGCCTGAGCGAAACGGCGACGCTCTACCCGGCCGTGTGCGACTTCAGTTCGAAGGAGGGAGTGGACCACCTTCTCAAGGTTCTGGACGAGGAGATCAAGGCCCCGCTGGATGTGGTCGTCAACAACCTTGGTATCTTTGAGTCCAAGAAGTTCGAGGACATCACTGACGACGAGTGGTTCAACTACTTCAACGTCAACGTAAGCACCACCTCCCCACTTCAGATTGTCAATAACAAGGCGCACATGGCGAGTGGGCGATGCTAATAGATCAACGCTCGCTTCTTGTTTGGTCATCAGGTCATGTCTGGCGTGCGGCTGAGCCGTGCGCTTCTACCGCGCATGCTGGAGCGCAACTCGGGGAACATCGTGTTTGTGGCATCCGAGGCCGCCATCGCGGTAAAGCCGTTCATGATCCACTACAGCATGACCAAGACCGCCCAGCTCGCCGTCTCCCGGTACTCCACACGCTCTCGAGGCCATCACGCTTCTCTTCACATTTGTGGCTGATCCATCGCGGTTTGCCAACACAGCGGCCTTGCCGAGCTCACCAAGGGCACCAACGTACGCGTCAACACCGTGCTCCCCGGACCTACTTGGACCGAAGGCGTTGCCACCTACGTCGAGGGAATGGCTGCTCAGCAAGGTACCCAAACAATAAGACCCCCCATCGACGCGGCCCTGACGTCGACACACACACCCACACAGGCCTGACGCCGGAAGAGATGAGAGCCAACTACATCAAGGAAGTGGAGCCCACCTCGCTGCTCCAACGCTTCATCGAGCCGGAGGAGATCGCCAACGTCGTCGCCTTTGTCGCTTCCGAGGCGTCGGGCTGCATCAACGGCTCCTCCGTCAGAGCGGAAGGTGGCATCCTGCGCAGCATCGTCTGAGAAAACTTGTACACCACCTTCACTGGACGCTATGCCGTGCTGGCTGCTGCTCCTGCAGCGATATCAGCTACAAAACGACACACACACCACCACGTACCATCTCCTTGGTACTCGCTGATTGGTCCATTTAAAGTAACTCCAGCCATCAAAATTAATGCAACCACGGTGGCTTGTGTGGCGACAAGACAACAAGAGCACAAGTAGAAGGAGAAGAAGAAGGACGATGGCTGCGTGGGAGGAGCGGTTGAATCAGCTGGAACGCAACTTCCTGGCCGAAGTGGAGCGCCTTAAGGACGACATACTGGGGCAATTGAAGGTGGATGACGAGAAGTACTATACCAACATCGACAACGAGGTCAACACATCTTTCACTTCTCCGTCGCCTTCATCGGCGTACGCTTCGCCTTCGACGTCGCCCTCTGGCTCGTTCCGTGGAGTTGTAAAAAACGGCCGGGAAGGGCAGCACGAAGTTCCGAATGGCGCAGCCGATGGAGATGCC